CGCTCGCAAGTTTGGAGGTGCGATTCACGATGTCCTCTGCGACCCCTCGGAGGATCGCTCAAACACCTCTTACGACTCCGACACCCGCTCCGTCATCACTTGCCTCGATGGCCTGTCCACTGCCGTCAACTCCCTGCGCACGGATGCTAGTGTTGCCGCTCTCATCTCCAACCGGGGTAGCAACGGGGCCAGGATTATCCTGGCATCCGCTTGGACCCAACTTTCTAGAATACATTGATATGTCGGGATCTACACGAAGCCCTCCTGTGCCTATACACCGTTTACGATATGAGATCATAGTACTGCGCTCGGCTGTGGAAACTCTTGAACCACTGCGGCTCCTCGTCCCCAGGCATGATCTCGTTGAGCCACGCGTACTGGGCCCGCGTCGGCCTCGCGAAAATCTGGTCACAGGCGAAGACCGTGTTCCGGATCGACACCATCCAGAACTGCAGATCGGCGGGGGGCCACTCTTCTTTATCGTCCTCGGGCTGGACGGGTGCGTCCTTGTGCACGGCGTACTCCGTTATGAGGTCGAAGTCGGAGCTGTCGTGAGCCGCGTTGCACAGCTCCTTTAGGAGCCACATGGCGTTTCCGATGCAGCCTTGCCCGACCGACGCGACGTACGGACTGGCGCATTCTTCGAACAGGGCGAGCCACTCGAGGGTGACCGGCCAGCCGAAGAAGTACGGCCGCGAGTATTCCTGCATGTAGGGGAGGATCTTCGGCAGCCGGACACGTTCAAGGTCGGCGCTCGTGGGATTTGTGCCCCCTTCCTTGGCCGGGTATCCTTTCTCCAAGATTGCTATGATCTATAAATTTGTGAGTTTGCGGTACACTTGAGTGAGATACGAGCGCACTGACTCGCTTGCGCTCATCTTCCAAAGAAAGCCCGGCCAGACGTGTTGCGGTCGCAGCCCATAGCTTACGCTCCTCCGAGTCAAGGGACTCCGATAGCAGCGTAGCGGGCTCACCATTATCGGTATCAACCTTCACCCCACATTAGTCAAAATTTCCTTCAGTCTGTTTAGAGGATGCTTGACTTACCGCGCCGAGAGAAAGAGTAGCGAGACCCAGCTCGAGGCCGGCGCTAGCGGCCGCGTGAGACTCTGGCACGGAATCCCCACTGGTAGGTAGCTGGCTCTTTGAAGTGACGGGGGGGTCGACGGTGTGAGTCATGTTATGGATAGAAGGATTTGAGTCGATGAAATTTATGCAGAGAGAAGGCGGTAGAGAGCAGGAAGGAGAGATGTGATTTCGCTTTGGGTCGCTGGCCAAGTAGAGTCGGCATTTATAGCGGCTGAGGCCTCTGTAGGCGCTTGAGCCGGCTACTATAGGGCGCGCGTCTTGGTCATTCCCGCAGTTGGCGACTCTTCCGATTCATGGCTACTGCCGACATCGCTCAGTGGGCCGTGTTTGGCTTGTTCCAATTCCTAAGTGCGATGATCCGCCTCTCCGACTCTGATCAATTCGTACGACGGAGGACCTCAAACTGGTTTTGTGGTCATTCCATGTTTGGCCAGTGCCACGGCGCTGGCACTGCCCTTACAACGGCATGCCACCTGCGTACTACAACCAAGGATTTCAGCATTTCACTGCAGCAGCTATGCCACTCTCCCGCACATAATTCCCCACAAGATGACAACATGTACGCGGAATGTGCGCGCGGTCCAAACGCTACTAACGCCACCATGATAGACTATAGTACGCCTAGTGCACTAATCACGATTCACACCAGCTATAGAGTGCTTACTGGGTGTTGATGGCATCTACAGCTTACGCAAACAGCTATTGAAGAGTCGAAACATGTTACAGGATGCTCAGTTTGAAAGTGTTCCGCCGATTGTAGTTATTCATGCCATCAATTGATATAATATCGCAGTGTGTGCCAGGGTGTGAGTGTGTCAGTCATGCGCGACGAGATGAAACAGCAGTGCTCGTTGCTCATACTGTGTCAGTTTCATCCTGCCGGCCTCAGGCTGTGATAGAGAGGGCGCGTGTTTTACGAAATTAACACTCCCCTTTCTGAAGGGGGCTCACAGTATATAAGCCATCGTCATGAGCAGAGGCGGTCATCGACAACCACATTCTCGCTGTACACTGCCATCACTCCTAAAACCTTGACACCATGAACACTCCACCTCGTCCCGGCCATCGCGCCTTTCCTGACAGTAGTCCCGAGAGCCTTCGAAGACTGCCGGGCGGTCCGTTCAACTATAGCCATGTATCTCCCAGGACACCAGCTGATGAGGCGGACGCCACTCGGGGGCAGTGGTCTCCCTGGAAGAATCCTGCAGCAACGTTCTCACAGAATAGCGAAGGCGGAGACGTTATCCACCAGCTTGACCGAACCCTCTGGATGAGCTGCTTGCTGTCGCGCTTAACGGATTACGAAGCTAGTATATATGCCCCGTTGGGCCAATTCCTGGGCACCTACCTTTCCGTCTACAAAGAAAAGACAAACAAGACTGAAACTTGTCTTATTACCTGCCCTCAGGGAGTCGTCCATAATCTTCCGCCAGAATGGGCCGGTGGCATCACCACCAACTCTAACTTGGCCGGGTCGCTCCCTGGCATTTCTTGGGCTACCGAGATAGCACAGCAAGATTACCAGCAAGTTGACAACGAATATCGGCAATACCAGCCGTCTGATGACGACGACGACGTTGAGACCATGGGAGACATATTTACGGTGACAAGAAACGCGAAGAAGAAAGTATCGGAGGCTGAAAACCAGGCGTTGAAGAAGCGACCCCGGGTCATTCCCGACTTCAACGGCATCGTCATCGAAAGGCGGGTGGATACAGATCAACTATGCGACACCAACATAATCTTTACCGTGGAGATCAAGCCTCCCAAGGAGCAGCCCCAGAGCAGGAGGAATGCAATTCGGAAGCTAGCTAACGGACAAGTACACACACAAGTCGCCTACATTTTTACTCAGAAAAAACATGAGGGCGATTATGTTCCGGCAATCATCGTGTACGGGCTCTACTGGACGTATGCGGAATTCGACATCAAGATGCAGTTCAACACTCTCAGAGTGTCATCGGAAATTCCAGCGGCGGTAGCGCACATCCTCCAGAAATTGATGTCAGACAGCAAAGGCCTGAAAGTCGAGGGGGAGCCGGGATCGGAGAGGAAGGCGGAGCCTGAGCTGGATTACGAAATGCGCTCCCAAGAGTCCGAGGAAGAGGGGACAGAGTCTGAGCCAGTGGATCACGAGATGCGCAGCCAGGAGTCCGATCAAGAGGCGGAGCCCGAGCGCCGGGAGCACGAAATGTACATGGAACAACTTCTTGTCGCGGTCAGCATCCTAACCCAGGAGGAGGTCGCCTCGGAGCTCAGCCGGATCCTCAGAGATAACACCGCCGGCATCGCCGTGCATACCTGGGAAAGCAAATACGCCCTCACCCTCGCAGCCATGCGTATTCAGCACCTATACCCCCTCTATTGGCGCGACCGTAGGCTGGGGGAGACAAAAAAGGAATTTGTTCACGGAAAATCAGTGGCGCAATCGATTATGGAGAGCAAGATTCGGCACCGGGAGCGCGTTGCGCAGCTGGAGAAGCAGGTTCAAGAGCTCGAAGCGAAGCTCAAGTCCGCCATGGCTTCTACGGCTGGTTTTTCCGCAGGGAAATTACCAGGGAAAGGGGCAGGGATGGGGAAGACAAAGCAGGGAGGAAAGTGAGATGCGCGTCTTTGTAACCGTACGAGTAGAGAAGCCACATCCGCAGCCGGTGTTGGTACTAGTTGCAGCTGTACGAGTGTGTTCGAGCCAGAGTTCGGTGTGTTTGGATATTTAATTATTTATATGTAAAGTACGAGTATCGAGAGTACTCATCGTGTGCATTCCCAGTCTTGCAAATGTGTTTCGGGAAGCCTGGGCGGCACGCTGTTTTGGCCTGCATGAAAGCAACGGTCCGGCGTGAAATGGCACCCTAGATGGTCAATGCCGCCCATGAAGCAACGAGCATCTTCGAGTGATGACCTGCAGCGAGGAACGGTCTGCGGAAAGGTGCCCAGACAGCGACGACCGCGTACTCGAGCCCCTGCGTGCAAACCAAGTCTGTGATGAAGGCGATGTATAAGCAAGACACGAACGTGTCCGGATACGACAACGCGCAGAAGTGGGGTAGCGAGCACTGCAGCGCACGCCGACGGCAGGCCGACTTACATGGCGGGAAAAAGGCGACTATGAGTTAGCTATGTGAGGCGGAGAGGCAGGAGGAGAGACGTACCATGGGTGTGGCTATACTTTTTACGGAACATAACGCGACGGAGCTGCTGAGACTCTGCAGGCCCCAGCCCCCAGGGCGAGGATGAAGTGCAACGTGCACACAAGTCATATTGTCGACTCGAGCATGTGAACTTTGAAGATGCGTGCAGAAGTCATAGGACACGGACCTGTGCGAATGTGGGACTGGCTGCCCTTCGAGGGCTTGCGGAAGGATTGGATACCCCCGTCGCGCGCGAATGCAATGCGCACATGATGCAGCTGTTCGATGTGGGCGAGAACATTCCGCAAAAGACATAGCATCGCTCACGATATCCTAGCTTCAACAGCCTAAGCACCGGTCGTGTTGCATGAAGAGAGAATTGTCAGCACGATATGTCTCTACAAAACGGCTTCCACTGCTACGACTCACTCACGTTTGTACCGCCATCAAAACCGAAGAGGAGGTCAGGATCTATCTCAGTCTGTTCGCTGCCAGTGGCACGCGCCCGCTCCAGCGCACACCATCAACGCCGCTGTTGTCGCTCAAGTTACGGACCCGAACGGCCGGGAGCTGCAGCGAGTACTAGGATAACGAGCGCGGTCGTCCTCGGAACACCGCAGAGTATAGACCGATGGTAATGCGCGAATCGAGAAGGCTCGACTCGAAACGTTTTCCAGGGAAGACTCCGAGTCCGAGAGGTTCAAGACGATGGCGGCGAGGTTTATGTCAAGCGTGAGCACAGCTGCGGTAGCATACATAACCAAACCACAACACGATGATAGCCAGCCCGCCAGCCTACTGCCAGGACGAGTGACGCGGCACACGAGCGCCCGGGAACAAATAGTGCCACCGCCAGTGTACACGCGTTCAGGCACGCGCAAGTCACGCGTGAGGTAACGCGACCGTGATTTAGGCGCTGCGGACCCGATCGCGATTCGCGACACGCCTCCCACCACGTCGACTGCGGGGTCCCCTACCGGTGCTGTCGCAGATCTGGAAGATGCCCGACTGCAGGACGCTGTAGACTGGCAGATTTTCGGAGACTCGTACTCCGGTTTGAAGCATCGATACTTGCACACACTGTCACCTTGCCGGGCCCGACCCAACGCCCCCACTTCACGCGCTGTAAGCACCCTGATATGGCGCACACTCTCCTCGGGCTCGCGGCCTGTCTGGCTCCTTGGCGAATCCCGGAGCGAGACATAGAGCCATGTTCAGAGGTTGCTGGCAGTCCTCTGCCCGCTTGGCCTATCGATCTAGAGAAAATGCAAGAGAAGTTCTTCAAGATCTCGGTAAGATCGCCTGAGTAGGGCTCAGAATTGACTACATGCGCTGACTAGCATGATATGCGGGCTGGCAGAAATCTAGTATGTCCGACGAGGAGGTTGAACAGGAAGCCATCAAGCTGTGGGTGAGTGGACTCCAATGGCTGTCCAATGTACTCAAGATCGCCGCTGACTTCGTATCCAGAAAGAGACCATCGACGAGGAGATCGAGCGTTCGCTCGTGGCGGAGCATTATACGAAATGTGGGCTAAATGCGGACGACATGCAGAGCAGGCAGCTGACAGCGTCTCAGCAGGAGCAGCTCCAGCTCGCATGGAACGACATTGTGCTCGCATGGAAGGTCAGTCCCTATCCTCCCCGCGCTACACGTATCGTCGGGGTGACAGCGCCCATCAGAGAGTCCATTTTTCCATCCCCTGTTTGAACCGGGACGAGGAGTTCAAGCGGGTCAGCACCATGTCGACCCCAATTCGTTTTGGCAGAGTTGTTTACGTATCCAGCAGCTCTTAGAGATCCTGAAAGACGAGCCGTGGGCCGCAGAGAAGACCGACGACGACTTCATCCCCTCCCCCGCCAGGTCCCCCCCCCGTCCCCGCCAGCGTACGGGACCACGACGTGCCCTACGTGCTCGGCTGGGCCCGCTGCAACCCCAAAGCCTGGCTCTTCATATTCATGCAGGCGCTCTACGCCGTGTCCGGCAAACAGAACGAGCGAGTGGTCGAGAGCGGCCTGCAGGTGCTGCGGGGCCACTCCCGCTACGAGCACATCCACACCCTCTTCGGGGTGCGCCTAGACACGATGCTCTGGGCGGACGACTTCGGGGGCATGATGTACGAGCGGCTGCCCATTGCCGATCTCCTGGTGATCGCGTGCACGGGCGACGAGTTCTACTACTACCGCAGGCCGACTGTGTCGCAGTACGCGTGGCTGAAGAAGCTGCTCGGCGAGCCGAAGTGGTACCGGTACTACCCCTGGTCGCGGAGGCAGTTCGATGCGGACGCGTTCATGGTCTAGGGCACTGCCTTGCTGAAGCAGTCTCCCACCCGAGCGGGCCTGGGTTGTAACTCCAGTTTTTGGCGTTGGGATGTTAGTATATATTATGTGCTCGCGGTTTACACATTATTCCGATCCGAGAACAGCTCTCGGGCTTCGCGGACTTCGAGGCCCAAGCCTGAGGGAGCCATCATTTTCGACCGCCGCGGGCACTGCCGGGGGACATGTACATTCTGTATAGGTGGTCTAGGATGTGTACACTGCAGCGGAGATGGGGACGACGGCACGATAGCGATGGGGATGTTTGAGTGGCAGACCCGGGTGCTGGCCGGCCTTCTCGGACTCGAGCCCGAGCATCAGACGCGTCCGGTCACATACGCGTGCCTACGCGCTCACTCGCGTGATGTAACGCGACTGTGATGAGGACAGGCGCCGACACTTTTCTCGCGCTCCGCGACGTGCGTGTCGTGCAACTCGGCGCTGGGGTCCTCGCTCTAAATTCCCTCCGGTAGTGAGTAAAGCCCTGTAGTGCGGGACGACCACCTGAATACGTACGGGACCTTTCCAAATCTCTTATTCAACGACAACGGGCACACCGTTTCTCTCACAATCCGAAGAGTCTGAACAGGTACGGGGCAACGACTGCTAGGTCTTTCGCAGGTCAGGCTCGTCGCTCTCTCTAAACGGCGAACACGCGGAGGTCAGTCTCTTCCTCATCTACCTCCTCACCAACATGCGCCTCAATATCTCACCTCCCTGTTGAGGAGCACATAAGTATGCACAGGGGTGTCAATGTGACTGCTCTGATGTTGCGCTGCTGCGAAGCGCCGACAGTCAGATGATGCTCGCTTGTGCGTTGAGCGCGCACTAAGAGGCACTAAGTAACTAAGCTTCAAGGCCCGCTGTTCGAGCTGAACTCGAACCACCACCTGTCGTGCACCTCGTCCACGCCCCGTGCCGTGACCCCGCAGGTCAACCATCGTCGGTGTTCAAGCCGTAGGTTCGTAGACAAGTCCGTTCACTATTCCTCTCGATATGTTGTTGACTGAAATCTCGGGTCGCGAACCTATAGTGAACCACGCGCGGGTCTGACCACGGCATTCGTCACTTCAGCATAACGGCGATGCTCGACCAAATCGCCAATTATGTTCGCAAGAAGCGATCGCGGTGAGTATCGCCGTCCCGAAGATGCATGGGCTCTCATCCTGATGCCCCGCTTTCATTAGCCTGAGCGTACGCGACCCAGCATCCGCCGCCGCGCCTTCACCCGCGCAACAGCACGATGCCGCAGTCGTCGAGAGGCCCCTCCCATTGCCTAATTCCACTGATGACGCGGACCTCGACAAGTGTACGGCAAACACGGCTGTGCCGGATGCACACCACCCCCAACGTCCGAGGAGCATGTCCGACCCGGGGGCAGCGCGACCTGCTGTAATCGGCGACCCTTCGATTAGCGAAATCACGGTTGTCAATTCCTCCGCGTCCGGAGGCACGGGCAACGGCCTCGCGTCCATCAACACGCTCCCCGACGAGCTCTTGGTCCCCATCCTCCTCCTGACGCGCCTCTGGCCTCCATGGTCCAGCAAGAAAATCAATCCAATACGCTACATGCTGGTCTGCCGTCGGTGGCGCGCCGTCATCCTCGCGCACGCGCACTTCTGGGATACCATAACCGTGCACAAGCGCACGGAGTGGCTACTTCTGGCTCTGTCCCGTTCTCACCAGGTGCCCTTGCATCTGACGTTCGCGGATCTGCCGACTCTTGCTGGCGTTCTTCCGCACGTCGTGCCCCTTCGTGACCGGATAGAATCTCTAGTGCTCGGACGAGGCTCAAAGGAAGAACTCGCGGCCGTGTCCTCCCTGATTAATGGCGTCTTTCCTTCCCTCACTAAGCTCGCAATCACGAACGGGGGCATCCCGAATCCCTTAACAGGTCCGGCGGTTGAGCAGCTGCTCTTCCGCCCCGCAAACTACCCTCGCCTGGTACATCTTGAACTGGAACGCCTCCCCGTCCAGCTGACCGAATCGCTCTTCCGCCACCTCACCACGCTCACCCTCAAGAGCTGCTCCCCTGCACCCTCCCAAATGACCGCAGACGCATTCCTCGACATGCTAGAGTCCGCATCGCGCCTCGAAAACCTCACCCTAAACCGCTTCGTGAGCGCAGCCTGCTCCCAACTCCCCTCTCCTTCCAGACACGCGTTCTCCCTCCCCAGGCTGCGCAACCTCGACCTCACCGATACCGTACAGTGGATCCGACAGCTCACGACCTTCATGGAGCTCCCTCCCCGCGGCAGCGTCCGGCTGGTCGGATCCCTTGCCAATCACGAGCTCGACGACGCCCTCATCCAGCACTGGACGCTCCTCCTCCCCCAGCTGCCCGGGCTGCCCTTCCTCTTCACCACCGACACCCTGTCCATCTCCGAATACCTCGGCCAGGCGGCCCTCCACTGCACCGGGGGCCCGCTCGACGTCTCCCTCACTCTGATGCCCGCGGACTTCACCGACTGGACGCACAAGCTCATCCCCTCGGCCACTATGCTGACGGCTGCGGCGGAACTCTTCACCACCTCCGCGCTCACGTCGCTCACGCTCAGCATCGACCTGCACGACGTCCCCCGCGCGGCCTTCGACGCCCTCTTCGACGCGCTCCCGCACCTCGCCTCCCTGCGCCTCACGCCCCACATGCTGCTCGGGCAGGACGAGCACCCGCTCCAGCCGCATCTGCTGGAGTCCCTGGCCGCCGCCTCAGACCGCAACGCGGTGGGCAGCTCCGACTCAGGCCTGGGGCAGCCGCGACTCCGTGCGCGCTGCCCAGGGCTCGCGCGCCTCACACTGGCGGGGTTCAGCTGGGACGGCGGCGCGGTCATGGCGGGGCTCGTGGCGTGCCTGCGCGCGCGCGCGGCACTGGGGGCACGGCCGCTGCAGTACCTGGGCGTTGCGGTGAAGCCGCGGAGGCGCGGGGCGGGATGGAAGGACGCGCGCTATGCGGCGCAGCTGAGGAAGGTGGTGGTGGGGGAGTATAAGTTCGAGGTGCGTACTGATGCGGTGTTTTTCTTCTAGGCTGCGGGTCTGTGCGTGCAGGCGGACTGGTTCTCTGACCGTCAGGCCGGGGCTACTCGGTGTTTCTTGATTACCTTAAAGTTTGGGTTGGTGCGTTTTGTTTTGTGCAACGGCTGTCTGAAGTCTTTCAGCCCCATGTTCCCATTCATTCTAATTTTTCGGATTCGCTCATACCCTGCGATAACTTGCTATCGTGCGCTGTCGTGTTATGTAGATGTTGTCCAGCTTTATCCTTGCGAGTGCACAATGCTATCCATCCAATTGACCACGTACATTGATGTACTTATGTCTGCGGCTGTCTGTGGGTGTCCCAGGTAAGTAGTCTTGTCGTGACCGTTCGCTAGACCTAGTTAGAAATCGCCTTCAGAATCACATTGTACACGCGTTGAGGGCAGTTAGTTAGACGCCAGGAGCCGCTGGGTTCATTGCGGAGGCGGAGTCGAAACTCGGACAGATGGTATACCAAGTCAAACCATCACCTTTTGTGTACGCACACCACTGTCTTCGAGACGTCTGCATAGGCTGGGAGTCGCAGGTAAGTTGTTTCCCCAGTCGATACATGTGATGGCCACCGTTGTTGACGAATCCACGCCCGGCGCGATGTTGCAGCCAGCGTGGTCTGACCACACGTCAACGGATGCCGGCGATGTTCGGCAAGATCGTGAGATATGTGCGCAAGAAACGGTCGCGGTGAATATAGCTCCAATGCCATATAGCCTGTTGTACTGACTCGCTTTTTTCTTGATCGTAGGGTACGAGCGGAAGAACACCATGTCGCGCTCCTCGTCGACCGTTCCAAAGAGACCCGGCTTATCCATCTGAAAAGTCAAGGCATGCACCAGGACGCTGTTGTCGCGAACTCGGACAAAGACGTCTCTCCTATCGATGCACATTCTCTGCATCGCCCATGCAGCTTGCATGACCGCACCGATGCTCCCGAGGATCTTGACCACGACGGCGCTGCCCAGAAAATGGATGCCTCAATACCCGCGGAAGAGGCGTTCATGACCAAGCAATCCTCGGCCGACGGTGGTGCAATCGTGGATTCGCTTACTCTTGGGAGGATGTGGAATTCCTTCGCTTCTATCAACACACTGCCCGACGAGGTGCTCGTCCAAGTCTTCCTCTGCACTCGTCTCAAGCGTCATACGTGGTCCAGAGATATCAGTCCTGTCGAGCCAACCCGATACATGGCGGTTTGCCGACGCTGGCGCGACACCATCATCGGTCACGCGTGTTTCTGGAACACTATTCTTGTTGAGGAAGGCAAAAAATGGCTGCCACTCGCGCTATCTCGCTCTCACCAGGCTATGCTTCACCTGGAGTTCGATCATCTTCCGACCCTCGCCTCTTTGCTTCCCGACGTGGTACCCCACCGCGACCGAATACGCAATCTGGTTCTGGGCTACCACCCACGCTATACTGAATTCATGACGGTCTCCCCCTTGATCGCGGCGCCCTTCAAATCCCTCACCAGGCTCAATATTAGCGCTTCCACACGTTATCGTCCGGATGTTGGCTATTTTGTCCTTCTTCCAGAACACTACCCACAGTTGATGCAACTTGAGCTGAAAGGTCTTCACGTCAAATGGACCGCATCCCTCCTATGTCAGCTCACGAGTCTATCCCTTTCCAACGGCACCACTGCGCCCTCCCCCATGCATGCCGACACATTTCTGGATGTGCTTCAGCACGGTCAGAACCTCAAGAGCCTCATCCTTGATGGCTTCATAAGTGCGGCATGCTCAAACCCCCCTTCCCGATCCAGACATCCGTTCTCCTTGTCCAATCTGGAGGAATTCCGCATCACCGATTCAGCGCAGTGGATCCAGCATCTCATGACCTGTGTGCAGTCCCCCACACAACATGCCGGTTGGGTCGCCCTCTCCGGCGAGGTCGCGGTCGGCGATCTCAGCAATGCCCTTATCAGCCATCGTGGGTTCTTGCTACCACCCGAAGTACCTTTCTTTCCGGCCAACACCACTTCCCTCGTGGTCCTTATCCTCTGGCCTGCCACAAGATTTATCCTTCAAAGCTCCAATAGCCAGGTGCACACGACCCTCGCGCTAGATCTCCCCGCGCACGTGCCCCTGCCATCGAACACGATCCTCGCCTCCATTAAGGGCACACTCGATACTCATCTATTGCGCGCGCTCGATCTCCGTATACCTATGCATAACGTCGACCGCGATGCGTTCGATGCATACCTCGACGCGTTCCCGTACCTGCAGTCTCTGCACATAGGAACAACCGCAAGGGAGAAGAACTACGACCCGCTTCCTGTATGCATCTTTGACTCCCTGATGTCCCGGAACCATGCACTCGACAAGGATGATTTCGACGTTGGCCGGATCCGTGTACGGTGCCCGAATCTGGAGTCACTCAGTCTGGGAGGCCTGTCCTGGGATGGCGGAGCGGTCATGGATGCCGCGCTGGATTGCCTGAAAATCCGAGCGGCGCTGGACGCGCCGCAGCTGAAGTTCCTCGACATCCGTGTGTTGCCGCGGCCGCTTAAGGGCAGGCCGAGGGGATGGCGAGCGGTGGACCTGCGGTACACTGAGCAGCTACAGAATATGGTGTCGAATACGTACTCGTTCTTCGTCGGCGGGACCTATTAGCCAGTCCCATGATCACATTCATTCCAAATACTCCACTCGTTATACCCTTCGCAATATGTTGTCGTGCGCTGTCATGCTCTGTATATGTTGTCCAGGTTTTGTCTCGCAAGTGCACAATCCAATCCACTCGTTTGATCACGCCTGCATGGTATTGGGAATACATACATCGCAGCATAGTACGCAAATACTTCGACCACGGGCGTTCCTTCGACAGCACTACAGAGAGATCGAGAGATCTAGATAGTGATGTCAGTCCACTTCGAGGACAAAGTATCGTCGCATTCCGTGAGCACGACCTAGCATCTCGAAGTCAACGGGGGGAACACAAGGCAGTGCAGCGAACCTCGAGGCGATGACGCACGCTGTTCCCGTCGACGAACTTCTTGGTACTGATGACGAGGTTCGTGTTAGGCCAGAATATGCTACCCAAGACCCAAAAGGATTAATACAAGCACGAAAGAAAGCTCGAATGAGGGGATGTTACTGACCGCACTGTGCCTCTGCCGTCTGCGATTTGAGAGCGTTCGACATGCCAACCTACCGGATACGGGCTTGCGACGATGTGGGCACTTGGCTCTGCGCGTCCTTGCACGGTCAAGTACAGCGGCTCGTTGTTTAAAGAAGCCCGACATGCTTGGATAACCTCTTCGTCTCCGATCCTGACAAATTTCCACTAGGCCAAGGCAGGTTGTCAGCGAGAGCGACTGTTACAGCGGCGCAGACCTTACTTGCTGACTAGGCTCCTTGTGAGTGGGGCCGTGCTTCACCCATCTCCTGGAGGCGTTCTCCAGCTCAAGCGCAGCATCTTCATCAACGTTCGTGAGGACGTGCAGAGTGGGAGGTGGTGGTCCAGTAGGCCTGGGTCCCGTCCTATTCACATCTTCGGCATGATCGGAGGACGCGGCGAGTATGCCGCAGCGGGTGAAGTGCCAGAGCTGGCACTGCTCACCCTGTTTGAGACGCATGATCTGTATCTGGTACAGATATGACAGTGAGTACCTGCCTGGTTCAACGGTGTCTCGGCTGCTGAATAGGGCATACTGGGGTACCGGGATGCGAATTTCCCCAGCCACTCAGCTCGACAACATAGTTTGTCTTTGGCCACGAAATTCTGGGGCGGACGCAGGAGGACACGCACCGTCAACGTTAGCCCGAGAGCAAATGTTGTACACACATAGATACCTTAGCACATCGCCAATCAGGGCCACATCCCAGCTCGTGGGGATGGTGGAAGCCTTGCCGCGGGTCTGCTCTGCGAGACGGCCACCCGCGATGGAGAGGTAAAGCGACTCTCCCTTCTTTGACTTGCAGCAGCTTTCAATCGCCCACCCGAGCCCCGTACTGACGAATTTCCACTGCCAGTGGCGTGAGCCAGCCCGTAAACCCCGCATCGCGCAGTGCGCCTGCGTACCTGTTGGTTTGCCCGGTAGTGCACAAGATGTCCCTCCAGCCTCTCGAGACACGCAAGATCGAGCGCGGTTCCGCCTCTCGCGTTCAACAGGGCATACGTGCCGTGGGGCAAGAAAGCGTCGCAGAGCGCCATCGCGCTGAGTCGCCTGTCTGGTGGTTAGCAGTGGTGGAGAGAGGGCCCAGCACGAACTGGTCGACTTCAACCTCCCGTTGTTCTTGCGGTCCTCATGGCATACTCATGGCATGCTGCTGCGGTAATTAAACCTTCGATCGGCATGGATAGGTGCATTCGGCGCATGCGCGCTGGAATAGCAGCAGTGCTTATGGCGGATGGATGGGTTAGTCGCATGCACAATCCACAATTGACAGCGAGCGACGTACTTCAAGGGCACCCTTGTGTGTAGGGGATCTGGAAAAGCGGGGGCAAAGGATGCTCTGAGGGGCACGCACAAGCACGCACAACACCTAGGGGCCGTGAAACAACTGTGTATGGAGGGAAGCAAGATCTCCCCAGCGCGAGCCATGCCTGGCTTGCAGAAGCCGATCAGCTCGCAACCTCACCACGTCCATGCGTCCGGCATCCACAGGAGGGCGTGTCAAGCAGACCGAGAGGGAAGTTGGATCGTCCAATGTCCGAGGACGGCGTGTAGAGATAGCATCCATCTAGTGTACATCAGTCACATAACGTTGACGCGGCCGAGCCCTTCTACGGCCTCTTCTCGTCCGAGTCGCCCATCGCGGTGACGACCTCCGAACTCGCCCGGTCCGTCCCGTCCACCGTCCCGTCCGCCTCTGCCGCACACAAAATCAGCGCCCGCCCGCTCTCAACGTGAAGACGGAGGAGACGCACCTTGGATCTGCTTGATGGGGCCGGTGAACCACTTGCGCGCGCTGAGCGCCCAGAAGCCCATGCAGTACGCGAGCACGATGCCGACGGCGACGATCGTGTAGTTGAGCGTCTGCGAGTCGACGGGGTTCGCCTGCGGGAGGATGAAGGCGATGGAGATGAAGGCGATCCACAGGCAGGAGATGATCGCGACGGGGTAGGAGAACGCGCCGAGGTGGAACGGTCCGCGCACGAAGCGCTTGCGGTAGACGACGCGCAGCCCGATCGGGATGGCTAGAAATGGGCGAGTGTAAGCGGGAAAGCGGGCAAAGAGAGGCGGAGGGAAGGGGAGGAGACGTACCGTATGAGATGTACAGACCGATGGTGGCTATACTTGTCACCGCCGAGAACGCAACGGAGCTACCGAGACTGGGCAGGGCGAGGATGAAGCTGAGCGTGCACGCGAGCCACACTGTCGAGAGTATATGAGCTTGTAGCATGGGCCCAGACATCATGCGGAACATACCGGTGCGTATAGGCGACTGGCTGTCCTTCGAGACCTTGTGGAAGAACTTGTGTCCCGGGATGCCACCGTCGCGTGCGAACGCATACATCATGCGGCTGTTCGACGTAAGCGAGAACGTGCCACAGAAAAACATCGCGCCAATGACGATAACCTGCGCACGTCCAAATGAGCCACTTCCAACACATGTGATACAGGCATATCCAACGTACCATGAGCACGATGGCGCCCTTCTCCCCAACGGTGTCGAGGAAGATCTGCGCGACGGGCTGTCCGGTCGCAGAGCCGATGGTCCCCTCCAGGTCCTGGATGGAGAACAGCAGGCCGAGGATGAGGAACCACCCGAGCACGGCGGAGCACCCGATCGCCATCACGATGCCGACGGACCCGGCCATTGCTGCGTTGTGCGTCTCCTCTGTCATCTGCTCATTTACGCGTCAGTTATGTGCGAACCCGCGTTTACCGCCGCGACTCACGTGTGCACTCCCATCGAAGCCTGTGACAAAGTCAATATATATTCCCTCAGTTAATAAAGTATGGTGCTTACCCGTCAGCGTGTACTGCGCCATGAGGATACCGACGACGACGACATACGCCGGGCTCGCGCGCTCGCTCCAGCCCACCCCGTCGACGCCGGTGTTGTCGATGAACTTTTGGAACACGAACTCCGCCGACTGATGTGAGGGCGCCGCGGCGAGCACCGCGATCACGAGCGCAGTCGTGCCCACCGCGTGCCACCAGATCGAGATGTTGTTGATGTACTTGAGCAGGTGCACGCCGAAGGTGTTGATGAGGCCCTGCGAGATGAGCACCGCGGCGTATATGCCGGTGGTGATGCGCGGCTCGGGGACGAAGTTGGTGTTGAACGTCGCCAGGGTCGAGATGAAGTTCGCGCAACCATAGCTGGGGCGGTCGACGTGAGTTCCTGTTAGACTGAGGATGCGGAAGGTGGATTACCTGATACCAGCGGTCACAGCGACTTGGCCGAGGAGGTTGAACCAACCGGTGACCCAAGACGCGAAAGCTGCGTTCTTGGGCTCCGACAACATCGCCGCCCAGAAATATGGCCCACCACTTGTAGGATGTGCGCTGCAGACTTCTGGGATAGACGTCAGCCCGCAGAAAACAAGCACCGCGAGGGAGAAAAAAACTTACCGCCCATCGCCAGACCTACCAACATAGTGAAAAATGCTAGCGCCGGAGGTTAGGAAAACCCTACGGTCGATTTGACGCTTCCCGACGTACCGACGACAACGAAGCCCCACACCATCACCACGGGACCACCCGTATTCTATAGAACGTGAGCATGAATGAGTAAATCACGCTTCCGCGCGGACGTGGAAGAGCACGTACAAGTCCATAAAGGAAAAGCGAGGGTATACCGGTGATCACACTGATGATAGAGAAGGAGATGCCGAAGTTCTGCAACGAAGCGGCTGTCAGCCACAGTTGTGTATTTCGCACCCGAAACCATTTTGACTTGCCTGAAGCAGCGTAAGGTCGCGCCTGCAAACGACGAGCCGGTTAGCTCATTTCGCATTTGAAACATGCGAGACCGACGTACTTGAGCTCCTGCTTATAGCCCATTCTCGCCAACTCGGCCTCATCGTCCACAGCCACCTCCGCGTTCGTGTGGACATGCCCGCCCTTTTCGATGATCGAGTCGTCCGTCATGGTTGTGTCGGCCGCTGGGGGTCTTTGCGAGCAGGACTGTGGGCGGACCTCGGGATGGGAGGAGGAGGATTCCGGCTGCTATCGCATACGCGCTCCGCGGTATAGAGTCCTATATATACAGGCGATAACACGGACGCCCCGATTCCGAGCAGCGGTGGGAGTCAAGTGAGAAAGGTTGATTGCCGGCTGCTTTTCGAAGTTAGCAGCGTCCCCTGATGATTGCAGGCGCCCGTGTATCCCGCAGCGCCAAGGCCTTATCGGACAGCTCTCCAGGGCGGCGCCACGCGGGTTTACGCGCTGCTTTTTTCGAACGCGACCAACTGTTTGCGTCTTCCACGCACGTACTGCCATATTGTCAATGACTCGTCGCCTGAGAGCAAAGACGGACAAGACGGCCACGACCGTTGGATTCGGGAAAGGCAATATAAGCGCTGAGATAGGATGAGTGATCGAGACGAGATTGAGATAACTTCCAGATAAGGCACCAAAAACTTCTCTTCCGCCGGCTTGTATGTTGTAGCAGAGCGGGACTTGCCGATCGAGCCACCCCAGGCCACCCCGCATCGCAACAAGTTGAAGATCGACCTGTCATCCTTTCCTTATCAACGAGCCAGCCCTGGCCAGCCACGGTGGAGAAAACACAAAGTCAAGGTCGAAATAGTTGGAGTCTTGGTTTTTGTGACGTCGCCTTGACCGAAGAAGAACGAGAGAGAATGTATTTCCAAGATATACCAGGATCAGCAGGGGCCAGCCTTGGCCGCGACGTTAATGGTTCGCGTTCGGGTGGAGGACGAAGGGTACGCGTTTGGGCCTGAAATCTTATGTCGTGAGGAAGGGCCCGGCAGAGAACACGATGGTTGTTGACGAGGACTCGGAAGAGGCTCCGAGACGACCAGTGCCAGTGTGCGTGGTTTGTGGGGAAGGTCAGGCTTGGGTGACTTCGTGAGATCTCAAGCTAGGCAACAGTGGGGCCAACCTGACTGAAGTCTGAGTGCGAAGAAGCGCCGACTTCACGTATGGCCGCTGCCGCTTTCGGAACTCGGCAGATTCCGACATTCCTACTCTTCCTCCCACATCTTTTCATCGGCAAGCTTGGAGTACAGCTATAGGAGCCCTGCGGTATGGTGAGCATAAGTACGGACGCTCTAGAGGTTCGTAATTTCATAAAATACTTACGTGTAACTGCAGAACGTAAACGTGGTGACGCTTTCAGCTGAGTGAGCTCCTGGATCGGAAGAGCGGATGCGAGTGACCATCCAAATCATGCCGAACGGGGCTGTATTTTGGGTCGAATGCATCGTGGAAGCCACGCATGCAAAGAGGGTTTGGTTTGACTGCTTATTTGTTACGAAGGAACTCGCGCTCCAGCGGCACCGTTGGCGCTTTGTATAACAGACTCAATGGGCTTTCGACTGGAACGGCCCCCCGCCACGACTCACATCGCAAGCAACACGCCTACGTCGCGATAATCCGTAACGTAAGCTGATCAGGGCAGTTTTAGCGTCACAAAGGGAGGAAGTCTGACTATAAGAATCGTCGCACTTTCGGGCCACTCGTAGACGCTTCAGGTTGCACAACACTCCATCAGTTTGGGTACCGCCACTCATGCACACACAGATTTCTCCTTGCTTACATGATATCGTTCAGCAGATATTACATGGTTGATATACCCCAGAAGAACGGATCTGGCAGAAGCCCAATCTCTATACCGCTAATGCCATGTCAGATGCTTACCCTCCACCGAGTTATCCGCCTACCCGCACTCCACCCTCTCTTTTCGACCGTCTGCCGAACGAGATTTTGATGGAAATATTCAAGGCCTTCTGGGATCTGAGGCTGGAAAGGTTTCTTTGGAGCGATAACCCCGGATCTCTAGCTGCCCTTCCCCTCTGTTCCGTGTCTCGGCGCTGGCGCGATGTTGCCCTTGCTGTTCCTCAGCTCTGGTCATATGTTCAGGTCAAAACGCCGGCCGATATCGAGTGGATGAAGCTCGCAAGGACGCGCTCACGACGTCACCCCATCGCCCTTTCGGTCGAGATACACGACGAGGACGCGTGCACCGTGATGCTCTCAGCGCTCGAAGATGGCCGTGCGCTCATATGCGACCTCGATATTAGCCTGGCCGACGATGAAGATGATGCTTGGGAAATCGGGATAAACCTCGCGGCGCTGGTCATGGGCTTTCTCAACGCCGGAATGCCTGCCCTGGTATCTCTCGTCGTCAGCATACCTGACTGGCCAGAGCTGGAGCCCCCAGAAGCCTTGCTCACACTGGACGCCACCCAATTCCCGCGTCTTCGCGAGCTCGACGTCTATCGCCTCCAGCTGTCATGGATGCCCGATATATTTGCTCGGCTGCGTACACTCTCCATGGGAAACTGTCGCGGCGACCGCGTTCTGCCGACATCCGAGTTCCTGGACGTCCTCGCGATCGCCCAGCAGCTCGAGGACGTGTCTATGGAGGACGGAATGCCCTTCCACAATTACCCGGTAGTGATCGCGCGGGATAGACCGAACGAGCCCATCGCGATCTCAAGCCTACGCAGGCTCGAGATTCACGACGACGACTGGTTCGTCTTCGCCCTTCTGCAGAGCATACGTCTCCCTGTCGGGATCCGTGCGAACCTCGAGGTGTACGTGTCCGGGCAGTGGCACCGGGAGTCGCGATCAGTGCACAAGACCTCCGGGCTGCTGCCGATGTCCATTCCGGACGACCCCGCCAACGTGCATTTCCTCGAGACGACAACATGTGCAGATATCAACGTCCCTCCAGGCGTGTGTGAAAACTATGCGTATGTCGATTGTGATGGACGCTTCCGCCTCACACTCGCCTTCTTCGCCTACGAAGCGCCGCCGTTCATGCGCTCGCAGTGCATCCTCGAGGACTTCAGGGCCCTCTTCCGCCGGGCGCCCCTGCGGAAACTCTCCGTCGCATGTCACCTTGTCCGCATCCCGCACGGGCTGTGGGTCGAGCTCTTCCGCACCTTTCCCTCTCTCTGCGAGCTGCACCTCCGCGGAGAGGGCTACCCGGGGCGGCTGCTGGCTGCCCTCGCCGCACGCCCGGCAGAGGAGAGCGCGTCCGCGGCGGTCCCGCGTCCTCTGCTTTTGCCAAATCTGACTACATTCACCCTCAAGTACTTTCCGTGGCACCGTGAGCTGTTCGGGGCGATCGTGCGCACTTTCGAGGGGCGGGCGAAGGCAGGTGCGTTGAGGATGCGCGAGATACACGTCGTACTCCGTGAGAGGCAGAAGAACGCGTATTTGAACAGTATGCTTCTTCGCGATATTGCGGCGCTGAGAGAATACTGTGATGGCGTTGTGTATGAGGACACGAATCATGCGTGTGTATGATCACTTAGTTGATCGTTTGTTTGTCGATATACTGTCCCAAATTGCATGCAACGATTGTCCTTTGGGCATTGCACTACACCGGTCAGATCTAGGTTGAAGCGGGAACTTCGAGATAGACTATGATGTCACTTCGGGAGCATGGCTTCCATGTGAAGGATGCCCAACGCTCGAAAAAAGTCGACCGTGCCGAGTGCTGTCATCATCTATCGACACCGCAAGTCGGCGCCGAGTTTCAAGGGTTGCCTTGAGTCGCTCTGCCCGATCGCTTCAAGGACTCACATCCGTCGTGCCGATGTCGACAATAAAGGCGTTTGGGATCGCTCAGATTGTTGCGAAAGATGTACAGTTGCGCCTGAAAGTAATCTAACAACTGCTCTGACCTGAATAAATGAGGAACATGCATACGTACAAAAATTCGTACATCCACAGCTCGAGAAACATGTCAAAACACTTACAAAGTATACACCTGGACGCTGTCCGTAGCCGACTCGCCATCCCCATGCAACTGCGCGCAAACACCGCACCTGTCAGCCACGCACACATCCTCAAAAGCAAATACACACGCACCCGCAACTCGATCAGCCGCTCGTCATCCATCATGTACGACGCAGTCCTATGCACGCCCGGCTCCGCCCGCGCCTCCACCAGCCGGCTCGTCTCGATGTACGGCAGCCCGCTCTCGACGTCCTCCACGAACGGGTGGCACTGCAGCGCTTCCTGCGAGTCGCGCTTGATCACCGTCGGCCAGTCCACGACCTCGACGAACGCCCGCGCGGGCCCCGCGGGGTCGTCGAGCAGCGCCTCCTCCGTCTGCATGACTTCCACGCCGCCTGAGGTAGGCGAACGTGTGGCTGCCGCGACGCGCGCCGGGTGCACGTTGAAGTCGTATACGGAGATCAGCTGGCGGTCGGGCACCTGGTGCGCCCGGCTGTACACGACTTTCTGGCCGTGTACGTATCTGTGCGGGCGTGAACGGGTGAGCATCAGACGGTACAGAAAGCATAACAGGCGCACCGTGCAAAAGCTGCCCCAACAATGAAGCGCGTCATAATCCGCGCGTTCTTCGGGCCCCACTGCGTCCACGGGACGACCTTGGGCCGCGACTCGCCCTCTGCGCGCGAGGCGTACGAGCGCAGGTGCGCGCTGTGCACAAAGCCCATGTACCGGCTCGACACCTGCCGGTGGTTGTGCGTCACGTACTGCATCGTGAACACGACTATATGCGCGTCCGGGGCGGCGGTGAAGGGCCGCGAGCGGGGGAGATCGGCGAGCAACGGCGTGCTGTCGAGTTGGAAGTGGGATATGTGCCAGCCGCGGTCGATACGCGGGAGCTGCAGGCGCGCGCACGGTCGCACCATGCGGAACGTTTGGGCGAAGGTCGGGGAGATACAGTCGATGTCTTCGAGGGAGAACACGACCAATTCGCCACGGGAGGCGTCTGCGAGGACAAAGATGCGGGGTGAGAGGAACGCAAGGCCCGTGGCGAGGTACGGTAAGGTGCTCTCGATGCCCACCTGTGTCAGCGTTGTGTCAGTGAAGGTGTCATTTGATGAATGGCCTTGGAAACAGCATACGAGGATCTCCTTTCCCGTCTGCCAATTCCATATGGTGACGTGAACGCAGTCCGACCATTCCACGAGCGCAATCAGGTCGTGCGCGATATACACCGAGGTGATCAGCAGGTTCGCTACGCCCTCGGGCCTCAACAAAGGGCTCGCGGCCTTTGGGTGCGCCGTGTAGGTGGACAACGACCACACATGCACGCTACCAAACAACATGAGCTTCGCTCTTCAATAAGAGCAGTCGACATACCGGCCAAACACGTCCAACAGCGCAATAAGGTCCTGAGTGGGGTCAGTCGTGATGTCCAAGACCTTCATGTCCAGGACATGGTGCGTATACTCCGCGCGCGGATTAAGACCCGTCGGCAACACGGTCTGGTTGATAGTGATCTGGCAGGCGACGTTCCGGATGTTCAGGAACGTTCCGCCCTGGAGCTCGTACGGTAGTGGCGATTGCGGGATGACCTCCTGCGGGGTGAGCGGGAGCACATGGGACCAGTCGAGCGTTAACCACCTATTGCGCCGTTCGAGGAGCTGGCTTAGGCGCTCGGAGGTGCAGGGACCGCCCGCAGGGCCGTCTATCAAACCTTCGATGCCGAGCTCGACCCGGTAGAGGAGCGTGGTGTTGGCGTCGATGAGGGCGTTCAATGTTCTGCAGATCTGTGAAGCGCAATTGGTTAGCACATGATACCCATACGTGAGTCTAAGACGAATATTACAAAGAAAGTTGAGTGGAGGAATCTTCCCCCGATCATCATTGCCACGATGAAGACTGGGCACACTGCGTTCAGGCAGGCTTCAAAGATGCAACGTTTGGAGGCGAACGGACCCCCGCAGAGTGGGGACCATAATCTCGTGTGGGGTTTGGGCATGCATCAGACCGTAAATTACCTGAAAGTTAAGAACAGGACTCGCGTCTGATCAGCTTGCGAGACAGATGTGCGGGAAGGGAGACGGCGCGTGCTCGCGTGCACCACCCGCAATGCGTATATATGCCGTACTGGGCATTCAGGACATCCACATAACTGTATGCGAGACTAGACGGTATGTAGGGTGTCAATAAGACTAAAAATTGTACCAGAGACTGTGTATATGGCTTATTCGGCATAAGCGCTCTGTAGCTCGAGCGAGGCTCCAAAGGCTTACGACCTGAACTTCGTCCGCAACAGAGTGCAGACTGCTTTCCCGTAGAGTATGAGCACTCACTCGTCTGCAACGCGCGATCTCGCGATAATCGAGCAGTTTGAGCATCTCGACGAGGAGCTCGCGAGGCAAGTCGAGGAATGCTTTAGTGGTGATGCTGTGCCGCAAGTCCTCTTGAGGGTATTCGCAGACCGTGCGCAGAGGGGACAGTCTGGAAGCTGGCATAGGTTCTAGCTGCAGTATGCGTGCTATGGTGTATACGGATAACAAGCACTAGCCGTAACGGTGATGGGAGGAGGAGAACAAGATGTGTTTGCGGTCTCCGCTCCCACAATAGGCTTCGGCGCTTGCCGGCGTAATGTCTAAAGGATGTCGGCCTGGGTGGGCCGCTTCCATCCGGTCCGGGCGCCGGGCAAAAGGTTCCGAGGTGCGCTTCCCGTCCACTTCGCCGCGTCTTCCTCTTTCCCTTCCCTGAGCCTCCCTGCATATTGGCTTCGTCGTATCGTCCCTGAATGGTCGGCGAGCAGCATATATCCACCGATGCCGACACTACGGACGCCAACGCTATGGCATCGTTCCCTCCCCGCTCTTCTTTACTGCGACTACCGGAGGAATTGCGCATCGAAGTCCTGAAGCACCTTGATGTGAAGTCTCTCATACGCTGCCGACTGGTACGTCCAAATCTACTCCTGCTTGGCAAGGGGGGATCATAATGCAAGGAACAGGTATGCGCGGCGCTCCGGGACCTCGTGAAAGAGTCCCTGCAGCTCCAGTACAACATCGAGCTCGCCGCGGACGGTCTAGTCGACGGCACCGGATCCTCTCTGTCTGTCGCCGAACGCTACAAGTTGCTCCTCGAACGGCGCAGGCGGTGGCGCTACCTCGACTGGAAGAGGGTCGACACCTTCTCTGCTCCAGCCGCGTGCCAGGCCTACGAACTCGTCGACGGCGTGTTCGCGTCATCCAGGGGGTTTGGCTTCCTGGGCTCGCGCCACCTCGCGATCACACGACTGCCGACGCTGGAGGAAGGCGTGCAGCACGTCGAAAGGGACGACATTGGATTCACGGCGCGCGACTTCGCTATGGATCCGTCGCAGGATTTGATTGCGCTGGTACTCACCGACGGGGTAACGTGAGTCCTCCCTCTCTCCTTCCTTCTCCCGTAAGGTGCAAGAGCGGTGGAGCAGTTGAAGTCGGAATATCGAGGATGGACTTACGAATGACTCAGTTTTGCACTTGTGAGAAATCTCAAGTATTATCCGGCACGAGCTAGATTGTTTCCGGCGGTTACAAACCATCGGGCCGTCGAGGAGGATGTAGCCCGTGTGTTCACGCGAATGCTGGCGTGCACTACGTGAGCAGATTCTTGCGGCTTTTATAATAAGAAATGTCTATGATATTACATATTTCAGAGCCCCGTATAACAGTTCATTCCATATGAGAGGTTGATTAACCTCGCGCGTACCACGAATTTTCTGCGATTGCCTGCGTTTATTTCCTTCTGACAGGTTTTCTTGGTCAAAGGCATGACGTTTCCTGCACATATCTACTGGTTCTTGCATGACTTCAACATTGCTTACGCATGTGTTTAGAGGTGATGAAGACAACAAGATCCTGGTCCGCCTCCACACGCTCAGCGGCAACCGTCCACACCCAGAGGCTGCCATACCGGAGCTCAGCGTATCTATACCATCTGGGCACTACGACCGCGCATTCATCCAGGTCTTCGATGATGTCGTCGGCATGTTTTTCTGGATGCATGATCCTGCCCTCGTCATCTGGAACTGGCGTACGGGGAAGATCGTCGTGGTGCGTGAGGAATCACACTCCAATCACCTGGCGACTTAGCTAACCCGGTGAAGCTAGAACTGCGTCGATTCAGGTCTCCCCAGCGGCGCATACGACTGTTCGTTCCTCTCAAGCCGCGCCTACATGATCACCACGACCGCCGCGGCGGGTGCCATCGCGATATACACGTTCAGCGGCGACGTCGACGCCTCGTCTTCACCAGCACCGCCCACGCACGTCGCCCAGCTGCAGCTGCCGCCCGTCAAGCCAGGCCAAGACCCGATCCGGTTCTACACGCACTCGGCGCCGTCCGTCGCGCGGCCCACGCCTGGACGCCCGTTTGAGACCTCCGGCGACTGCAGGCTGCACGTCATGGAACTCAACTACGGCGAGCGCACCGTGCGCTTCAACCTGTTCCTGCGCAGCACCACGCTGCTCGCGTACATCCCCCCAGGCGTAGGCTCGGGCGCGTCGTTCACGCCCGCGGTGAAGGCGTGGGACGAGTGGGGCCCGGACAACACGCGCTTCTGGCCGATCATGGGCGGTTTCCAGTGGTTGAGGTGCGTTCCCGCACATTTTCCCAGCTTCGGGAAGCGATGCTGAGCACACAGGATAGATACGTGCACGGGGAGCGCATCGTCCTCCCAGCGATGATCCACGGCATGCCGATCCTGGCTGGCACGACGACGATGATGATGTACGACTTCCACGTGCACCCTAAGCGGCTGGACGACCCGTGCCCGCTGACCCTCCGGACGGACAGCGCCATCGCGGATCTGGTCACGGAGGGCACGCCCATCGTTGCGGACGCGGTGTTTGTGGCCCCGGTGGTGACGCGTCTGCCGTTCATGATGGTGCGCAAACAGCGGGCGGTGCTGAACCCGGACTATTCTGGGTTTATGATCGATCATGAACATCTGGTCGGGATGCGGGTGAGTGTGGTTGGTGACCCTGTCTTGTCGTGTACTGCTGCTGATATTTCTGTAGGACGTGGATTTAGATATCCCGGATATGGAATTTGACTCCACCGACATGAACGTGGACGTCTTCACGTTCTGAATATAGAGGTCGTATCTTAGAGCTGCGCTCGTCGTTGCTCGTCGGGGAATCATGCTGTGTGAGCCCTTGAAAATATTTCGGTCGTCTCTGCGCTGCGCTAACGTTTCTTTTCCCAGAGAATAGGTAGATTTTGAAATATACCAGCCCTTTGTGTCTTTACAAGTATGTCGTGTGCTCACTTCGCTCGGGTTATCAGCAATTTCTTTCCCGGGCGCAACGAGCGCCTACTGATGGGGGCGGTTGTGCGCCTAAGGTAATGACATCATCGGTGGCGGACGACCACCTCCAGTCGCGGGCGACAGCCTGGAGACACATACCTCTCTCCCTCTCACCACCACCACTACCACTATAGAAGCAACATTTTTCTCCTCCAATCCATATCTTCATACCCCAAGAACATCCAACACAACATGACAGACACTCTCATCACTATCCCGGGGGTCACCGCGCATCACATCCTCGGCGAAGCCAACGTTACTCTCGGCGCAGGCGACCTCAACATCGTGCCGGCGGTAGGAGGGAAAGACCTTACCTTGACCGTAGGAGGAGCCGCGTTTGCGCTAAAGAAGGGGGTTGAATTCGGCACGCTCGAGGACGATGCGCGGGCGTACGTGTTCTCTCCGGAGATCGAAGGCGTTCCAGGCGGGTGAGCAGCGCCTGTCTCAAATTGGCGTCGATTCAGGGTGCTCATTTCACTTTCCTCGCAAGATACGTGAAGCTCGGCTTGCCGGAGGGTGTCACGGAGGACGGTTCGCGACTGTCGGAGCTGCAGACACGGTTCGAGGAGATTCTGATCGAGCACGGGCTGCTGCAGCCCGCAGAGGAGTCGAGCGCGCGCCAGAAGATCAAGGACGCGATCTCTTCGTAGGGCTTCCCCTGTACCCGGCCTCGATACCTATCACTTATTCGGGCTATCATGAATGTGTAGAAAGAACACCGCGTCCCTAGTAACCATACCTGGCGCGGTTGCCGCGCAGGTTCTCGGCCAGGAAACGACCATTCTCTCAGAAGGCGCCCTCTCGTTAGCCGTAATCTCTCGGACAGAGGGAGAGTCTGTCGAACCCTTGTTGACCTTGACGGTCGGTAAGGCTACCTTCCCTTTATTCAAAACGACAACATTTGGCACACTTGCGGACGACTCGCGGACATACCTGTTCACACCCCAAGTGGAGGGCGCTGTCAAAGGGTAAGCATTTTATCTCGCTTTTCGCTATGACAAGATACTGAGGATTGCGTTGTCCGCATAGGCTCGTAGCCATCGTACTACCGGAATCTATTGAGCAACCCGGGAACGACCTGGCGGAGCTGCAGAACGACTTCGAGCTCGCGCTCATTGAATACGGGCTGCTCAAGGACGGTCTTGAGGCCTCCGCAGACGAGGTCGGCCGCAGCGTGCGCGAAGACTCTGTGCGGCTCGCACAACGCGTCCGCGAGGCCAAGGAACTGTGCGTCTGCCCCTCCCCCCTCTCACCAGCAATACTGACCCCCTGCAGATACCTACAAACACACCCACGCACGACTAACCCAGCGCGCTTCTCCAACACCACGCACAACGTGACAAGTAGCAGCGAGTCCGGCACCCAATCTATCGCAGACGCCGCGCGCTGGGTGTCCGGCGCCGTCACCTCCGCCTCGTCCTCCGCGGGCGCGTGGATCGCGAGCACCTTCGTGCCCACGCGCCCCGAGGCGACCGCGCAGCTCGACGCCGCGGCCCGCGGTGCGTCTTCCATTGCGCAGGGCGTGGTGGAGGGCGCGGGCGAGGTCAAGGACACGCTCAAGGACGCAGCGGGGGCGGTCGTGGAGAATGACTATGGGGCGGAGGCGCGCGGGGTCGTGGGTGGCGTCGGGCAGAGCGTGGCGAATGTGGGCGCGGTCGCGGGGGATGCGGCGACGGTGACGAGTGGGGCGGCGCTCGCGTTCGCTGGGTTGCAGGGCGCGGCGGGCAGGCAGGACGCGGAGCAGCGTGAAATTGAGGGCGATAGACACGAGACGTGATTGAATCTTTGGTGGGCAATGGACGCTCACGGAAGTTGTATGCTGGATCTTGAGTAGTTTCCATTGTACACATAGCCGGACGGTAGCTTATGAATATCCTTTATCATACATAGGATTTCCGGCCTGCCGGGAAAAACCAGATCTTGCTATGCGGAGCCTACACGATCTCCACAACGTCGGGCCCCGTATCACTGCTTGGAAGGCTATACGTCTCCACGCTCATAGACGGCTCAGAAGCGAACGAGACGGCGTACTCCCGCTTGTCCCCCATTGACGATGCGATGTGTATGGTCGGCAGCGCCTGCGAAGGGCTCAACACCGTGAAGCCGCGGCCCATCACGATGCGGAGAACCAGCATTTGCGGTGACAAGCACTGGCACAAAAGCACAGCGTCAGATCTCGCTGCATGCGCACGCGGAGGGCACTGGCACTCACGGTGAACATGACATAAAGCGAGAGGAAAAGTATTGAGGTCGGGCTATTCGTGCCGAGGGTGACCACATATGCGATCCCGAAGAGCGTGTATGGTAGCGCGCCCTCGACGACGAGCGCGGCGGCGCTCGTGTACCTGCGCACGACACGGGGGCCGAGCGTGGTCTCGACCGCACGCGCGCGCCAGAGCAGGCGACTGCAGATGAGGGTAGAAAGCGTAACGTTTAGGGCGATGACGGCGGAGGAGTAGGCGAGCGCGACCTTCGCGGCGTGCCCGACGAAGAAATTCGAGTGTGGTAGGCTGGTGAAGACGCAGGTCATGACGCCGAGCGCTGACCCGAACGGGCAGGGGGAAATCAGGCCACGCCAGTCTGACGAATGAGGTCAAAAGTGCTCACCTGCCGTGCCCAGATAGAGGATGCAAGGCGTGGTGATGACTCGCCAGTCTTCCCAAGCGACATAGCAGCGGTAAAGCTGTACAATCCGGTGAGTCTCGTGCCACACTACAGGCGTGCATTTTATTACTCACTAACAACGCATCGCTCATGAGGTTAAGCACGATTGACGCTGCGCTTCCGAAGGTCTGATACCATACTGCGGCGTTGTCAGCAAGATATGCCGCGGAGCCTCCGGGGTAGTTTGCGTGTGCAATCCACATCTCCTCTCCGAAAATGATCTGCACAACGACGTATACAGTGATCAAGAGCAGCAGGCTCGTGCTGAGATACAGAAAGAGACGGAAGCTCCTGGCATTCCTCGGGTCCTCGTTTCGCAGGATGATCATGGTGCTCGCACAGTAGAGCATGAGCTCAATCCCTATGCATGGCACCCTCAAAAGGTTAGTGATCGAACGTACTTATGGGTAGAGGGTAGACATCGACATACCGTAGAGCATGGCATTGAGGGCGTTCCCGACATAGAAACACCTCTGGAATACGACGTTCCCGTCGTCCATGGTCACAAAGCGTGGCCTGACAGCGGGTGAACAGGTTGCGATACGAACAGTACCAGGATGCAGTGGGGCCGGTAAAAGCATGCTCTACCGCCCAGGCTGAAGGCATCTCCTGCAGCTGAGATTACGCCGGCCGCGCGCGTGTAGCACGCTAGTACGGGAGACTGCGTTACGGTCTTGGAGTATCTTATCACCTCGATAAGACCATAAGACGCCATCAGTCATGCTGATGCTCAACCACTCAGGTCGCAGCGGTGGTGACTGCCAGTGGTCACTAAAGGGGAGAAGTGGCGCCACTGATGCATCGCCGTATGCGCGACCTTGAAGACAACTGACAAGATACGAATAATGAGCGGCTGGCGGGTCTAGGAAAGGCGTAAACACACCGTGACCGTGCTGTACCCGAGCCGTTGATACGCACAATACTTCATGTGTATCACATCGTACTCTGCGTCTCAGCTTGCAGTTGTCCGAGTCTCCTGCTGATGAGCTCACGACACGTTATCTGTGATAGGGGAGCGAGTGATTGAGTGATGAGCAGACAACAGTACTCTGAGCTTAGGCAAACAGTGTGACAGTCCTGGTAGTCAGCGCGGCTGCGGCCTGTCATCCGCCGAATGTACTACGCGTGTTCAGCACAGCCGCCGACGCTGTTCAGATGTACAACAGTCTTCATGTTGTTCCGCACGCGCACGGGCGGATTTAATCCTGCATCTACGCACGTTGGTGCATAGTATGCACGTCCTATTTTGAGCAAGATCACGAATCATCCGAGGCACGACAGAGGTCAGGGACACTACTCACCTTGTGTGTGAACCTTGGACGTGGTGGTCTGGAATGACTGGAGTAAAGTCGCTGCGGGCCAGTGTTGTGGGGATGTCGGGTGGAGCATAGCGTATGTCAGCGAGCGCAGGGGATGTGACGGGGAAGAAGGTCAAGACATGAATGCATTCAAGTCATGCCCCTGGATGTCGCGTACTGATCTTGAGGGATGTACAAATTGACGAACCGCAGCTGGTGAATAAAAGTACAATGGAATATGTCTTGTACAAAGTCCGCACCCTCCTCCCGTGACAATTCCTCAGCCACATATGCCAGAGAGAAGATAGCCACTCACAAGAGGGAACCCTACACGGCCTCCATCCCGTCCATCCCCGCGCTGCTCGGCCGACTACACGCATCCATGCTCAGGGACGGTTCCGAGGTGAACTGAGTGTCGAAATCCTGCTTGTCCCCCATCGACGTCGCGATGTGGATCGAGGGCATCGTCTGCGTCGCGGTTGACTTGGTGAAACCACGACCCATCACGATGCGCAAAATGATCATCTGCGGCGACACGCACTGATGACCAAGAAAGCGTCAGCTTCCAGGGCACATACGCATAGGCGGAAGGGACGCACGGTGAACATAACGTATATCGAGAGGAACAAGATCGAGGTCGGGTTCTCCGTGCCGAGCGTGACGACGTACGCGATTCCTAAGAGCGTGTATGGCAGTGCAGCCTCAACGATGAGCGCGACCGCCCCGGTGTACTTGCGTGAGACGTGCCGGCCGAGGGAGCTCTCGATCGTACGCGCGTGCCAAAGGAGGCGGCCGCAGATGAGTAACGAAAGGGTGACATTTAGCCCGATGACGACGGAGGAGTAGGCAAGTGCGACAGACGAGGCGCGACCGACGAAGAAGTCCGAGTTCGGGATGCCAGTGAATACGCAGGTCATAATGCCGAGTGCTGGAAAGGCGGAATGCAATATGTCGGTGTCTCTGGGCGGCGAAGGAGGGTTATAGGGCTTACCTGCAGTTCCTAGATACAAAAAGCCAGGGAAGATGATGGGACGCCAGTCTTCCCAAACGATGTAACAGCGGTAAAGCTACCGGCGCGGCAGGTCAGTCTTATTCATGATCGACATTGTCGTTCAGTCTCTACTCACCAGTAGCCCATCGCTCATGAGGCTGAGCACGATCGACGCTGCGCTGCCCATTGTTTGATACCATACCGCGGCGTCGTCGGCGAGGTACGCCGCGGAGCCCCCGGGGTAGTCCGCATGCACGATCCACATTTCCTGCCCGAACATGGCCTGTACCGCGACGTATACTGTAATCATGAGCAGCAGGGCTGTGCTGAGGTACAGGAAGAGCCGAAAGCTCTTCGCATTCCTAGGGTCCTTATTCCGAAGTATCATCGTCGTGCTCGCGAAGTAGAGCATGAGCTCGATCCCTATACGTGCCGGTGTGTTAGTAGGAAACGCGTGCACAGATAGCGGGAACAGACGGACCATAAAGCAAGGCGTTGAAAGTGTTCCCGACATAGAAACAGTTCTGGAACACAGCGTTTGCATCGTCATGCATCGTCACAAAGCGTGCAATGGTTGCGAGCGAGCAGGATGCGATACGAAAAGCAGGAAGATGGGGTAGAAGTATGCTCGGCCACACGTATACAGGAACCTCCCGCGGCTGAGATTCCGCGAGGTTCGGGTGTATAGCATCATGGCTGATAGAAGAAGTTGGTTCTCGGAGTGCGGTACTTTTGAGTAGCCCCTCCCTGGGCACAGTAATGCCGGCTGCTTACCCGTTACCTCCTAGTGGTCCCCGTACACGCCCTGATGAGAGGGAACTTCCAGAAGTCACCGCGGAGGATGTGTGGCCTCACAATAGCCGCTGTAACAGCACAATGGGTCTTCGTGATCTCGAAATCCGGTCCGCACGGTTGTGGCGCATGGTCCTGGTCGCCGAAAAGGGGAATCCGGCGTCCATCATCAGCGCTGTACTATACGAACTGGAACTCAAACAGCTGCTGTATGACGGGGAAGTGAGTGATCGAGTGATGAGCAGCGGACAGAACATTGAGCATACGTACCAGCGAAGATTTCGTGCACTGGCAGTGTGATACTATCGCACGACAGGAAGTGCAGGTCTAGGTGTTGTCAAGCAATGCAAATCGCCTTGTTGACCGCCGGCGTCCCTCACCCGATTGCTTTCAAAATGTTATAGTCAGTGAAAAATAGCCATATCTATGGGTGTGCGAGGTATGAAGGCGTGGTTATATCATGTAGAGGAGATATTTAGAAAAGGGCAGAGTCGGAAGTACAAAGTACGCCCGTACTGTATACATTCTCCGACCATCAAGCGACGTGCCTGGCCGTGCGCTTACAGCGCTGTGCAGGAAGGGAGACCCCCGAGGCGGGGCTTAACCTCGCGCTGAATCACTGGCGTTTGTATTACATGATGGCGAAATCGATGTCCTCTCACCGGAAGTATTCCAAGGCCCGCTCCCCATATCCGTTTGCAAAATGGGGGGACACATGGGGATGTGGGGCCGCCTTCTATGATAATAGGGGACAAAGCCATGATGTTGCCACAAAACCAGCCGAGTGGTGGAATCTGTTGCATATCCGCCAATATGTTCAGAGAGAGGGGGAGAGTGTGTGTGTGTGTGCTGAGAGAGAGAGAGCTTAGCGCTTCGGATTACACGAGCGCTTGCCCCCGCAAGCGCTTTGTTTAGCACAGCCGCCAATGCTGAGATGAACAACGAATTTGAATTCGAAGTTGTTCCGCCGCTCACACACCGGAATTTTCATCCATGCCCATTAGCGCGGGCGAGGTCAAGGACACCCCTATGTAGGCACGCCTTTGCCCAATGACTAGACCAGAATTGCCCAATGGGGTCTGGGGGATGACGGATGACGGATAATAGGGCGAATGAAAGAAGGCGCGTGGGATGCGACGGGAATGTGATGCCGCTGAACATCGACGGATCCAGCTTGCGAATAAAGGCACAATGGTATATGTCATGTGTGGTAGTGATCGTTACATCTGGAAATCGTACAAAGTCCGCACCTCCACCTCCGTAAAAACACACCGGCCCCATAAACCAGAAAAAAAACAGGAGCTCACGAGGAGAAACCCTACACGACCTGCACACCGGCCAACCCTGCGCTGCTCGGCCGACTATAAGCCTCCATGCTCAGGGACGGCTCCGACGTGAACTGGGTGTCAAACTCATGCTTGTCTCCCATCGACGTCGCGATGTGGATCGAGGGCATCGTCTGCGTCGCGGTCGACTTGGTGAAGCCGCGGCCCATCACGATGCGCAGGATGATCATCTGCGGCGACACGCACTATCGCCCAAAAATGTCAGTTGCGTGGTCTTCCTGTTCCTTGCAAAGCGGAAGGGACGTACGGTGAACATGACGTAGATCGAGAGGAACAAAATCGAGACGGGGCTGTCTGTGCCGAGCGTGACAACATACGGGATGCCGAACAGCGTGTACGGCAGCGCGGCCTCGACGATGAGTGCGACCGCGCCGGTGTACTTGCGCGCAACGTGCCGGCCGAGGGAGCGCTCGATCGTACGCGCGTGCCATAGGAGGCGGCCGCAAATAAGTAGCGAGAGCGTGACGTTGAGCCCGATGACGACGGAGGAGTAGGCAAGCGCGACCTCTGAAGCTTTGCCAACGAAGAAATTCGAGTTCGGGATGCCGGTGAACACGCAAGTCATGATGCCAAGTGCTGGAAAGGGGTGATGCGGTTTGTCGGCGTCTTCTGGGTGGAGGAGGGGACATGACTTACCTGCGGTACCCAGATACAGGAAGCTAGGGAAGATGATGGGACGCCAGTCCTCCCAAACGACGTAACACCGGTAGAGCTACGAGGATCAGCCCTCGGCATGATCAAGATTTCCACTCAATCGCTACTCACCAGTAGTCCGTCGCTCATAAGGTTGAGCACGATCGACGCTGCACTGCCCAACGTTTGGTACCATACCGCGGCGTTATCGGCGAGATATGCGCCCGAGCCTCCGGGGTAGTCAGCGTGCACGATCCACATCTCCTGCCCGAACACGGCCTGCACCGCGACGTATATCGTGATCATGAGCAGCAAGCCGGTGCTGAGGTACAGGAAAAGCCGGAAGCTCTTCGCGTTCCTCGGATCCTTATTCCGGAGAATAATCGTCGTGCTCGCGAAGTAGAGCATGAGCTCGACCCCTATGCATGCCGGTGGTAAGTAGTGTTCGCATGCACAGAGAGCGGGAACAGACGGACCGTAAAGCATGGCGTTGAAGGTGTTCCCGACATAGAAGCAGTTTTGAAACACAGCATTGGGGTCCTGCATGATGAAGAGATGGTGGGCGCACGGGAAGCGAAGAGAAGCGAGCCCATGCGGGGTAGAAGTAGCTTCCGCGACCCTGGTAGCCCATCCGGCTAGAACGCAACAGGATAGCGGGGAGCATGAGGAGTAGAGTTCTCGAAATGCGCTCCTGGATCACAGAGATCGAGCAGACGGCGGGCGGAGGGCGGGAACGTCAGAGTGGAAGGAGGCCACTAGCATTTGGGGCATATCCGCTGGACCCATACGCAATCGAGTAGGTCGCCGACGAGCCGGCCTGCGGTCAGGGGTCAGTCCAGTGATGATGAGGGTGCGTTGGGTGGCCAACAACGAGCTCATATGACCGAAAACAGCGCTCTCGCGGGTCAAGCATTCGACGGAGAGGAGCGAGTGCAGAGGAGGTCTTGTTTCGACGAGACCGAGACATCGCCGGAGTTTGAAACGGAGGAGTACCTCGATCGCAGGTATTGTTGTGAGCTGCACTTTGATCAGGCAACGACGAGCCTTAGTCTGCCTTAGTAGTCTAGCAAAGCCTGATAGAAGTCTAGTAGATCAATGAGAGAGCTTCCACGACGAATGTGGTTAGGATGGAATGCTGAGAAGAGAGTGGCCCGATTGCTTCCGCCCGGCAACTGTAGCATGCGCACCGAAGGGCCGAGGCGGAATGTCTTCACAGTCCGCGGACCGCCACACTGCCGCGGAAGAATCGAGGTCGACCCCAGCTCCGTGTGCACTTGCTGATGATGATTTGAAGCTTGGAGAGCCGATATGTGTCTCTGAATGAGAGGTTACGAGATACTCGATCGCTCGACGCTGGCAATCGCAGCTAAGTTGGTGACTGTCCGCCCGCTTCCTGTGAGTTAGTCCTGGTAGGTCAAGCACAATACAAGACAAGATAGACAGCCATCAGAGCATTGTGAGGATGTGGACGATGCGACTATGATGGTGGGGGAAGAAAACGCGAAGATGGGTAGACGTTGACAACAACCTTCGAACTTTAATATTAGACGCCCACGCCTCGTATCGATCCAATCTGGCCGGCGCTAGTTCCAGGTACCAACAGAACTTGACTGTCGCGAGCGTTTTGCTCGTATTAGCAGCAGGGATTCCGCAGGTAGTGCAAGATTGGTGCAATGAGAAGAATGTGATGAGAAAACTAGTGTACTTCCATGGATAGCGTATTATACAGCTAGTATATACAGTTCGAGTGCGATGCAGGATTCAGAGCGTGGTAAGCGAGTGCAGATACTAAAGTAGGACGAAAACAATTCCAAAGAGACTATGCAGAGCCGGTTCAAGTGCAGACGAGGAAAGAGGAACCACAGGTGCTCTCAACCACCTACTCGTCGCCGTCGTCGTCCAGATCGTCCATGATCCCCAGGACCCCGCCCTCGTTCGCCGGCGCCTCGTACACCGCGAACGCCGTCTTCGTCTTCGCCGCCGCGTCCGGCTCCACGACCTCCGCTGCCGCTTCCTCGGTCTGCCCCGCCGACGTCCACCCCTTCTGCCGGTCCGCGAACACCTCCGGACGGCGGTCGAGCAGCGTGTTCAGGTCCTCGTCGCTGATCACGCTCGCCTTGCCCGCCTCCGTGCTCGACACGACCTGGATCTTCTCGCCCTCGAGCCGGTGCATTTCCATCGCGAGCTCTGCGAGCGCCTGGTTCTTGCTCCGCTTCGCCGCGGTCGGGTTCTTGAACTCGCCTGAACGCAGCGGACATTAGCGAGACGAGAGCGGTCCCGATAGTTATACTGCGCACCTTTGGCGATGACCAGCGCCTCCAGCTGGCGTTTCTCTGTCGCCCGCTGCATGATCTTCGTCTCGATCGTGTGCGCGCACAGCAGACGGAAGATCAGGACTGGCCGCGTCTGGCCGATACGGTGCGCGCGGTCCTGTGCCTGCACATCCGCTTGGGGATTCTGCACCCGAGCGCAACTGTCAGCATACACTCGTCTATGCGCATACAGGGGCATAAAGCCTACCCAATCCTGATCGTAGAAGATGACCGTGTCAGCGGCGACCAGGTTGATGCCGAGGCCGCCAGAGCGCGTGCTGAGGAGGAAGAGTCGCGGCGCGTCGGGCGCGTCCCCGCCTTCCTGGAAGCGCCTGATGTCCTCCCGGCGCGACTCCATGTCCATGTTGCCATCTATGCGGCACACCGGCCAGTTCTTGCGCTCCTGGGCCCAGTCCTACAGGATTTGTAGTCAGTAACACGGCTAAAATATGCGCGAATTCACACATGCCTGGATGATGTCAAGCATCGTCGTGAACTGGCTGAAGAGCAGCACCTTGTGGTCGCGCGCAAAGAGCTCGTCCAGCAGGCGCTCGAGGACCATCATCTTCCCGCTCGCGTTCACCAGCTCGTCGCTCAGCGCCAGCTCGTGCGTCACCGGGTCCTTCGGCCAGTGGAAGAGGAACGGGTGCTGGCACACCTTGCGCAGCTGCATGATCACGTTCTTCAGGTTCTTGTTGTTCACCTCTTTCACTGTGTGCACGCGGTTGAGTACGACGATGTGCGCAGAAATGATCGCGTGCTTACCTGCGGCACGACGCTGCCACTCGCGCCCGAGCTCGCCTTCCTTGCGCCCGCTCTCCTGTCGCGCCTGCATCTCGCCCTCGTCCAGCCGCCGAAAGTAGTCCTCGTCGTCTGAATCCTCGACGTAGGTCTTCCGGTCCCCCGTGCGCAGGCCCTTTCCCTTGGCCTTCCTCTTCTCGCTCGTCACCTCGTGCAACGGCTTCTCATCCTCCTCCGACTGTGATTCCGCACCGTTCAGGTGTTCGGTCTCGGCCTGCATCTGCGTGATGAGGTGCTGGCGGAGCGCCTTGTCCCCCCGCACTGCGACTTCGTACAGCTCGCGCTGCTGCTCGGTCAGCGGCGTGTATAGCACGTACTCCTTCTTTGGTGGTAGCTGCATCTCGACATCTGCCTTCATGCGTCGTAGCAGGAACGGCCGCAGGATATCGTGCAGGGAATGGATAAGCTTCGACTCGCGTTCTGACGTGATCTTGCTTTTCAGCCTGCTCTCGTCGAACCTACAAGGCGATCAGGTATCTGCGAGCGGGGCGTGTACTCTGAAGAAATGTACCATGATTGGAAGGTGGCGAGATCACCGAAGACCTCTGGGAGGACGAAATTCAGCAGTGCCCACAGCTCCTGGAGGTTGTTCTACCATGCCAACGTCAGTATGAACTACGTGCGTCCAATACAATTTGCACGCACCTGGAGAGGAGTGCCAGTGAGCACCATGCGCGCCGCGGACGGGATCCTCTTGATCTCCCGCATGAGCACGCAGTCGATGTTCTTCAGCCGGTGCCCCTCGTCTACAACAATGAAGCCCCAGTGGAACTTTGCCAGTTCCGCGCGGTCGTTGATAATGATCTGGTACGTCGTCAGCACCACCGGGAAGTTCGTCTTCTGGTGCGGCTTCAGCGGTCTCTTGTTTCGCAGCTCTGCGGGCAACGGAGCGCCCTCGTCGACGGCCATCGAGTCCTCGAACTCACTCGAACCTGCCTCCTCTGCAGCCTTGCGTTTCTGCGTAGGAGTCTTCGCGGCGGCCCGGCCACCCCTGCGACCTCGTGCGGCAGCCTTCCCGCGAGACTTCGTCGGCACTACTTCCTCCACCTCGGAATCCGAGTCGTCCTTCCTTGCACGGCTCTTACCCGAACCGCGTCCACGTCCGCGCCCACGCCCACGGCCTCGGCCCCGTGTCGCCTTTCCTTGAGCAGGGGCAGGAGCAGGTGGGGGTGGTGCCGACTTCATCGCTTTCTGGTGGTACTCCAGGTCCACTGCGTCCATCACCAAGTGCTCTCGTCGGAGCGCTGCACGCTCCTCCTTGCTCCCGTAGTACATCACGACAGGGATGTCCGGGGCGAACCGCTGGAATTCGCGCTTCCAGTTGTCCAGCACCGCAAGCGGGCATACGACCATGAACGGGGCGACAGTGCGTTCACGAAGGAAAGCGTGGAACGCTATGGTCTGAATAGTCTGGAGAGAGTGCGTCAGATGTGTTGTACACACGGATGCGCCGTACCAACCTTTCCGAGGCCCATCTCATCCGCTGAAAACCGAGTCAGCTGTCGTCGTCCGGCCATATACGAGTTCGGTCGAACGTACCGAGGATTCCAGAGATCCCATTCTGATGCAGCCCAGCCATCCACGCGACGCCCTCTAGTTGGTAATCCTTCAACGTGGCGCCAGTGAGAAGGGCCGGTGGCTTGAAGGTACTTTTCGCCGCTGGGCTCTCTTCCGAGTCGTCTTGATCTGCAGTGCTCTCATGGGCCTCCCCCGCCTTGGCCCGCTTGGACTCCCGTTCATCCTCGGAGTCTGATACCACACGGGCTCGCTTTCGTGAGCTTTTGGCCGTGGACTGTGGCTTCTTTGGTTGCTTTCCGCGGACTGTCCGAGCCTGGTCCATCTGCCCCTTGAGAAGCCGGACGTATGTCGCGGACCTCTCGATGAGGCTCTCGAGTTGTGCGAGGCGGGTGTCGGTGTCCTAGTTAGGGGTAAGACCTCGTTGAGAGTTTGGAACATGGGGGGTACGTACATCATCCTCTTCACTCTGAATCTCCGCCTATACATCGATATGAGGTCAGCCGTGGTGCTAGGCACGACACCCCTTTCGTGGGGGCCATCCACACTCTACGCACCTTTACACTGAACAGGTCTTGCTCTACAGCCTTTTCATCGTCCTCAGCCTAAATCGTCCCCTCAGCATGTAACATGTCACGTATCGAATATGACCCACCTCTTCTATCGCGGGCGGGCTAGAGGGTGGAGAAGTAGCTCGCGTTGAAGGCAGTCGCGCCGGTGTACCCGTTGAGGAAGGACTTGAACGCGAAGATGGTGCAGCGGACATCGTGTGGGTATGCACGGTCGACGACGTGGGGGCCGATAGCGGCGACGGCGGCGACGGCGTTGAGAACGATGAGGACGGCGACGAAGGCGCTGAGCAAGATGTGGCGGAGGAGGCGTGACGAGGCCAGCGCGCGAGGGGTCACGCGTTGATCACGTCTGGTAACGCGTCTGTGACACGATCGTGGCCACTGTCACGGCATGCCTTGTCTCGACTCTCCCCTAGGCAGACGGGGGTGAAAATCACACCAACGGCGTGCCAGGGGGGGATTCACACAAGACCGTGTTCCATGACTGAGGCTTCCTACCGCAGGGCGTGCACAGACGTGCCCAGGGAAATCCAACACACGCTGACGAACTCTGCCAGTGCTACGGCTAGGCATGCAGTGCTGCTACCACCGCAACGGCATCCTGGCATGGGCTTGAGCGGCCTTTCCGTGAGGCTCCAGCGGCGTGCCAGCAGTCGGTTACGTCGTAAAATGCCCACTAGATGTCAAACTTCGCCGCTACAGGGTGTGAGTCTCTAAATACAAATATCGCATGTAGAGTCCTCCGAACTATGGGAGTTACGATGTCCATATCGACCTGTTATGTGTCAGCGATATCCCGAGTGCATATGCATATCCATATGCCACACATACAATCCGTCATGATATCCGACATGGTTTCTAGCTGGAGAAGAACTCTCCTTCCGATGGACTGCCAATGTACGATAGTCAAGACCGGCGCCGCCATAGATTCGTGGTGGAGCGTGCGAGCGACATCACCCTCTCGATGATAGCTCTGTGGGGGGATGTACTGTGCGATAGGGTGTCCGCTGACCATGGCCAGGTATCGGCCTGAGGGCTTGTGGATACACCGGCTGACAGCGGGGTCCACAGCAGCTTCTCGAGCTGCAACGTCGGGTCGTCTTGCGTGGGGTCGCTCTCGCCGGCAGCTGGGAGAGCCAACGGGGTATGCTGTGTAACACATGGACTGTCAGCATGCAAGACAGTGGGTTCCTCTCACGACGCGGATCTGTAGGATCTCTCACCGTTTGAGATCTGTAAATCGGAGACGAGCCGCGGCTATATCGCAGCGGAGAAATGGTGTCGGAGACCTCGATTGCGATCCAGAGGTTTCGATAGTCGCACACATCCGATCTGTCCGACGGGAACTCCAGTGTGAACCGCAAGAGCCGGCAATCGAGTGTGCTTGGTACTGGGGGCGCAGTGTCCAAATCTTCATCGGCACGCCGCCAGAATACGACGAACTCCGCGTCGGCCAACACGCGATCGGTGAGCGACGCCCCGTAGGCCAGGTCCCTGTGGATGTACGCCTTACTAGAGGTAGGGTGGATAGTCGGGGAATGAGATATTCCGACTGCTTCACCTGGCGGGAAATGGCGCAGTGTGAAGTGGATATTACTCTCTCCGTAAGAGCGCCTGTCTGTGTCCTGCTCGATGAGGTCGGTTATGATACAGATCTCACTCGCCGCAGAGAAGGTGGCCGTTCCCGGCCGGGATGAATCTGAGCTGACTTGGGCGAGCGCTGATCCGATGAGCGACAGCGAGAGCTGGATGGACTGCGGCTGTCTTCCGCGCCACATATAGTGCTGCGGATCAGGAGTGAGCAAGGTCGACAGGACGATCTTGCGCCGGGCGCGGTCACAGCGCAGAGGGGACAACACCAGGCCGAGAGTGCCGAGCTCTTCCCTACAGCGAGGGGCGATCTGAAAGTCCACACGGACCGGGTCCGTTTCCCAGAGTTGCTCGCGAAACCGGGTGCTTGCCGCCCCGTCGCCTTGGGATGGGCATGTCGGGACGGTGTCAGGGATGCAGCGTAGGATAGAGACCGTGGTTGGCTCCGGTCCTTTCGAGAACTGCCTGAGGACCTGGGCCAGGGTCTCCTTCGACAAACGGACGGTGCGTACCGGTTGAGTCGCCGCATCGTGACGATAGTCGTTGCATTCGACATGGGTTGTGACTGTCAGGCTGTCCGAGTGGCTCGCAATCCCTCCTTTCCACTGAGGCTGGCACAGAGGCAACGCGATGAGAAACCCGTCTTTGTCTTCGCATTGGAGGAGAGCAAGCAGGTGGGCGGGTCCGAGGCGCACACATCCCATACATAGCGGCTTGGTAGGGAAGGTGGACCCGGGCGGCAGTCGGCGGTCGGGGGGCGGCCAGCCTGAGAGAATATGGGGAACCCTCTTGATATCGATGCACAAGAGCACGATGTTCACTCCCTGAGGAGTCAATACGCTCTGAGGCCGTGGCACGTCTCCCTCCTTTCGAGAAACACGCGAGGCAAAGTACGCAGACCGTAGAGGACGGACGTCGCCGGAGTTGCAGAAGTCGGAAGGGGAGTTTGCTAGGAGACCGTGACCATACTTGGGGGACGAATGGATTACGGATGGGCCTTGATCGAGAACTAGCAGCGTGCGATAGGAGCCCCAGGCGAAGATGCTCTGGTCCGGTATGGTCCTGATGATCTCCTCTTGAAGACGGATGAAAGCGTTGGCACCCTCGCCGTAGATCGTGGGCATGTGGACCCCAAAGAGCCCCATCAGGGAGTATGCCCTATCCTCGACACGCGTAGTTTGTCTCCCACTAGCCCAGGACATCCTCCGCGCAGCGCTGATGGAGTCCAGCGCGACCCTCCCTGTCAGGATGGCGAAGTCTACGCCCGTGCAATCCTCGAGGATCGAGGCGAGCCCGATCTTCGTTCCGATAATACGCCACGACTTCGTCAGGAAGACCATCCGCTTCGGCGCGATGAGCTCTTGCAGCGTCCAACCCCGAGTGTGCCATCGGCTGCTTCGGAATTGAGAGGAGATGTCACTGGGGATGTCGCCGTCCGGGACGTCCGCGAGAAAGGTGTAGCAAATGTCGGCGTTCTTGTACAACTCGAACATCGAATTGATTGCCTCGGTAAGCTCGGCGCTGCTCGATTTGTCGATGCAGCAAGCGTCGTTCCAGATGAGACGGTATCCGGCATTCCGCGCAACCTCGCAGGCGCGCTTGATCTTGTCTGAGAGCTTCGTATGAGAGAATATCGTAGGTCCGGTAGCACCGTCGGGCTCCGCGGCAGACTGAGTGAAAGACGGTGCCTCTGTAGCTTCCACCTGGTCCTGCAGCCTTCGAACATCTTGATACGACTGCTCCCCGCCCTCTTCCACCGATCTCCACGTGTGGGACAGAATGGCATATACGACCGTCTGCGGATTATCCGTCCAAACGAAGTTTCCCGTGAGAGTGTCCAGAAAACGAGGCATACTGGGGCGTCCTAATAAACTGTGAGCAAGAGATCACCCTCCAAAAGGTATTCTAGGGATACTCACCTTCGTATCGCAACCCTGCAGTAGATGACGGGAAAACAGCCTGAGCAGGGTGCGAAGAGACAGGTACAAGAGGGCGATGAAGGGCTCACAGCATGTCTTCTGAAACGCATCCTTGCCACGTCGACGTGTCAGCTGTGATGTTGATCTTCTCCAGAGCTGGGGCGCCTTATTCCTTGCTCGTCAGAGCAAGGCTCTTGCCCCTCCTTTGCGTCGATCAAACCATGCACGACATGTCACTAGCGCTAGCGTGCAAGGACGCGCACCGTTATAGGCGCCATCCGCCATCCTAGTGTATGAATGGCGTAGTACTCACTTGGAAAATGGGGCCTGCAGCGGTGTGTGAGATTGCCAGCGATCACCTCGCACACGGTTTGTTCGACCACGAACGAGGAGTACTACTTAGTAATAGCCTCCTCTGACCAACAAGTATTTGATAGACCGTGGACAAGAGCCGGAAATGAGCAGATATAGCGCTGTTGGCTGGGTGGTAGAAGAGAGGGAGGCATGGGGAGGGGCGAAGAAGCGTTGATATATTCGTGGTAGGTGGGTGTATGTGTTCAAGGACTCAAGCGCCTATATATGGCAGGCACGCCTGACTTCCTTGGCGCAGTGGAAGTTTATCCTCACCGGAGACGAAGAGGACATCGAAGCATGCAGCGGTGGTCGTGATCTCATAATGCGACGGCCCTTGGTTCTCGAAGTGGAGTTATATCATCGTCTAGTGCTCACTGTTGTGCCGTCGAAGGAAGGCTCATGGGCAAAGCACTTGTGAATTGTCGTGATGTACATATTCTGAGCACTATGCGGACATGGTCAAACGAGCGGAATGTAATTGTGCACTTGCGAGACTAAACCTAGACAACCTTCACATAGCACGACAGCGCACGACAACAGATTGCAATGGGTATAAAGGAACGTGAGTGTTTGGACTGAATGTAACCATGGGGCTACTTAGCATCGCTTACTGAGAACCAGAATTTGTGCGATACCATCTTTTGTAGCTGTTCAGAGTACCGCCGGTCGGCCGTCCGCCATCGCCTCGGCCCGCCCTCAGACGGCCGTGGCAAGACACAGATACTCAGATCCTCCAGCTTCCGCACGTCAAACGCTGCCCGAATTCGAAGACAATCCAACGCCGCATCCATGGGAGCCCCACTATCCCAGGCCAGCCCTCCCAGATAGAGCGACTTCAGCTCCGGACACCGCAAACGCACGCGGGCCACGTCGGACTCGTCTTTATCGAGGGCACGGCTTCGCGCTGCCAGCGAGTCGAAGATGCATAGAGGAAGTGGGTGACCGGTACTGCCCCACGGGGCAGCGGATACCAAACGCAAAGACTGCAGGCGCGGGGACGCGTCGAGATATGCGTCGAAGGCGTCGCGGTCGACGTTGTGCATGGGCATACAGAGATAGAGGTGACGCAATGATCCAGGATTGAGTGCACTCTTGATGGAGGCGAGGATCGTGCTAGAGGTAAGGATGACGTCTTTGGGGAGATTCAGCTCGAGGGTCGTGGAAACGGGATTCTCGCTGCAATCCAGTATGAACGTTGTGGAGGGGCAGAGAATATGGACCCTGAGCGTGGTGATATTGGCCGGAAAGAAATGTCTCTCGGGCGGTAGCAAAAGACCTCGGTGGCTGATAGGGGTATCGTCGAGGTCGCCGATGGCGACCTTGCCGGAGATTTGGACCCGACCACGTGTGGGTGCCCGCACAAAAGTCGCGAGCTGCTGGACCCACTGTGCTGAATCGGTAATGCTGAATTCTTGCAAACGAGGGAGTGAGAATGGATGCCTAGATTGTGAAGGGAAGGCCGAGCACGCGGCACTTATGAAGCCATCGAGGATGAGACTCTTGAGGTCCTGACCGTGCTGAAGCACATCGAGAAATGCGTCGGCATGCATGGGAAAGGGTGTACTTGAGCCGCTGGAAAGGGATAGACTGGTGAGCTGACGTAGGAGGGATGCGGTCCATTTGACGTGAAGGCCTTTCAGCTCGAGGTGCGTTAAATGTGGGTAGTGTTCCGGAAGAAGGACAAAATAGCCAACATCCGGACGATACCATGTGGAAGCGCTAATCTTCAGCCTGGTGAGGGATTTGAAGGGCGCCGCGATCAAGGGGGAGACCGTCATGAATTCGGTATAGAACGGGTGGTAGCCCAGAACCAGACTGCGTATTCGGTCGCGGTGGGGCATCACGTCAGGAAGCACAGAGGCGAGAGTCGGAAGCTTGTTGAACTCCAAGTAAAGCATGGCCTGGTTAGAGCGAGGCAGCGCGAGTCGCAGCCATTCTGTGCGTTCCTTAACAACGATAGTGCCCCAGAAACACGCGTGACCGACGATGACGTCGCGCCAGCGACGACATACCACCATGTATCGGGTTGGATCGGCAGGACTTATGTCCTCGTCATACGCGCGGCGCTTGAGACGAGTGTAGAGAAAGACGTGGACGAGCACTTCGTCGGGAAGTGCGTTGATGGAGGCGAAGGAGTTCCACATCCTCCCAAGCGTGAGCGAATCCACGATCGGGTCGTCGCCAGTCTCGGAGGCTTCCTGCTTGGGAACGGAAGCCTCTTGTGCGTATATCAACGCATCCACTTCCAGAGCAGCGCCGCCGTGGTCCTCAGGCGCATCGGTGCGGTGGTCGGAGCTGCTTGGGCATTGCAAAGAATGTTTATCGACAGGAGAAGGATCTTGGTCCGAGTTCGCGACAACGGCGTCCAGATGGATATCTTGAGTTTTCAGATGGATAAGTTGCGTTTCGGACTTGTCGGGGAGGAGCGCGACATGGTGTTCTTCCGCTCGTACTCTGAGAGTAAGAGAGATGTAAGTTTCTACAAGCCATGTGGTATTGGAGCTTTATTCACCGCGATCGTTTCTTGCGAACATATCTCGCGATCTTGCCGAACATCGCCAGCCTTATGCGCTTCGGAGGTGGTCAGACCACGCTCCGGCTGCGACATCGCGTGCATTTGTCAATAACAGTGACCATCACATATAACGACCGAGGAAATGACTTACACACCTGCGACTCCCAGCCTATGTCGACGTCTCGAAGACGGTGGTGGGCGTATACGACAGGTGATGGTTTGACTTGGTATACCGTTTGTCCGAGATTCGACTCCGCCTCCGCAACGAACCCAGCGGCTCCCGGCGTCTAAATGACCGCTCTTAAGACGTCCACTGGACTCGGAGTGGAAAGACAATTACCACGGCCCACGACCCTTTCGGCTGCCAAACCAGAAGATGAGGGGATGCATCCAGTGCGGAGGACAGCGCGCAAAAGTGTCCTAAGAAACGTCAGGCGCTGAGCGAGCTATCCGGTGGAAAGTGACAAGGGAGTTGCCGCACGCCCGCATCACCCACTGGCATCCACGATGGTTGCATGTGGAGTCCGACGCCTGCACCGAGACCCTCGTGCTGTGCAGAGCTTCTCAAGTATCACTTCAGAAAGGGGCAGGAACTTGCAAGAACAGCCTGACGCCGTGCACACCTCGAGAGCCTACTAGGACTCGGACTGGCTACCGGGGTCCGGCGACGCCGATCGCATACCTTGGAAGTACCAACTTTCAATATTTGCTTGTGTTGCTGATCAAATATACACAGAGCTTCTGATGGACATAGCCCTCGTACTGTGCAAGAAGCAATGCAACGCATCGGAGTCGTGTCCAGTAGGGTCCCTGCGGTACCATAGTGAGATCACATTCCATTGAGCAACGGACGTAGCTGGACCGCGCCTCCTGCTGTGTGGCTTCGTTAGCGTGATATTGTGCACAACAAGAGGAATGAATGACCTACAACTCAGCTTAGGCCTCGAAGGATTGCTCTTCAAGATGATGGGTGTAGACGACAAGTGATGCGATGGTGGTTCGAGACTTTCACGCCGTGTTCAACTCCGCCATAAAGCCAGCGAGCATAGGCGTCTATTGCGTCCCCGACCTGCGGGTGGCTGCATACAAGTACTCTTCACGATCATGCATGCGTATTCACAAGCCTGCTGGCAGGACCGGTTTTCAAATGATGGATTATGTCTGGACGCACTGCAAGACCAAGTACGACAGGTCAGTGACATGCATTGTCAATAAGGGAGTCACGGCCACGCCTGGCCTGGCATGTCGGAAACAGGATTACTGTACAAGCTATACGCCGAGGAAATATAGGTCAGCTGGGGAGTGCACGAAGTCTGAGAATACATCACAGCTGGCTCTCGTCCGCCTCCAGTGCGTCCAGTCCTCGGGCGTCCCTCTGCAGTATCTCCTCATCCAATGCCATGGAATCCTCTGGCTCGGCGTCCTCTTCCTCAATATCATCCTCAATATCGTCCTCGACATCGTCTGCCGCTTCATCGTCCTGGTCCAACATTTCTTGATCCTCGTCCACTTCCTCCAATTGTCCGTGATCGCCTGACCCGGCCTCGGCTGGTGGCTCCGCTGACGGAAGGCCGGATGGCCTAGGGATATGGATGGTTGGACCTGGTTGCGGTTGTGCGCCCTCCCCGGTGCTGGCGGCCTTCGCCTTGGGTTTTGGCTTGGACGCGGCGGAAACAGAATCAGCCGCGTCGCGCGCCTTGCCCTTCCCGGCGCCTTTCTTCTTGTCCGCCTTCTGCAGATCGCGGTACACTGCGGCCGCCTTTAGCTACGCATGGCGAGGAGATGTGGTATGGACATACCTTGTAGTTCCCCTTGAATGTTCTTCGCTATGTCGCCGAACTCTATCAGCTCAAGCGCCTTCAGGACGTCGGTGGCGGAGATGCTCTTGTGCTGCTTTGAGCTCGCGACTTCGTGCGCGCTGTTCTAGCGTGAGTTGGAGCATAGAAGAAAAACGCACGAAAGGGAGCTCACGTTGCGGCTATTGTATGCGTTGTCAACATCTCGAACGCGTGATGTACAGCAACGACGTACCAAGATAGTTGATGAAGACGGTGGAGGCCTTCAGTGTCGCAAGGATGACATCCTTGGAGAACTTCGTGTTTTCCGGCACCTATCATACAATGAGTATGTTCCGAAAGCACTGTGCTCTTCTCAGCACGAGAAACGCGTAGAGGCGAGACAGACCTGCGACGCCCGCGCTAGCTTCATGACCACGCTTCGAGGAAGTTCGAATGCCTCGATTCCGTCTGCCACAGCATCCTGTTGATTTTGCGCAACCAAGGCTCCGCTCGTCGAAGGATCTTTTGCTCGAGGCATAGTGCACGCAGTAGAGATGAGGCCCGAGGTGGTCGTGGTGGTCGTGGTAAGAGGTGAGAAGCTGGCAGGCGCGCGCTTCACCTTCTTGACCATTGACCACGACCACGCCGTCGCCGACCACCGATTGCGAGCCCCGCTTTCGACTATAGGCAACAGGCATACGCTCATACTGTATTCTCGCGACATACAGCGCGGCTAAGAAGGTACTCCAAGCACTTCTCCAAGGAGTAGGGAGTCTTGGGCTGAACGGTATGTCCTCGGAGCTTGCCCGCTCTCCCCGACCAAGTTTACAATCGAGAATAATAGGGATGCCCATTGCGATACACCCTTAAATCAAGAACGTCGATGGTCATGGCTTCCAAGGGACTCTCTCTGCTTACCTGGGTGTTCTTCATTCATCTCGCCGGCATCTACCTGTACACTCGTGGCTTCTTGCTTACTCGTCTCGCCCTCTCTGACGTCAACCGATGCGAAGATGGCACATGTACGCTGACACCAACCCACAAAAAGGCGGTCGTACTCGTCATCGACGCGTTACGGTTCGATTTCCTCAGCCCACACCCGCCAGAGCCTCATTCGCCGTACCACCACAATGTCATCTCGCTGCCGCAGGAGCTAAGTGCTTCGCGGCCTACACACTCCTTCCTCTTCGAGATGTTCTCCGACCCGCCTACCACCACCCTTCAACGGCTGAAGGGAATCACCACAGGCTCTCTGCCCACTTTCATCGACATGGGGTCAAACTTTGGCGGCTCCTCGATCAACGAGGACTCGTTCATTGGCCAAATGCGGCATGCTGGAAAGAAGGTAGGTTGCGCCGCTTCCCAAATGTTCACCAAGTCTATAATTCTGCAGCTGTAGATCGCTTTCATGGGTGACGACACGTGGACGACCGTCTTTCCGGACTCGTTCGATGCGAACATGACGCACGCGTACGACTCCTTCAACGTGGAGGATCTGCACACGGTTGACGAAGGTGTCATCAAGCACCTCTTCCCACTTCTTAAAGACAAGACGGCGTCGTGGGACTTGCTCATAGGCCATTTCCTCGGGGTCGACCACGTCGGCCATCGTGTAGGACCGGACCATCCTACCATGAGGACAAAGCAGCAACAAATGGACGACGTCCTCCGTCTTGTCGTTGACCTACTAGACGATGACACGCTTCTTGTTCTGCTTGGCGACCACGGAATGGACCGGAAAGGAGACCACGGAGGCGATGGCGACCACGAGACGTCAGCGGCGCTATGGGTCTACAGCAAGGGTCCCCAGCTGCTGCACCCGAAGGCCGCCATACCCCCGCACCTCCTCACCACCCGCTTCTTCCCGGGCGCGACGGTAGCCAATCGACACATTCAGCAAATCGACCTCGCGCCTACCCTCTCCCTCTTGCTTGGTCTGCCTATCCCGTTCAACAACCTTGGGACGGTCATCCCGGAGCTGTTCTGGCACGACAAGGCTGGCAAGGACTACACCCGCGCTCTCTCCCTGAACGCCCAGCAGGTCAAGCAGTACCTTCAAACCTACCGCGACAGTGCCTCTGGCGGTGAGCTCGATGGTGCATGGGGCGACCTGGAGGGTGTATGGCAGACGGTCAACTCCGATGCGAACGTGAAAAACCAGGACGCTCAGTGGCTCGCGATGACAAAGTACACGCGCGAGGCCCTTGCAGTATGCCGCGCGCTATGGGCCCAGTTCAACGTATCGCTCATGACACTCGGTCTCGTACTGCTCGTTACGGGTACGCTCGCAGCGGCATTCCTCTACGCTCGGCTCGGCACGGTGCAGGACCAATGGGAGACCTGGCAGGCCGGGGTTCGGCCGTGGTACGTTTCTGGCGTACTCACAGGCGCGATGCTTGGTTTTCTCGCGTACATCACCGTCTCGCGCTACGTGAAAGGGCTCGGGCTCTTCGAGGCGCTGCTCTTCGGCTCGGCTCTCACGTCCTCACTCACCATACTTGCCTCGACGCGTCCGTCGCTCTCGGGGCTTTCCCCGCGCTCACTGACGTCCCTTCCGCTCCCTCTCATCCTCCACGCCCTCGCCTTCGCGTCCAACTCGTTCACCGTATGGGAAGACCACGTCGTGACGTTCCTGCTCATCACGTCCATCGTGCCTTCCGCTCTCGCCGGGTTCTCCGCACCGACCTCGCGCTTGCGCTACCGCATCCTTGGCTTCTCTGCCTTGTTCGCAGCGTGTGTGCGCTTGATGGCGATGAGCACCGTGTGCAGGGAGGAACAGCAGCCCTATTGCCACGTAACCTTCTTCGCTTCCTCTTCTCTCCCTTCCCCGCCGCTTCCAGTGCTTGTGCTCTCGGTCCCCGTCGCGCTCGCGCTTCCCTGGATCCTCAAACGGTTCTTGAAGACATCGCAGTCCGACAAGGGCACCGCCGCGGTCGTGCTACCGTGGATCCTCCCCGGGACATTGCTTCTGGGCAGCGCGTACTGGGTGCTCGAGCACCTCGACTCTTCTGAGGCCTTTGGACCGGAGTGGGCGGGTACACTGCGTTTCGTCCGCACGCTCTGTGCGCGATCCGCGTTCGGCGGCGTCGTCTTCTTCGGCTACGCGCTGTGGTGGCTCGCGCCGCTCTGCCTTAAAATTTCTGCAGAGACAAGAGCGGGCACGCAGGACAAGAAGCAGGTCACTGTGCTGGGGTTCGCGAACGCCTACGGCGCGCCATACCTCCTCTTCTGGTGTCTATTCCTGGGCGTGCTCTACCCCGCGACGCAATTGTCGGGCCAGATCGTCCTCGCGCTCGCGGCCGTCGCGATCCTCGCACACCTCGAAGTCATCGACAGCATTCGGGACGTGCGCAGCCTCGAGGCGGTCTTCGCGTCGGGCAACCCGTCCGCGATCCTCGAGCCCGACGCGCTAAACGTGCCGAGCATCCCGCTGCGGTTCTCCGAGCTCACGCCGCTCGCGCTCCTCGCCGTGCACGCGTTCTTCGCTACCGGGCACCAGGCCGCGATTCCCTCCATCCAATGGAAGGCGGCGTTCGTGCTGACGCGGACGCTCACGTACCCGTTCTCGCCACTACTCGTCATCCTCAATTCCTTCGGGCCGCACTTCCTCATCGCTCTCGCGGCGCCGCTGCTCGCGCTGTGGAACGTCGCGCCGCTGCCGCAGCCTGCAGCCGACGTGAAGGCGCGGGCGAACGTCGTGCGGGCGGCGCTGGGAATGATGTTGTACCACGCGACGCTGCTGGTGAGCAGCGCGGTGTGCTCGGCGTGGCTCCGGCGGCACCTGATGGTGTGGAAGATCTTCGCGCCGCGGTTCATGCTGTCCGCGCTCACGGTCGTCGTGGTCGACGTCGCGGTGCTGCTTGGCGTGGGCGTGGGCGTCGGGCGGGTGTCGGGGCGGGTATCGAAGATGTTCGCGGCGATGAATTCGAAGTAGGGCAAGAAGACGCAATCTGTGATAGGACATCTCGATGAGATTGCCTCGTATGCACTAGCTAGAGATGGTAGTTTGGTGCTAGGCACACGCTATTGTATTCCGCGCGCTGTGTGGAAAATCCGCCGGAAGGTGCAGATCACATTTTGAGCAAATGCGGCAGGCGTAGTGTTCGCGATCAGGAGGCCGCTCCTCGAGGCTCGCGGTGTTTCGTCTTGTTCCCGCCTCTTATTGTCTGCGCACCGGGTCCGCCGGCAGAAGAATAGGGCGCCTGGACGAGCGCGCAGTGCAAAGCGACAAACCGTGTCTTCGCACACGCCACCACTCTGGTACATGAACATGGCTCGTGCAGTCTGATCATGACCACATGTCACCCTGAAACTCCGTGCTCGTCTTGTTGAATCTTTGTCTCTTGCAGCTTCCCGGATTCCAGATACCCAATTGTGTGCGCAGTCCCCAGGTCCCGCCGTCGCGTCCCCACCCCGCCAGCAGCAACACCAAACAGTCCATCGCACTCGCCCTGGGCGTATCAGCATGGGGAGCATCCGCATCCCGAATTTCCCAGCGTTCTGCAATCCGTACCTCGAACTCCGGAGCAATCCCCACTGCCACGCCATCTCGCTCTCGGCCGAGAAGTGGGCGCTGTCGACTCCGCTATTCCTCGACGCGGAGGAGGAAGCACGCCTCCCGGGCGCACGCCTCGGGTTGCTCGCGGCGCTCTGCTTCCCCACATGCGACGCGAGCCAGCTCTTCGCGATCACCAAGTTCCTCATCGTGATCATGCACTGGGTGGACCGGCCGCGGTCACTGTACGCGGACGAGGAGGCGTTTGACCCGTAAGTCCTTCTACTACACGTTTCATTCCACGCGCCACCCAGCCCCCTACGGCGTGTTCGCCTCCCGCAACTCGTCCGAAACGAAGCGGCCCGAGAGCGAGGGGGTGCCTGGTCGGTACGGGTATGCTGACGCTATACCTTTGCCTCCAGGGTGTGGGCCAAGTACTTCCGCCCGACCACGCGCCGGGAATGGCAGAAGCGTTTCCAGCGGCACCTGGCCGCTTTCCGGCTCGGGCAAGCACTCACGGCACAAGATGCGGCGCAGGGCATCGTCCCCGATCTGGAGTCGTACATCGGGCTTCGGCGAGACGCGTGCGGGGTCAGAATGCTACTCGACCTGGTTCTTTACGCCGGAGGGTTGAACGTCCCACCATACGTGTACGAGCACCCTGTGCTGCGAAGGTTGCGGCAAGACGCTGCGGATATCATCGCGTGGTCCACGGTACGTCCCCCGCACATTATCCTGCGCCATCCTCCGAATTAACTCCTATGCGCTTGGCAGGACGTTGCGGCGTACGCGCGGAGGCCTCATAGCAGCAACATCATCGCAGTGCTCATGCATGAACGACGATATACGGCGCAGGCTGCCGCGCACTTTGCCGGGAACCTCGTCAAAGACACCATTACGAACTTCGTCACGAACGAGATGTCGCTGCCGGCGTTCGGTGACCGAGACGCGGATGTCCGAGCCTACGTTCAGGGCCTACGCGACTGCGTCGTCGGTACCCTGCATTGGCTGTACGAGACCGACCGGTACTTCGGGGAGACAGCGGAGGACGTGCGCTCGTCCGGCTGGGTGTTCATGAACGCGTGATTAATGATGCTGACGCCCTCCTACTTATGTTCGATACGCCTTTATTACCGACTACTTGCGAACTTCTTGATACATACTTGGACACGTCACATCCTTCGAATTCGTTCTCCCACTCGCCTACCACGTACACTATACCTACCTTCGGAAGGATGATGCCTGAGCCGTCGATAGTACGCTTCAGAAGTACGATAGATTCCGCGCTGCACCATGATTGCCAGAGCGGTCAGCACCAGCACTAGTTAGTCGAGTTCCCCCTCTCTCTGCAGTCCCATCACTTGTTTTTATAGCCGTTCAGCTCGTGTACATCCCCGATCAATCAACTGCTTGCCCCGTTATGTAGTGTGCGGGCGATATCAATTATTATTCCGCGGGATCGGATGTAGCTACTGTATAGTGCCAGATAGAAGATACGAATGCAAGGCGGCATACCTGGTATATCGCTGAGGGCATCAGGTTGTCAGTCGTTTGGGAGTACACATGACCTATCTTTCAGATGGACCTAGTTTTTGTGAGATCGTAATTATAGCGGGAGAGAGGGAGTGAGTAGAGAAAGGACGCAAAATGAGAGCGCTTAAGTTGACCGACGCGACTTGGGAGAATCGGTATTTGAATCACCGCCCTTCGTGATTCTGCTACTACCACCACGCCGATGCGTAAAATACCAACCAAAGTATGAAGACAAATGCGCTGTGAACAGAACGTGGGTAAGCATTGACGAAGACCGAAGCAACCAATTACATCTCTTCTCACTTAAGCCTATTCTTCATGTTCACTGGAAACCGCCTCGCGGTATCTCGTGGCCCAATATACATGGTCCTCGTACCACCACATCCCCACGAACGGTTGCAGCTGCACGAGTAAAGCTTCGTACCGCACGATGTGAGACTCGTCCTTCTCAAGGCTTGACCGGGATTCCCTCAACACGAACTCCTGGAGCTTAACGCCCGCTTCTGCCCGCTCGCGCAGCGTGTCCCGCAAAAGATTCAACCAGAGGGCAGGGTCGTCCAAAGTGCCGTCGCGGTGTATCGGGTCATCAGACGCGAAATCCCGGACTGCAATGGACGCAAGCCGGGGGCAGCACAGTCGCTCGCGACTGGCTCGCCGAAGGCCCTCGCACATTGTGGCTCTGAACCCGTCGCCCTTTAGTTCCAGTCTCTCCAGAAGGGGCATATTGGAGAACAGCTCCTCCCAAACCGCAGACGGGATGTTGAGTGGCGCGCACACGTCGATCCGGAGCTCGGAGATGGGGATGTCCCGGAGGAGGTCAGAGATCTCGCGGAATGCCGTGGGGGGCGTGGTTGTCTGTGCGAAATAGAAGCCGAGGCCAATATAGAGTGGGGCCATAGCCCGAGTCGACCAGTCGCCCATTTCGATATTACATCCGTCCGCAAGGCCATCGAGATAGAGGTGAACATCAGCGGGAATGGCGGAAATCTTGGGAAACATGCAAGGCGCGTTAACGGGGAAAATGGTCCGCAGCAGATCCTCAACGTCTGCCTGGTGGCGATCATTACACCAGATACGGAGTGTAGTGAGGGCGGGAGCGTTGATTTGGGCTATAGCGGCGCAAATGGCTCTGGCGGAGCGATCGTTGATGACGAGAACGCGGAGACACTCGAATTGAGCTGGGGGGAGTGAGGATACCAGCATCTCGTGCGATGAGTCGATGTCTGCAGCATGAAGCGAAGAGTCGATCTGTAACTCTTCAAGCTGCGCGCAGTGTTCCAGAGCTTGAGCAAAGCCGTCGAATGGGAGTGGCAGAAAACAAAGTCGGAGGTGAAGGACCCGGAGTGAGGTGATGTCTAGGGGACAAATGGCTCCGGTCAATTCTAGGCGCTGAAGCACAGGGTATCGATGCATATCGATGTCGTAATAGGCCCTTGTGGTCAACGGAAGGATGCGAAGCTCCAGGAGCATCGGCATGTCGAGCGAGAGAATTTCGCCGAAGGGCCGATTTTCATATTCGAGATGGAATTGCTGTAGCGAGAGGTGTTTGACCGTGGCTAACTTTGGGCGGAGTAGATCTATGGCGTCGGAGATGAGCTGTGGACGAAGATCGTACCAGAAGCGGACGTCCAATGGCGAGCTACCGCACAAAGGAAGAAAGTGCACTAGCTCTTCTAGCTGAGAGTCGGGGGAGATGTTCAGAATGTTCCAGAGGTCGGGGACCGAAAGGATGATGTTGCGCCAACGCGTGCATACATCCAGTAGCCGCATCCACTCGCGGAAGCGATGGTTCCCACTGCCAGGAGGGCCGTCGAAGATCCACACGTGAAGATATTTGAATATCTCAATGAAGAGTTCGTTTGGAAGGCGATCGATGTGTGTGGTAGAAGAATTTTGTTCGGAAACAGCGTCCCCTTGTGTTTTTTCTGTGCCAAGTCGTCAGCAATTGACGATGACAGGTACAGCAGGCAGCGTCTAGTCAGACTTACGCATATGAAAGTGTTCCAACGATGGCTACAAGGAGACGTGTTCCTTGATCCTCAGGTATCGACAGCGTTGCAAACGAGGTAGTTCAAGCACATAGAAGAGATCAACGTTCACGTTCATGCGCGCCGGAGTCTAAAAGGGCGAAGATGGTGTGCGTCCCAATATGGTAGGTAACGTTGTTGGGCAGTTGCCCGTGCAAAGGTTGTGAACCCCCCGATGCCTGGACTGTCATGACTTGGCACCTGTATAGACATTGCGTTGCGTTAAGCAACGCTTCAGGCTTGTTTATCGCCGATGATGGTTATGCGAAGCATCTCAGCCATCGTAAGGACGGCTAGCGCTGGTGGACTTGGGTCCTCGGTGTACAGATATTTTGGACTAAAAATATACATCTACCTTGGTTCTTCAGACTGGACTAGAAGGGATTTACAGCTGCTATAAGAGAAATTGACCCTCTCAAATAAAAATGTTATGGATAGCTGTTTCTCGCGGCGATGCGGAGGACGCCGGTGTACCAGCCCAGACCCGCGTACCCCCTGGCCGCCTCACGCAGAAGGTCGCCGTCACTTTTGGACCCGAAAATTTATCCGTATGTTTCTGACGAAGGGCTATTGATTCGATCATAACAGCTAGACTACCTAGGACTACTGAAATGTAATCATCGTGAGAGAAGGCTAGCACGTAGCGTTACATAGCGCCCAAATTACCGAGACAGCCGAAGGCGCCTACTGCGCAACTTGCCAACGGACGACCATCTTGCCCGCCCCATTCAGTGATTCACGCTGTCTACGCTTATCTGCAGTCTCAGACGAGCTTTTATGCCACTCTGATTACAGCCCGGAGGGGAAACACTAGCTCTCCGTTTCGAAGCGCGACGGTGGGCGACATTCAGCTATGAAATTCTTGCGTTTCAAAAGTAAGTCGGGCGGGACAGCGTACCATGTTTCCCCGTCGATCGTGCCCTCTCTTTATGAGGCAAAATTCACGTATACTCATTCTGTTGGTTCACAGCCGTTAAAAAAGCGCTGAACAGCCTCAAGGTACGGACTAGAAGAAACACCCAGGATGTGACAAACGACCGCCCCCGGGCGCGACCCGAGACCCCCGTCGAGCAACCTGAAGCGAATGCCTCCGAGGTCTGCCCTCCTGCTTCAGACATTACTCGCCTTCCGGATGAGCTCCTCATTTTGATCTTCGAATTCGTCCACGCATGCTACTTCGGGGAACGATACTACGGCAGTTTCTATGAATGGCTCGGTATCCTGCGCGTGTGCACGCACTGGCGTGATGTTATGATTTCCACTTCTCGTCTTTGGAGCGTTATACCGGTAACAAATGACCTGAATCCATTGGAATACTGTCTCTCTCTGCACGGCAACACGCCGCTCGAGATCCGCATGTATGACCCGTGGCTTCCTCGGCGTTCGTCCACTCTGCTTCGGCCACATACCCCCTCGATTCGGTCCCTCGCACTCCATATGATGCACATGAACAGGGAGAACTTCCCCTTCGACGACATGCTGACCATGAACATACCCGACCTTGAAGAGCTGAAGATCTTGCCAGAGTTTGTCTTCGAAGATCGCATCCCTCCCCGCTCGGTAATCAGGCTGCAGAAGTATCCTCGACTACGGCGCCTAGAACTACGTGGCGTCATCTCTCCCCCGGACATCACGAACCTCCGCACAATCAAACTTGAAAAGTGCTCTTGGGCCTTTTCTTTTCAAAGCTTCATTCGGGCCCTGGATAGCTGCTCACAGCTGGTCGAGATGCACCTCAAGCAGTCCCTCCACTCCCTAGCTCGCACCGCCCCGCAAGAAATTCCTGCCAGCCTACGCCGGGCGACGCTCCCCAACCTACGCAAGCTCGACATAACGGACAACACTGCCAGTATCGTTTCCACGGTCATAGCCCACCTAGACACTCCCGCCATCGCGTCCCTGCGTCTCGTGTGTTACAAGCCGCGCATTGCACAAGACGAGGAAGCGCAGGCCTCTGACTCCGACTCTGAGAACCTCTTCCGGACGCTGATTCCGGCCGACCCTTCGCGGGTCCTTCCCAAATTCCCACCCGAGGCCGGGCCCTTCAGCGCGAGCCTCGCATTCATGCAGGGATTGTGCATCGTCCGGGTGGAGTCCACGGTGCTCCCATTCCCGCTGTCGGTGAACCTGCAGGTGCAATACAGCCTCGACTGGACGCGGGTATTTCCCGCGGCGCTCCAGGACATCTCTGACCTCTTCGGAAACTCCATAGTCACCGAACTGGTCGTCGATGCGAGCTCGTCCCACATCCTACCGTCCATCTGGGAGGACCTCTTCACAAGCCTGCCCTTCCTCCAGCGGCTCGAGCTCACCAGTGACGGGATTTGTACGACGATGTGGCAGGGCCTCCAGCGTGCGAGCGCGTGGGCCGCGCAACCGTGCTGCCCGCAGCTCGCGCGCGTGCGCGTCCAGCATACCCCGTGGCCCGAAGAGCACTACGTTGCGCCCCCGGACGAGCGCGCCCTGGAGATCATCGCGGAAGCGCTGCGCGAGCGCGCGGAGTACGGCGCGAAGCTCGACGAACTCGTGTGGGCGGTGTATCTACACCACCGTGATCCGGACTACGCAGACGCGTCGCGCGTGCAGTTCTTGGCGCCCCTCGTGCCATTAGTCAAGCGCATGACTTACAGGACCTGGGGCGATGGGGACAAGACCGAGACTACGTTTTCGTGAGTGCAACATGTTCGCTGGCGTGCTGTATGTCTCTGACCTATGTGGGTAGCCCCAAGAAAATCGTGCTGAGTCCGCTGTAGACAAACATTATCTGTTCCATGAGAGAGGGCTGGACGCGCACGACGGACAGTTGCGCTGGTGAGAAAATGACTTGCTCGCAAAGATCAGAGATGAATGGTTGCCGAAGTAAGTATTATCAGGCTTTCCCCAATATCCACCTGACAAAAAAATGCGTTTGCGGAGGATACGTTTTGTACATGGGATCAGAGATGCGCCGCTAAAGGTTTCTTATATGATACCACTGTGATTTTGTTTGTCACAGGGGAGTGGCAGATTGGGTGGTAAATCTTGCCCAAACCGCGGTCGACCTGTCAAGTTCGCAATGATCAGGATACTGGTATCAGCGCAGCTGTCGATGAATACTCACTATGTCTATTTAACTTGGAGCCTAAGCCAGCCTTGCAATTTATGGCTTGATAATTGAGACGAGTGCTAGCCGCTGTGGTGGTCCATCTCAAGCTCGAATAAAGTTGGACGAGTTGATCTTCGTGCCAAACGCTCACCGTTACGTAATAGGCGCGGGCTGCCAGTGGGGACGGGGCAGAGGCGTTGACCCTGTCTTGCTCGTGAACCGCATCCACTGCCACTCCCCGCGTACCTGCACGACCGCACCACCTCGACGCGTCGATTGCCAACATGTCCGACAACGAGCAGAACCCGCCGACCCAGGATGCAGACGCGAAGCTGGACCCCGCCGCACCCATCAACATCAAGGTATGTCGGTCTAAATGCCTCGTCCGAGTGCGGTGCGCACGTCGGTGGCTTTAAACGTCGGCCGCCTGCGCATCCGCGAGAACGTGCTGACGCGCGATATGCGATCCCCGCAGGTCGTGACACAGACCGGGGAGGAGGTGTTCTTCAAGATTAAGAGAAATACGAAGCTGAGCAAGCTGCAAGGGGCGTACGCGAACAAAGTCGGCAAGGACGTCAACAGCATCCGGTGAGCACTCGTCCTCTGCAGAGCGAATGGAGCTCTCCTCGATCTGCCTTCCCCGCGTGCGCGGGCAAGGTGGGCGCGGAAGCTCGTTTCGCTAAGCTTGTTGACCTCGGAAGCGCGGGGGAGCTTACTGTCGATCTTGCTCGTCCGCTTCGCAGATTCCTGTATGATGGTGCCAGGATAGGCGATGACGATACGCCAGCATCGTTGGATATGGAGGACAACGGTATGTTCGAATTTCCACGCGATATCACGCGGTGACGCGGTGCTGATTTTCTCGCCACTGCAGATGCTATCGATGCGATGGTAGAACGTACGTATGCTTCCACAAACGTCTGTTTCGCGTCTACTGACGTTTGTCCGCTTATGCGCATATACAGAGGTCGGAGGCTCAGCGTGACGAGGTTATCCGGAACGCATCTCCCTGTCATTTCTCTTTGTATCATTGCTCTGCCTTTTTTCTTCCCTCTATCGTCGTGTTCTCGTACGTGAAGTAATATTCAATGTATCATTGTTCAGGCTCATGCACTTTTGGGGCGTACCGACGATCTTAGATCTGCCGCCTTGCCACTTGAACCCGGCCGCATACAAAGGAAAAGGCATTTGGACAAAGTTGCTTCCAGGATACGCGTTCTTCGTATGACATCGCGAAGTCGCACTGCCACAACTGAATTACGACGGCGCAAGCTATACGGGGAATACGTTAAGTCCGCAGTCCATATCTTCCAAAGAGTGATAATCCATCTCTACTTTCGAATAGTCTGCTCTATCACCCGATTGCCCCTTCGTCGCTACACCCGCTCAGACTACTCCAGGCGCATCAGGCTGACGAGGTCGAGGAGGCGCTGCTGCTCGTCGTGAAGCCGGTCTCGGTTGAGATTGACATGGACACACTCGGACCGGTGGAGGTGGCAGTGGTGAAGAGGTGCGTGGTGAATGTTGAGACGTGGTTCGCGGTGCCGTTAAAACCCGACCTGTTGTTTGGGAAACCGGTGCTGACGTTCTCCGAGACGCTCGAACTCGAGCTTGAGCTCTCCGGGAAGTTCGTGCTGGTGGTATCCGATGGGATCACCAGGGTGCTGCTTGAGGCGGCGAAGGACGAATACCCCTGGTCGGTGGACAGCGACTGGCTAACGCCCGCCGTGGTCGTGGGGAAGCTCGAGATTTGCGTCGACACGGTGTACGTCGGGCAAGAGCACGCTTGCGCAGATGACGTGTGTGCACATGCGTTAGAGCTCGGGAAGAACGTCGTCGAGCTGTCCACGCCGGCCGAGTACGTTGTTGTCGTTGTGTGTTTGTACGTCGACGTGGATGAGGTCGGGAAGGACGTGGAGAGCGTCGTCGAGCCGCCGCGGCAAGCGGTGGGCGTCGCTATCCCGCCCCTGCCTCCGCCCGTGCCGCATGCGCATTCGTCGACAGTCGTGCTCGTGCTCTCCGTCGGCGACGGGACTGGCGAACGCGTGGTGACGAGCGTCGGCGAGAACGTGATCACGCTCTCCGATGACGGCGATGGAAAGGGCGAGTTCGTGGTCACCAAGATGGTGGATAACGTGCTAAGGCTCTCCGACACGATCGGCGACGTGTACGGCGAATTCGTCGTGACGAAGATCGGGGAGAACATCAACATCCCGGTGGGCTCGCCCGCGGACACCGCGCTGGAGCTGCAAGGACGCGTCGTCACGGTGGTATATATTGTGAAGGTGGCGGCAGCGGTTGTAGGGAAGGAATCGCTGTCGGTCTGCGCGGGGAAGAACTCGGTGTTCGTCGCCGTCGGGAAGGATGGAGCAGACGTCGTGGTGCGATGGGACGTGCTAGTGTTCGATGGGTCAAACAGCTCGCTCGACGTATCGGAGCTCTCCGTCGACGAGGGCTCAACCGCAGCCGAGGTCGACGTGCCGTGCTCGGTGCTCGAGGATTCGGAGGACAAGAACACGAAGGTGGAGCTGAAAACACCGCTCGCGAAGGCCGAAGTGGTTGGGAAGACGCTGCTCGTGCGGGAAATTGAAGCTGAGGGAATGGTTGTGTGGGCGACCTCACCCCGCTCGACAGCGCGCGCCTCGCCGGAATCACAGGTCAGTTCATCGCACGATGGCTCCTGAGGCCAGCATGGACTTACCGCTCGCGATGAGCATCGCAGAAAGAACGAACGCCAACATGCTCATGTTCATCATCTTGCCGGACTTCCGCGCCATGTGAAAGTGCAAAAAGTATGGGAGAAGAGAAGAAGAAAAGAAAGGTGAGTGCTTATGTTTTCTGACATATGATACATACTGATACTTACACCGTATCAGAGCTTGCGGTCTCTACCCCGCGTCACTCCGAAGGCGGTGGACACCATTACCCTCTACCTTCGACATCGCCGCCGGTGAGTGCCAGGTATACGTCCTACGTCGCTGCTCCATTCGGATTTCGCCATCGCAACAGTCTATCATTGCGAGTTCCACTGAGGGTCGGGCAAGGAAGGCACGGCGAGGCATGGATCACGCTTGTCGGCATAGCGCTCTGCAGTCTCTCGCTCTGCTGTAGAAAGCCGCCATGGACCGTGTTGCATTTGGGATTGGAGCTCGTTTCCCGCTATTTCCCACTGCTTGACCATGACGTGGTTGAATGTTAGGAGCAAAGCAGTACAAGAACGCCAAACGAGGTTAGTTATCGAATTTCATCGCAGGCTTCAGGTAGGAGCGCTGCGATAGGCTCCGAGAACGCGTTGTTGATATTCTCTCAAGATGGTGCCTCAGTGACACGCTTGACCAGTAACCTCTGAGACACAAGTACTCCTTTCTGCACAGACCAAGTGTACAAGTCGCACGGTGAGTTTCGGTTAGCATGTCACCGCGCCCACTCTTGCCAGCACCCCCATCCTGGTCATATGTCTGATCTTTGATCTCTGCAGTTTGTGTGCACGCCGCGGTGTATTCGTGGTGCCTGCTGCGCTGCTATGTAAGCATTCCGGATATGCATGCTCAGCCTCGCAGCCACCACGTAGGTGTCTTTGGCCGTACAGTATGGACTTGAAATTCGTTCCGGGCGGACACCCCGGCATCGGCTGCTGCGGAGAACGTTGTTCTTGATCTTGCAGGCCGAGCGCCCTTGCATTAGAACATAGATACGACATCCTGGGATGAAGCGCGCAAGAGCTACGTCGAAGCGATCCTACACCGAGACCGAGGACGACCTAGGAGTATCGGGCGGCGACAGCGTTCCCTTTCTCCAGTAATCCTCGACAGGTGCGTGTGTTCCCTATAGTACATTGAGTCGGACAGTCCTCATGCGGCCCATTACCCATAATAATACACAATATTCTACCCGCCGCCCGGATACAAGTCCCGGCGCGCAACTTCACAGGTCTATTCTGAAGTTCTCGCAGATCCACCCAATGGCTGCGCCGCAGAACAAGACCAGCGCGACGAACACGGCCGTCTGGGCCCCATGCGACCATATCCATGCCGTTCGCAGGGGAGGGTAGGCAGGTGTGGTACGATCGACTGTCGCGTCTGTTCGGGCGGTATCTGACCCGCTTTCCCGCCGTAGGGCGCCTTTGGACGGGAGGGAAAATGAAGAGCTGTCTGCAAATCTTGGTGGGGCGTGCTCATCCCGGCGGGAAGCCTACACGAATGAGACGGCATCAAGACTCAGATGAACGAAGACGACTCGGAGCGGGAGAAGCACCAACCGGATTTACAACGCCACCCAGCGGATTTGCATCCGAGACAGCGACGGACGGTCTTCTTGATGGCGAGTCCGCGTCAAACCCGTTGTGAGGAGATAAGGAGGCGATGTGTACTGCAGCGTTGGCGACGATGGCGGACTCCAGTTTGGAAGTTCTCCGTGGGGTCAACGCTGGATGCAAGGTCCCTTCAGGCGACTAAACGGCGTGGCCGCGTCAGTGAGTACATGAAAAGCAGTATAGGAAATCGGCGTACGTTCAATGCGTCTCGTACCTCAAAAACATCTCCGATGTGAGCGAGTTCTAATTCCAGAGGTGCAGCAAACGCCAATGCTACTACGCAATGGCATTCAGCACGGTCAGCGCGGCCTTCATTGCAAACTATGCGAGCCGTGCTGACCTATGCTGAGGAGTAGAAACCCTGCAGAACGATTCACGAAGGAGTGCATGCAGATAGAGAGGTGAGGGGATGTGGCGGAGTGGAAGAAAGCGCGGAAGGTCCGGATGCTCAAGCAGGAGTCCGGAATTACTTGAACTTAACGCGGACAGCTCAAGTAAGTTTCCGCGACATGTGACCGTTCTCTGCCATCTGCGCCTTCGGTGGGAATGGGGAAATCTGGACACGGATTGCGTCCAATCTCGATTGTACTGCATGCTCGCGCGCCCTGGCGGAGGCTGTCTGCCATACGAAGGCTTGGCACAGGATGGGTGTTCCCAGGTATGGCAAACGCGGCCCGTATGCGGCGAGCAGCGGGAAGCGGGGGCGATTGCCCTCCCGCATTCTGTGCTTGAGCTGGATTACTCACGTAGAGTGAAACCTTGTGAATGGGAATAGGCGGTGTTTCCCGCAAGGCCGGTACGCGCTGGTTAACAAATTCAGGTGTGGAGAATCAGTGATGCAACTCACAGAACCCCTTGAGAGACACAGTGAGCTCACTCCATACCGGACACTACCGGACAGCGTCCTATCTGCTCTTCCAATGTGGGAAGACAGGTACACTGTGTCCGCTCATGTGGTGGTATGGTGCCAAGAGGATCAGCGGCGATTAAGCGCTCTCCCGTCTGGCATCTGCGACTCGCGCTGCGTGGGTCTTTCGGGGGCCATCTCATTGCATCCCAGAAGTTCTCTCCATCAAAGCTCATGTAAGTCGCGAATTTTATACACACATATGCGCTTTCGCTAACCACTTAAGTTACAGAAGGTAGTGCTGTGGTCGAACGCCTATATTTTGGGGTTTCCCGAGGCCGTTCAGTGAAGTTGACGCGTCTACACCCAGCCGTACCTGCGAGATCGTTGCCCTGCTACACTGTGAGACTGGGGTACTTGCACCTCTGGACACTTACAAAACTGGTTCAACAGGGGTGTTTTCCAGCTCGTCGCTCTTAAACTAAAGTACTCGCATAACGGTGTTATATCTGGGTACGTCCTCTTTCTCCGTGTTCTGTTTGTTGCCTTGTATGGCGTTTCTAGTTGCTTTGATGAGAGGCACGACCTTCTTTATCAGGAAACTATACACTATGGAGACCGATGACGCGGCCGTTTCTATGGCGCTGGGTCATCGCGTTTGTACTCCGTGTTTTGTGTATACCGCCCTCCTGGACGCACGCTGGACATAGAGATTGAAGAATTCAACGCAGTTGAGCGCTCAAAGGCACGTTTCTCTCTCCGCAAACCTGCTGCTTCCGTTGTCAAGAGATCCTGGTCTGTGGCATGATACTTGGAGAGATGACAGTCGAAGTAGTATCTCTCATGCGTACGGCGGTTGCCAGCAGGTCATCTCGAAGATTCTATCTAATTGTCATGCCGTTACCACAAGTAGTATCTGCCATCCGGGAGCCTTTGGCCTCAAGGGCTTGAAACAACACAGCATCGCGCGCAGCATGAAACGGCCTGTGCTAGTTGCCTCTTCCAATGCTTTGTATTCGTCATCCCTTTGGTACGTCATGGTATATAACGCTGAAACTCCAGCACTATGGCCACCTTCACTGCAGGGTCCGCACAGAGACAGCTATGGCATGCGAGTAAGCGTTTTACCTCTCGTCCCGTTACCGAAAGTTCATAATTCCTTTACAGAATGCCCTTATCTGCTCGTCAACGAATGCCCGATGATCTTACATCTCTAGCGGGAGCGCCATCAACTGGGCGACAGCGCGGCGGCGGCGCCACTGCTCTCCACCACAGGGAAAGCACTTCCAAAAGGCCTCGGAATAGCCCTGCTCATCGCCTCCCGAACGAGATTTTGGTCATGATTGCTCAGGAATTCCTACTCGAATCAGCTGAAGAGGTCGAGGACGTCCATGCGGACTTCTCCAAACCTGCCGCCCTGGCCGTCCTCGGTGGCGTGTGTAGATATTGGAGAGAGTGCACCGTCGGGACACCAGCTCTCTGGCGATCCATCCTGGTACGCGACCGACCCGAATGGCTCGATCTTTGTCTCGAACGGTCCCAGTCCCTCAAGCTCAGCATCGTCTTCGTGAAACCCTCCCTTTTCGTGGCTTCCTCGGATATCCTGTTCCAGAACATCGATCGCATTCAGATACTCGCCCTATGTTCCGCAAGCGAAGTGGCTCATGAACTCCTCGACAGACTGTTGGACGCTCCCATGCCTGCCCTGGAGGAGCTCCGCGTCGACTCCGCAAATGAAGAGGATTGCTGGTTTTTTGGCGACAAGCTTTCGGCCTCCCCGTTTTTGCATACTGTCTGCTTCAGCCACGTGGGACTCGATTGGCACTCCGTTGGCGTGCAGAGGCTCCGTAGCATAAAGCTCAACGACTGGCGGAACCACGATCCCAACGAGCACATGCCCTTCGCGGACTTCCTGCGATGCCTCGGCGCGTGCCGTAACCTGGAAGAGCTCTTCCTTGATTACGCTTTCCCTTGTATCTCTGTCGCTCGCCAAGTCAAGCGTGCTGATCCCATCCCCCCCATCTCCCTCCCGCGTCTGCGCTTCCTCTCCTTGATCTTTCCGCCTCTCTGCACCTTTTTTGAGGCCCAATCCGCACCCAACCTGTACCATTTCTTCGCTCACATCAACATCCCGCTCACCGCTGAGGTCGAGATATACGTGCAGGTCGACGATGATTACCGGTATGTCGCCCGCGACCGTGGCTTCCCGGAGTACTTCCGCGACTACCTCCCATGCGACCCTGCGCGTCTGCCTATCCTGCGAGCCGCGACCGCTGCGACGATTACACCCACGTACTTCCGCTGCGCGGTCGACGGCGCGGACGTTGGTTCGCTGTGGCTCGAGATCGCACACGTCGGGAGCCGCGTCGACAACCGTGTGCCGCAGTACGAGCGTTTTCTGCAGGACGCGTACGCCTTACTCAAAGAAGCCCCGATCAAGCGCGTGCATATCAGCCGGGTCGACGCATCCGTGGAGGCGTGGCGGGAGTTCTTCAAGACGTTCCTAGCGATTGAGGATCTGACTATTGGGCGGTGTGGCGTTAATATTCGGGAGGAGTGTATGTCCGCGTTGGAGGCCCTCGGTGATCCTTCCGATATTGCTCTCAAGGACCTTCGCGTGCTCAAGATCGAGAAGATGGAATGGACGTCGGAGCTGGCGGACGCTATCGCCCAAGCTTTGCGGGTGCGTTCCAAGGAAGGAGCTACACCGCTCACCGGGCTGCGCCTCAGGATGTATGGCCTGGATAGAAACTCAGCGGAGTCCATGGCGTTTCACGAGGCAGCTCTTGCGACGTTGCGATCACTTGTGGACGGGATCGTGTCGTATGAGGACTGGAAGCTCTCTAACTTGCGAGGGGATTGCTCTGAGTGCAGTACGTTATCTTCAGCTACAATTTCTGATGGGGACTACGCACGATAATGTACACGTATACGGAACTTTGCTCTGCATCTGCTCGCTGTTGAGTGATACATCAGTGTGGAAAACATAGCACGGGGGAAATCACTCATGCGTACCTTACAACTCTTGTACACATATCAAGCTCTCAGCTTCAGCTCCCCACCGGAACGGATGCGCGACCTTCAGTAGGCGGACCAGACGATGTCGGCGCCTCGACTTCGTCCGGGAGACCCGCCTCCTTCCACGCGGCGTAGCCCCCAATCATGTCGGTGGCGTTAAGCAAGCCCAGGTCGTGCAAAGACGCAGCTGCGAGGGACGATGTGTAGCTCTCCTGGCAGAACACAATAACGCGGAGGTCGTAGCGGTCCGCGATCGGCACCCGGTACGCGCAGCGTGGGTCGAATCGCCACTCGAGCACGTTGCGTTCTACAATGAGCGCGCCCGCGATGCTCCCGTACGTGCGCCGCTGCGCCTCGGGGCGGATATCGACGAGGACGACTGGCCACGCTATGGTCGGGTCCTGGAGCTCCTCGAGCGCCTGCTGCGGCGTGATGCGCTGCAGCCGCGCACGCGCGTGCTCGAGCACTTGTGCGATGCTGCGCGAGCCGGGTGGCGGGTCCAAGGGGTCCATCGGCTGGCGCGCCGCCTTGCGCGCGGCGTCCCACAGCGCGGCCTCGTCGAAGTTGGACGTGCATAGGTCGCGAATGAGCCCGCCCCACCGGCCATGGTGCAAGTCGTGCCGCTCGACGCGTGCGAGGAACTTGGAGCGCACGAGGATGCCCGCGCGATCCGCGAGTTCCTCGGACGAGCTGCAGATGAGCACGGGGCTCGTGCCCGTCGGCCGCGGGAGAGCGAGGACGAAGAGGTACGACTGGTGCCGAGGCGTGAGTGTGCGCTTGAATTCAGAGGCGAGTGTGTGCAAGAACTCCTCGCCAGAGGCGTAGGGGAGCGTGAGGACGACACCGATCTTGGTGCCCTCGACGATCTCGGCGTCGCGTGTAGCGCGGATGACGATCGTTTGCGCAACATGGTCCCGGATGGGGCTGAGGGCGTCGGGCGTCGATGAGCGTGGAGGTGAGCGCGAAGTGGCTCTGCGCTCTGGGATAGGAGACTCGGGTTTGGGGACCACCTCGCCGTAACTGCTAGTTGAGCGCGATGAGGAACTCGGTGTCCACTGACCCCTTGGCGGATACATGTTCGACATGTTGAGATCTGTATATTTGAAACTGTTAGTTACACATACAAATCCCTCTCATAATGCAGGTCAATGACCAACAACGATAGTTGCTGCAGGACTTGGTATCGGTTGATGTGTTGGACTGAAATTATCAGGCCGGTCAGTCAACTGTAAGTCTTGTGGCTATACTATTCAATGATAATTACCTTCTAATTCCAAGGTGCACTGATGTTTCCTATGCTATACAGGAGGTTTCCAGCGCGAGGACTCAAGAGATTCCCGGGAGTCAGTGGGAGACCCGATTCGGGCGTCTAACGGTCAAGCTTGAAGGCGCCGCTTTTGAATTAGCGGTATCGCTCTTGTTGTCCTACCACCACCTCCCCTCCATACATCGAGTTCCCCGTGTTTTGCACCAACGTTCTGTGTACGACCTGTACAGCAGCTTTCCCTCCTCGGTATGCATATCTGTGAGTCGCCGGAGACCACCGCCAATTGAACTTATTGGGGTGGTAATTGCCATCAGTGCAACATTCAGCGCCGGGCAGAGTTCGAGGCACAAGTAGCTTCACACCTCAAGTCGCGGATCCACATAATAGCTGGTACGCTTTCTTCATGCTTCTAACCATGTTATAAACTGTGCTATTCTGACTCCAAGGTTAGCGTGAATCGCGCCCGGGAGGGCCGTAAAAACACGCTGGAAGCTGTGCTCCTCCACCGACGTGTACCTCCCTACTTGTTATGCCACGACAGGTGCTTACGCGAGATGAACGACCTCATCAACTCCCTCGCACCGATCAATGCTCTACCGGTAGAGATCTTGACAGAAATTCTCCAAAACGTCCAGGCGTGCCATTTCCGCGACCTTGGACAACACTCGTTGGCACTCAGCCGCTGGATCGCTGTCTCATCGGTTTGCGTCTACTGGAGAACTCTTGTAGTATCCAACCCGTTATTCTGGCGCTCCATCGCGGTCCAACGAGCACCAGAGCTCCTAACCCTCTCACTCGAGCGCACGACCCAAGGCATTCCCTTGGCCATCCGCTTCGAAGATACCTATTTTCCCTGGCACTCCCTGCACACCATTCTCCAAGGCCGCGCCTCGGACGTCCGCGCTCTACGCTTCAACCGGATGGATACGCATGCCCTGAACCACTTTGTGCTAATCTTCCAGTCAATGCCGGCGCTGGAAGAGCTGTACATGCACGTGGCTTATGAAGACGACAATATGTATCCGATGATACCTCTCACACATGAATTCTTCCCCACTCTCCAGTCGCTATCCCTACGCGCCCTCAGATTCTCGGCGTTCGAAATCGTTTTCTCTCGTTTGCGCCGTCTGGTGCTGTGCGACTGCGGATGGATCAACTTCGCCGGTTTCTTGGATACCCTCGAGGCGTGCACACAGCTCGAAGAGTTGGATCTGGAGCTATCTTTACCTGTCCTAGATGATTTCTTTGACGAGGAGCCGCTTCGAATGCCCGATGGATCCCGTAGACCGACGGTGGCGCTGCCCTCAGTACGCACTCTGCGTCTAGCCCGAGACCCCTGTTGGAAGAGCTGCCTCGTACTGTCATATCTCCACTTCCCCGGCGCGAATAACATCACGATCATCGCGGACACGGGCGGTAATGCGGAAGACCCATCGGTGGATGGGGCCATCATCAGCATGCTGCCTCGGGACCGCCAGATCACCTTCCCCATCTTGAAGACAATCACTTCGGTCGACGTTGTCGTTTCCGGTGAGGTATACGAGATGCACATGAGGGGTCCTCGCGGCGCGACCGTCCTATTGTCGCTGGACAGTGGCGAGCTAGCGTGGCAAGAGGAGGATGCCGCCTACGCTGTCATGGAGCTGCCCATCATCTGCACCGCGGCACCGATCACCTCTTTGCACTTCACGGGATTCTTCAACGACAACTCGATGGAGCCGACATTTCAAGCATACTGGACGATCCTCTTCAAGATGTTCCGCTCGCTCGAGACGTTGCATGTTACCGGGTCCGGGCTTTGTAGGTCGATGTGGAAAGGACTCTGGGGGGTCTACAATGTCTCCGACGATGGATGCTGCCCTTCCCTGCGTTCCATCATTCTAGACGGGAAGGGGGCTGGCGCTCTTCACCACACTTTGGAAGAAGAACTCGCGCCGGTATGCTCGACTCTCCGCATCCGCGCACAGTTCGGCCTACGCCTGCACACGCTCACGCTGGACCCAATCTTACCCCACTCGAGAGACGACCTAGCCAAACAAAGTGTCTACTTCGACGAGCTCAAGGACTTGGTTGCCGATCTCAGCTTCTTCCCGTCGCAAGTTGAAGAAGCCTCGCGCGGACAGGCGGTGCGGGACACAGCAGGGGCGAGGATGAGGAAGGATACCAAGTCATAGCGATGATGCGGAAGAAGTAGAAAAGGTCGCTGGTGAGATTGTGAGTAGCGAAGCATTTTTGCAGCGACGCCCATGCTCATTGCGCACGCATAGCCCAACTTTACGACACGAATTTGTCAACACTCTTCGTGAGTAGATGATGGAAGGAGGATCAGCAATATCGGTAAATGCCTGCTATACATGAACTCAGCACACCATACGAGCAGTCCATAACCAATAGGGATTTTCTAACATCTAAATCACCATTCCTTGTCCACGAACTCGTAGGTATCGACCGCGGGCACAAGTAACGCTCCGTAGTGGGCATCAAACTCGCGATAATCGAACGCCGTTGAGCGACGCAAAGTGACCGCTAGCAGCTCCAGCCTTGGCGCCCCTTCTTCCGCCCGAGTCGAGACACACCAAGCGAGATCATCCATGAACAAGCCGCCGCTGTGTCCCTGTTGCTCTATGCGAAGAGCTCTGAGTTTCGGTGCGCGGACGCGAACTGCGCCCTCGAGTTGTGCCGGGTTGTGTGAGCCGAGCGACTCGCAGAGACACTGTGGGAAGACGTCTGCGTCCTCGATCGTGGTGCTCCGCAGCCGGAGCTCCTGCACCTGCGGGAACGTGTCGAGGAGCGCGTCGAAAACGTTCATCTCCAAGTTCTCGAGGTCGAACACGAGGTCGAGCTCCGTGAGGGGCGCGTCGCGGAGGAGGTGCACGAAGTGCGCGACGCCGGCGTCCACGGACTGTGTCCACTCGACGTGAAAGGAGCGTGCAAGGAGAGAAAGTATGACCGTCGGGCCTGCAGCGCCCTTACAGGTAATGGAGTACATGCCGTCCGTGATGTGGAGGCGCGCGCTGGTGGTAGAGTGGAGGAAAGCGAAGGTGTCGATGTCGCGCGGGAGCATAGATCGATAGGTGAGGAAGGGATCCTCGAGATCTTTCTTATCGACGAAGCCAGAGAAACAGATGCTGCCCTGTGACGGAAGCTGGAGATGGCCGATGAACAAGGAAATCCATGTGACGTTGTCTGCGAGGTCGGCCTGGCGAAGACGAGGAAGGGTGACCGCGCGGAGCCGCTCCGAAGGGCCGGGACGGCTCGAGCATACCGCTGGGAGCAGATCGTGCAAGGTGAGATCTTCTAAGTCCTGGGCGCATCTCAGGACGTCTAGAAATGCGGCGACGGACATGGTGGAAGAGTAGGCCATACATCCGCGGAGGTCCAGCGAGCGGAGGTGCGCCAGCAAGGAAATGGACCACGGGATGGAGACGTCTCGCAGGGACAGCTTGGTAAGCTCGGGGCAGTCCTCCGGCTTGAACCTGAAGGTAGCACGATCCGCGGGGGGCTCCTGGCCTTGGTTGTACATTCTTCCCCACGTGTCCACGCAGATCTCCAGTTGTGTCAGGGAAGGAAACGGTCCACATACAAGCGGCTCAAGCATTCGCAACTTCAGTGCGTCGAAACAGCTGAGGCGCAGATGTCCGATTTGGTGGCGCCTATCGAGCAGTTCAGGTAGAGCAGAGATGATTGCCGTGGTCATGGAGAAGTTGAGATGCAGCCTGGCCGCCCCGGAGCGAGACATGGCCGTAGTCAGCCATCGAATGTCTTTACCGACGTTGATTGAACGCCAGAAGCAGGGATTCGCTTTGACTACGGCACGCCAGCGTCGGCAGACCAGCGTGAGTCGAAACCAATCTGCTTTGTTGCTCGTGAAGACAGGTCCGGGGCGTGCATATGTGGGTTGGCGCGAGAGTATATCGACAAGAAGCTCGGGAGGAAGTTTGTGTATTGGGAGTCGTGCGTTCCATAGCGCTCTGATTTTGAGAAGATTGACGTCAGATGATGCTGATTGCGAGGACTGGACTTGTAGGCCGATGCCGAGAACGCTCGTGTCGTGGAAAATCGGGCCAACGTAGTCTGGCGGCAGGAGACCGTATAAGGGCCCGTCGAGCCTCACGGTATCATCGGCGAGCTCGTATGCCATGACTGACGAGGCGCAAAGATTCAGACTTTCTGCTCCAGATGTATAGCTCAGTTAGATTACGAGTCGGTCGAGCTTGGCCTAGTGTAGTGCTGTGTAGTGATGATCTGAGGATCCGTGTTTCGGAGGCACCGACGGCGACCAGGCCCTCAAGGTCACGATGATGTTGCTACGTCGTGCGTGTTAACGGCGTCCTTGAAAAACCTCGCTAGCGATGATACTCACCTCAGTGATAGTGCTGACCGCAATATGTGAGAGCAAAGCACGAACGGGAAAAGAACGAGAGACTCGTGCCGGCGCCGCAGTACTAGCGCCAATGTTTAAATTTCAAGTAGCGCCTAGTAGTAGCGCCTGCGCGCCAGCGGTGGGCGCCCGATATTTTATCGCCCTCACCCAACCTCACCGGCTCTCCTTTCTGCGACCACCCGTGCTCGCTTTTTAATCTTCTTCAGAAATTACTGGCGGCTTCGTCTAACCCATCATTACTGGTCTGCCCGCCCCTGCTCGCCATCTTCCCCGTGCCTATCTTCAGGGTGATATCACTCTGTATGTATTCGCAACATGCTAAGAATATTTTATTATCGATAGAGTCTGATCAGGCCGTCCGTCTTTCCTAAACTGTGAGTATGGCATGCATTACAATGTTTGTCCCGACGTACTATGTGACCAACATATGGAAAGGTGCATGAGGTTACTGAAACATATAATCATCCGTGCGCTCAGCAGCACAGCTCGTGAAGCTCGGCCTGCCCTCATTCAGAGGGAACATCTGCCCTAGCCTAAAGGCGCCACATTTTCCACCCCAACACCGACGTGGTCGATATCGTGCCCTCGCGGATGTTGCCAGTGAGTACTTCCGCTTAGTGGGCAACGGCGATCTAATAAAGCTATGACAGAGGTCAGAGATGCGCAGCGCGCAAGCACAGATCCTGCACTCACGTGAACGTAGTTCCGGTTCTGCCCTAGGTCCTCGTACGTGACACGCTCGACGAACGGCGCGAGCCGCGCCATGAACCGCCCGCGCGACGCGTAGTAGTTCGCGTGGTGCAAGCTGAACACCGCCCACACGAGCTCGTCGAGCTTCGCGTCAGCCTCCGCGCGCTCGCGCAGCGCGTCTGCAATGATCTCCAGGTCGCGGTCGTCCGGGGGCGCGGGATAGTTGTCCTCCGGCCGCGAGGTGTGGCGGATGTGCACGCGAGTGAGCTGCGGACAGCACGGCTGCGCGGACCACGCGCTCGCGCGGTGGAGACCTTGCCACATCGCCGTCCAGGTGCCGTTTCCGGTCAGCTCGAGCCGTTGCAGGAGGGGTAGGCTTGTAAAGAGCTCCTCCCAGACGGACGGCAGGATGTGATACGAGCTCCCTTCGACCACGAGCTCGGTGATTGGCGTGCTGCCGAAGAGATGGGAGATGTCCTGGAGCGCGGCGGGGACGACGCGCGACCAGTCGAGGTCGAACCGCGCCTGAAGGTTGACCGATATGGGGACGGGGAGCGCCTTCGACTCCACCCGCACGATGCACAGGTCCTCCATGAAGGCGAGACTTGCGATGACGGGGCCGGCTTTGGGGGGGAACGTTGGGAGGATCCTCGAAGAATCGGCAGGCACCAGCGTTCGGAAGAGGTGCTCGGAATCAGAGAACTGTGCCTCCTCATCGCGCCCAGGGCGTAGCCTATAGCACAAGAGGCGCAGGGACGCGATGGCGGGGGTGTCAAGGTAGGCAATAACCGCGGCGATGATATAAGCCGAGTCCTCTGCAATGTCGAGCCTGCGTAGGCTGGGGAGCGTCACCCGGCGTGGCTTCGCGGGAATTTCGCGTGGGGCAGTGGCTGACAGCGAGTGGAGAGATTGCTTGACGTGCAGCTCAACTAGCTGTGAGCAGCCACCCAGTGTTTGGATGAATTCGTGGAAGGAGGAGGGCCAGGAGCACCTGTCGAGCTTGATCTCGCGGAGGGTAGTGATGTCCGGAGGAGAGATGACGCCGCGGAGGTCCAAGCGCCGTAATCGAGGATACTGCTTCATGTTGACCACCGAGCGGGGAGGCATCCGGTCGTCAAGAAAGTCGGGGCAAACTTTCAGCTCCTCGAGGCAGGGAATACCGATGGAAAGGATCACGTCGATGGGGGAGTAACTGATATCCATGTGTACCACGTACAGCGCGAGTGCGCGCACTGAGGAGATGTGTGACCGGAACAAATCCAACGACTCCGAGAGAAACCACGGGTTGTGGACACGAATCTCGAGCGGCGTGCCCCCGTGTAGCGAGAGACACCATCGGAGCGGCGTCAGGTCAGCCACTATTGGGACGACGCGCCAAAAACGGGAGACGGAGAGCATGATGTTGCGCCAACGCTTGCACACGCGCATGACACAGAACCATCTGTAGAAACTGCCCAGATATCGTTCTCGAAAGTAGATTGCATGGACGCAGTCGAAGATCACGATGAGGAGCTCGTCTGGGAGGCGGTCGATCTGTGAAGTGGACGGGGGAATTTCCAGCGGGTTCATCGGTCCGAGGCTCCCGGGGACTGTCGCGCCCCGGGTTTTCCCTCCTGCCACATGCTTCAGGCGTTTGAACGCTCCTTTGATGGCTGTAGGACGACCCCGTTAGCACATGAGCTCGTAGCGTCCAAGGCAGGAAAGCCGCGCACGTCGCGTTGCTCGACTTACTTTTGGGCTGCAAGAAGCTCATGACATGACGCCCGCTATCGCGTCGAAACATAGTTGTGCAGAGCTTGTAGTATCGCCGGAGCCTAGTCTTAGTCGGTTATGCCAGCGTATCGCCGTTTATGAGTACGCAAGGCTGGTGAAACAACGCACAAGTGGGGCGAGGCAAGGTAGTCGTCCGTTGGCAAGTTGCGCAGTGGGCGCCTGCGGCTCAGGTCCAGTATCTCGGCAATTTGGGCGCTAGACAACCCTGCAGGGGCCAAGCGGGCTCCCATAGAAGCGCTCTCTCACGGCGAATATATAGAGCGGACGAAGCTCTACGAAACTTCCAGACCAGAAAGTGGTACGTAAATCCGCTTCTAGCCATAGAAGCAGGCGTGGTCTGATAGCACGTGTCTTTGCGCCGGGCAGAAATATTTCCCATGAGCCTCCGAAGGGAGATATTGAAGGGTGAGGCCGCATGGACTAGTGAGTAAGAAGCAGAGATGAGAGGGCACGTATAATAAGACCACACTTTATAGGGATAGTACGGCCCCAAGTAATCACGATTCCTAGATGCGGGCTTCGTGAGACGGGCGAAACGAGGGATGCGACGGTCGCTCAGAGGGTCACGTAAAAGCGAGAGGAATGCGTGTTATATGCGTTAAGAACACAAAGCGATCTATTCACGAGACGGTAGTGTACGATATCGACGCGTGTAACTCAGGGAGCTCCTGACCGTTGTTGTGGCAGTGCTCTGAACAACGATACTTGCCGCATTGGGACACGCACTCGCAAGGCGTTGCGTGGCACGCGATATTAAGCCGGCCGGACTCGGCGGATGCCATTGCAACTTGAACTAGAACTTAGCTGAGGCGCGTCCTCTGGCTCTACAACCACTTCACTCCCAGTGCTGTTGTCTCTGCGTGATCAAGAACGTATCCTATGGTAGCTGTAAACTGAGCTCTAACGGTGCGCGCACAGATGGGTAGGTCCGACTCGACGCTATTTGTTTCTCTCCGAGTCCTGGATCGCTGATACATTCTCTCGCAGCTGTAGAAGAAACACATGGCGGCGACGCTTCCGGTCCAAGCCCTTCCATCACACCCATCGATCGTATGCCGGACGAACTCATCATCGATACATTCAAATACGTCCATGCCGATATCTTCGATGGCCCTCCAGAGACCTGCTTCCACGAGTGGATACGGCTACTCCACGTATGCAGACGATGGCGCAGCATCATCCACTCGGTCTCCGACCTGTGGCATATCATAAATATTACTCCAAAGTCCACGCCGGGTGAGCTGGCGTATTCCCTCTCCCTTTGCGGTGACCAGCCGCTGGACGTCCGCTTCCTCTACTTGGATCCAAAACTTGTCTCCGATTCCTCGAGGTTGCTGAGTCCCAAGTTGTCCACAATACAATGTCTCACTCTACGGATCTTTCATCTTGACTATGACAACCCTCCTTTCGGCGATATCCTCTCGTTCGATATGCCAGCTCTTCAGGAGCTTCGAATTGTCCCGCGGTACATCGTGAGCAATCACACACCTGATCACCAAGTTGTCGCACTACGTCAATACCCCCTACTTCAATGTTTGGAACTGGGCGGGATCACCTGTCCCCCGGACATTGCCAACCTTCGAATCCTTCATCTTCGGTGTTGCTCTCTCCCGTTTTCATTCGACGGCTTTGTTCGAGTCCTCGGGTGCTGTGTACAGCTGGAAGATCTGCAGCTCGACTCAACGCTGAGCTCTCTGGCCGCCACGCTCCCACAGACGGCGCCTTCTACACTTCCCTCAGCCAAACTCGACCGCCTCCGCTTTCTTTTCATCGACGATCGCTCGGCCCGCGCCATATCCGATACCGTAAGCCACATCGACGCTCCCGGAATCACTACGCTGCGTATACTATGTTATAGCCGCCATCGCCCAGAGGCTGAACACCTACTGCGGACCTTATTCCCGGGCGATTCGTCTCCGAGCATCTCTTCCAGTTTCACCGCCTCCCCCGTCAAAGTGCGCCTGTATCTCAAAGGCAACACCGACACATGCATCATCGAAACATCTGAGTCATCCACGTCCCCGGCCATATCGACGTCTCTCAACCTCTACGTTGGCTTCGACTTTGAGATGGAGTGCACCATCACCACCGCGCTCCAGGATACCGCCCCCCTCCTTGCAAACATGCGCGTCTCCGAGTTCTCTCTTGCCGCGGGGATGCCAATCGACGTCCCACCCGCGGTTTGGGAGGAGATATTCTCCAGCATGCCCTTCCTAGAAAGGCTGAACCTCAGGGGCGACGGGGGTATGACGGCGATGTGCCAGGGCCTCCACCATGCCAGCATAGAGCGACGCTGCTGTCCCCGCCTCACGAGCATACAAGTCCAGAACACGTCACGATCCGACTTGGAGCATATCGCTCGCGGCGCAGAGGTAGAAGACTCCGTTATCTGGATGGATAGCATGCGGGACACGATGCGTGAGCGTGCGCAGGCGGGAATGAAGCTCCGGGAGCTCGTGGTTGGGGAGTTTCGGTCCTATGCGGAGGGGTCTCACTTCCCGTGGTACGATACACATCTCGCGCAGCTGCGTCCGTTCGTTGAGCGGGTGGAGTATGAAGATATCTGCGTTTAAGACGCGGCGAGCGAAGGGTCATCTGCCGGTGGAGAACACTCGGATTAGGTTGGGATTCAAGAAGGAAGTGGTCCGACGTCGCAGTATACATATGTTCATGCGGCAGCGGATTCGCACGCAAGCTCGAGTGTCGACGTGCCAAGGCGGACAGAGACTATAATGCATGTAGCACCCTCCGTGATTGATGTCATACAAGTACTCGTTGTCCGATTTGCGGACCACTATCTGAATGTCCATGGCCATGTCACAATAAATATACACGCTCGATTCCGATCAAAATAGAAGGCCAGGAATGAATGGCACAGTGTATAGTGTCCCGTTCTCGTTTAACTCCCTTTTTCAGCGGGTGCATATTCTCCCGACATCTTGTACACCGTCCGCTCCACGAACGGGTTGACCTGCTTAAGGAACTCATCACGTACAAAGTGAGCATCGGCATGTGAAGGTCCGCGCACCTCCCAGACCAGCTCCTGCAGCTTTGCGCCCTCCTGCGCGCGCCGACACAGTGTGTCCCTCACAACACCGATCTCGCGCCCATCTGCCTCGGCATCGCCGCCCTCCTGCGGCGCGGCCGTCCCGATGTGGACGCTCTCCAGACGCGGGCAGCACAGATTTGTAGCGTTCCCGCTCCTGTGGCGGAGACCCTCCCACATCGCTATCGCCCCGTAGGTGCTGGTGTTTACTAGGGCGAACGTCTCCAGGATGGGCCAAGTGGCAAAGAGCTCCGCCCAAGCGGCGGGCGGAACGTGCTCCGCGGGCCCTTCGATGGTGAGCGCCGTGAGGGGCGCGTTCGCGCACACACGGGAGAAGTCCCGGAGCGCTGCACAGAGGGCGCCCCTCCATGTGCCAGTACCTCCAAAGTCAGAGCGGAGTTGCATCGACTGCCAGGGCTCTGGTTGCGTGGAGGCTTCGAAGGTGCACGTCCCCCTGCTTAGAAGGCGAATCGTGGCGTGAATGGGTGCAGTGAACCGCGGAAGCACGCGGGATGGCTCGACAGGGAGGAAGGCCCACACGCGGTGCGCAGATGCTGGAGTCAGCGGCCTTCCGTTCAGGACTGGGATTGAGTAGTAGTTCAAGACACGAAGAGATTTGATGGAAGGTGCTTCGATGTGAGCTAAGACGGCGGTGATGATGTCGGCGGCGCTGTCCTCGATCTCAAGACCTTCGAGGCGCTCGAGCTTAGCCCGGCCAACGTTGGGTGTGATCAAGTGTGGGAGGGGGAAGGAGAGCAAGCCCAAGGAGTGGTACAGACGCAGCTCTTCGAGACGCACACAGCGCGACAGCGTGTGAATGAAGTCGTCGAGAGTGAATGGCCAGGAGCAGCGATGAAAGTGAAGAGCTCGGAGGTAGGTGCACGGGATATTCGAAGGGCAAGCGAGCCCCGTGAGTTGTAGCCTCCGAAGCAGTGGGTATCGGTGCAGTGCGAAGATTGGTTGCCTGGAGACCCTGTTGATCACAGTGTGCGGAACGAAGAGAAGCTCTTCGAGGCCCGGCATGTCGAGTGCGAGGACTTCGTCAAATGCAGGACGTAGATTGTCGAGGTGGAAGGTAAAGAGAGTGAGACGTTGAATGCGGGATGCATATGGACCGAGCAGCCTTACTGATGCGGAAAGGACCCGTGCTCCGGGTTCGCAGAAACGGATGTCCAATAACGAGCTACCGCAAAGAGAGAGGCAGTACTCCAGTTCGGATAGCTTCGACTCCCTGGAGGTGATGTTTATGACGCTCCACATGCCGGGGACGGAAAGGATGAGATCACGCCAGCGAGAGCATATGTGAAGCAGCTGCATCCACCGGTGGAAGGCGGTATCGGCAGGCCCGGTATTGAAGATGCATGCGTGAACGCACTTGAGGAAGTCTACTAAGAGTTCGCCTGGAAGGCGATTAATCGGCGCGCTTGAGGGGTCTGAGTAGCTCGTTGAGCCCTCTATTCCTGTCAGAAGGAATCAATTGTGAGCAATTGCTTGAAAATGCAGGAGACGGAGGATACCAGGAGGGTTGGGAGATTTAGAGAAAAGCCTGACTTACGCTTCTCAAGGCCGTCACACTGGTGTAGGTCTTCGCAGTCCATGTAAATGGTGCCCCAGATGCTCAAATCGGTTGTGAACTGAGCGGTGCGGAGGAAGCAGAATTTCTCGAGTGAACATGGCTGGTGGCAAGAGCTGCGGGTGATCAAGCTGGCGCAGCAGCGCGAACACTGGCCGAAGTCGGATTAGATTAGATTAGATTTGGCCTGGATGTACTTGGCTGCCGCCGCCGACTCTGCAAGCAACTTGTCAAGAACGTTCACCGCAGCCGGCAGTCGCGCGTGGATCTCCACCGACTACTGTGCATGATAAAACCCGATTCACATACACACATGCACACGGGAAAGCCAGCAAAATTGTCCGCATCCAGCCTTGGCAGCCTCCGCAGGCAGAATAGCGCCATGTCACCCAGATGTCACCTACGTGGAATTCATGGTATGCTGCACAAAATGGCGATGATTTATCTATCCCCCGCTGACTTAAAAATGAAGCTGGGTGAAGTTAGAGGCCGCCACGATTGATTTGCGGACCAACACGCTCCTTATCTAAGTGCCAAGCATATTGAGGTCAGCGCACCCCACACAGTACGAGTACCAGTTGTTCAGTTTCACATATTATACTTCCAGAAGGAACCAGAACACGCCATGACACGACTATGAACCACCGATGTGTCTACGCATCAACTTTCTAATGACGTCGTACCTCGCATTCAGTCAGGTAGGCGCTGTGAATCATCGTATGCAGTAAGTCAGGAATGAAAAGTACAGTCCCACAACCCTGAGATTACCTCCTCACGATCTATTTAGAGGTCCTATCACCATTGGGTAACGTCGACTGACGATCTACTATGCACTCGAAGCGGGCGACCCACAATTAGTGGGTTGAATGCTTGGGCATTTGCGACTGTGACACCAAGTGCGAAACCTACCAAGTACTGGCCGACACGCTCCGACGAACGTGAGAACCATTGCATACTTTGTAAACTCTGCATCCCAAGATTCGCTGATCAATGCGCAATTTTCTTAGGCAAGCTTGCCAGTCCGAGCAGCCCACTGCGTCTGCTAAAGGGTTATAACAAGATCCGCCGAACCTCGTTGTTACCATCTGCACCAAGGGCTCTGGCGTGTGCCGTTGGTATCCGTACCTTCGTCGCCTCCTCCGCGGGCAGCCGCAGGACCTTCTGTATCAATCATAGCATCTCATCATGGCGTCGAGTCCAAGTCCGACTGTACCGCGTCTTTGAGCTGTTTGTGCCACTGTCAATCTTGCGCACGGAAATGACAGCAAACTGACCCCGTCATCTTCTCTTTTCCCAGGTGTAACATTGCTTTCTCGACGAAAGTCGGCCGTACGGTCCACGTGAGCCTCGACCGCTGTCCTACTGCTCGCGAGGGCCCCCAAGAGAGATCGTGATTGGACGCACAATTTTCAGTGCACGACACACCGAGGTTGTGGCCCCCCGCATTTTTCTTTGCACTGGGGGATGCCTGTTGGGGAAACGAGAATCGCAGAATCTCTACGCTGTGATTGGCTGACCGGAGGCTGTTTCTTCGTCTTGGCATCCCGGAGCAGCGGAAGCGGGACCCACACCTCGCGTACTAGCACCCGACATGCGTTTCGTAGAACGAGGCGAGAAACGTATAAAAGGGAGGAGGACGGCGACAAAGGCCTTCAGAGCACTCGTCGACTCCTCTCAAGCATCGCAATGGCCTTCAAGAGCCTTCTGACCATCGTCTCTCTCGTTGCAACCCTCACGGGCACCAATGGTACGCAGTGCACGAGCACCACTCACTCGCCGTGTTCTGACCATTCTTCGCTTGCTACCAGCCGCGCTGACGCGCCGCGTTACCTGCCCCGATGGCAAGAACACTGCGACGAACGCGGCGTGTTGCCAGCTGTTCGCCGTTCGCCAGGATCTGCAACAGAACCTCTTCCATGGCGGTCTCTGCACGGCTGAGGCGCACGAGTCCCTCCGCCTGACGTTCCACGACGGCATCGCCATCTCGCCCGCCCTGGAGGCGCAAGGAAAGTTCGGGTACGTCTGACAGACCTTTCGGCCCCTCGTTAGCTCTTTCTGACCGCTTTGTAGTGGTGGAGGTGCTGACGGCTCCATCTCGATCTTCCCCGAGATCGAGACTGCCTTCCACCCCAACATCGGCCTCGACGAGATCGTCGCGCTCCAGCGGCCGATCCAGGCGCGCCACAACCTGACGCACGCCGACTTGTGAGTAGAGAGCACGCCCACTTCCTTCAGCTTGGCTGACTGACGCTGTACCAGCCTTCACTTCGCCGGCGCCCTCGCCGCGTCGAACTGCGCGGGTGCGCCCCAGCTCTCCGCCTTCGTCGGCCGCAAGGACGCCACCCAGCCCGCGCCCGACGGGCTTGTCCCCGAGCCGTTCCACACGCCCGACCAGATCTTCGACCGCCTCGCGGACGCGTCCGAGGGCGAGTTCGACCCGATCCTGACCGTGTGGCTGCTCACTGCGCACACCGTCGCCGCGGCGAACGACGTCGACCCGACGAAGTCCGGGCTGCCGTTCGACTCGACCCCCGAGATCTGGGACACGCAGTTCTTCGTCGAGACGCAGCTGCGCGGGACGCTCTTCCCGGGCAAGGGCGGGAACCAGGGCGAGGTCGAGAGCCCGCTCGCGGGCGAGATCCGTCTGCAGAGCGACCACACGATCGCGCGCGACCCGCGCACGGCGTGCGAGTGGCAGTCGTTCGTCGATAACCAGCCGAAGGCGCAGGCGATGTTCCAGTTCGTCTTCCAGGTGCTCTCCACGCTCGGCCAGAACCAGGACGATCTCGTCGACTGCACTGAAGTCGTACGTCGCGCCCCTTGTCTTCCCTCAGCCGTTTTCGAGCTCGATGCTGATTGATTCCCGCAACAGGTTCCGATCCCCGCGCCGCCCCAGGGCCGCACTCACCTTCCGGCTGGCATGACAATGAACGACATCGAGCAGGCCGTAAGCATCATTTATAGCTCGTCTTCTACGGATTCCTAATGCGTTTACATACAGTGCGCCGAGACTCCGTTCCCCACTCTCCCCATCGACCCCGGACCCCGCACCGCCGTCGCCCCCGTGTAAGTCTCACTCCCCATGACCTAGCCCCTTCGGGGTTCTTATTGCTGCTTTTCTCTCCAGCGTCCCCCCGCCGAAGGTCAACCTCTAGAGTCCAGCATTTGAAATCTGGCGCCTCGTACCGGTTTATGGGTTATCGTGTTTAGAACGGTTTCCCTGTGGTCTTGGAGCCCCTTGAGATATCTTGGGCGTGTGTTGTTGTACTAGCAGGCTAGGTGAATATAAGTATATCGATTGTCGATTTAGACTCTATGTCGACAGTAGGTTGGCTAGCGTAGTTATCTCATGGATGATCGATTGAGTCCTGAAGATGAAGACCCTCCTTGACTCTCTGATCATACCAACTTGAAGTGGATGAGTCAGTCATTACCAGCGGCATACACTACAATATGAATATGTACGCTACAAACCGAGATAAAGAATAAACAACACCTCTCTTCGCTCCTCTGCCATCCTCCGCCCCCTCCATCGAAGTAAAAACATGTACGAAATAATGTGCTCAGACTAGAACTACTTAGCCTCCTGTTCGCGAGCGAGTCGCGTTAGCAGCCGCTTCGCCGCACTGTACTCCGTGTCCTCGTCGCTCGAGTCCGCCCACACGTCGCGCGCGCCGTTCTGTTCGATGCGCGAGCCCCACGCGCCCCCATTACCTGCATTCTCGGCCCGCGGCGTCGCGGAGCCCCCGCGCGCACGGGAGGAATGCGACCACGGCTCATGCCTCTCACGCTCGTCCTCGTCCGTCTCGTCGAGCGCGGGCGGCGTCGCGGAGAACGTCGGCGGAAGCGACATGCGCACGCTCTTGCGTCGCACGGGTGGGGAGGCGGTGGACGTCGTCGAGTTGCTTACGTCGCTGACATTGTCGTGTGGCGGAGGTGGGGGCGGGGGTAAGGTAGGGGAGGGTGGAGGAGTCGGCTCAGGCTCGTCGTCGAAGACTTCGTGGCCGGTCTCGTACGAGGAGATAGAAGATACGTCGCTCGCACGGCGCTTTGACATGAGGTCGGGCCGAAGTACGGTCAGGGTATCGCTGGGACGGGTCGGCGCAGGAGCAGGGACGTTTCCATTGGGAGACGCAGCTGCCGGACGTTGGGGTTGAGAAAGGGACAGGGCAAGCGGCGGCAGAGGAGGCGAATTCGGGTTCGGTGAAGGCGTCCGGCTAGCGTTGCGCAACGCAGAACGAAGGGGCATCTTCGCTGGGAGTGGTTTCGGCTGGCTCGCGGTCGCGATCGGGAGCGACGGCGCGGAGATCGATGCGGACATGAGCAGCGAATTCCGATAGTTGTGCTCCTCCCCGTCCTGCTCCTTTTCCTTCTTCAGCCGCGGGCGCGGGGTAGCTGAGCCCTCGGAGTGCTGGCGCGCCACTGCGTTCACTTCCGCACGGACCTCGTCGATGGTGATGTTCACTGGGCCAGGGGCTTTAGGCACAACGAGCAGGCGGTTGGGATCCTGCTTGAGCGCAGCGTCCTTGTTGATGCGCGACATCCCCTCGACGATACTCATGAGACTCGGCTCGCCATTGGGGAGACGCGTGGACGTCGAAGTCGCGGACGTCGACACCGTGCGCTTGTGCTTCGTCGGAGTGGGCGGGCCGTTCGAAGTCGGGGTAACATTCAAGGATGCGGTGCGCTTGCGAGAAATCGATCCCTGCCGGCCAAGCGGGGACGGGGTAGAGATGTGCAACATAGAGCCAGTCCTCGGGGGCGCACTAGCAGAGCTCGAGATCGACTGCTTCGAGATCGACGAGTTCCGAGACAACGACGGCCCGCCCTCGGACAGCAGCGCCAACGCCCCGTTCGGAGGTTTCTTCAAGCGTGTGCTACTTGCTCCCGCGCTAGCCCAGTCGTTCTGCTTCGGCGACGAGGGCTTTGCAGGTCCGTTGACTCCCGTTTCAGATGGGCTCTTGGAGCGCGTCTTATCCCGGCCACTGCGCCCGCGCGCCTTGCTCACGGACTCGGCCACGGTATCGCTCGCGTAGCCCTTGTCCGCGTTAACGGTCCGCGCGGGGGACGGGGCTTGCACAGACCCACGCTTTAACGCGCGTTTCTTGAGCCTTTGAGTATCTCCCTCAACCGGAGAACCTTTCACCGGGGAGTTCAAGAGAATCGGCGTAGGAAAAGTAGCCCGTGCATATGAATGGGAGGGCGTAGGCCCTTCTTCGTCGGAGCTGTCGCCGCGCTTCACTGACGCGAGGTTCCTGTCGATGCGCGACTGCCATCGCCCTGGTGCTTTCGAGGGAGACGTGCGCGTGGAGTCGTCGGCGTCATTGCGAGAGCCCCCGACGTGAAAGAGGGCGGCCAGGTTCCCTAGCATGGATCCAGAGCGCTTCTTCGTCTTCTTGGTGGGGGATTCGCTGCGCAAAGACGACGCCTCGCCCAACATGCTCTCGCTCGTCGACGCCTTGGGCCCCCGTAGTGAAAAAGAGACGTGACGCGACGGTACAGAGGCAGAGATAGATGGGGCCTTGGCTTTCGGCTTACCCTTGCTGAAGCGCGGGTTCTCGTGCACTTCGGTAGGGATCGCTGTCTCGTCCTCTTCTGCGCTGCTACCTCCGCCTGGCTCTTCTTCGATTGTTGAATGTTGAACCGTTCCGTTGGGCATGGCGTACTCGCCAATAGAGTGTGCTGGGGGTATCTGGAGAGTGTACGGCTTCGGCGGAGTTGGAACTGTAAGGGGTGAAGAAGCCCGCCACGGCGGACCCACTATCGTGCTCTGCTCAGACGAATGTCCGACTTGCGAGGCGGACTGAGAGGGGGCTAGAGAAGATACGTCAGAACCAGCTTGGTCGTGACCGGGAAGGGGCTTGTGGAGGTAAGGGTATCCAAACGGGCTGCCTGTCAAGCGCAAATGTTAGTCTTTCGTCGCAGAGGGTGCAAAGAATTAACGGCTGACACGGAATCGTCCGGCAGTGCCCTCCATCGCGGATTGAAAGAAGCGTGTTGAACAACACAATGTTTTCGCGACGTACCGTAGCCGTTTTCCATCCCGAGGGTATCCAGGGCCCGAATGCCTTCCTTGCCCATCTCCCCCCATGCCCACCCGCATTCCGCCATTACCCGACACCGTGCCTGGAGACCTGACTTGATAGTGTGTAGACGGAAAACATTGAGTTCTTGCTCCTTCGAAGCGAGGTGCGCCTCGCACGCTTGCAGCTCCGATTGAGCAGCGGAAAGTTTCTGGCCGACGTGCACCTCGGGCTTCGTGATGCTCAGCGTCGAACCTGAGGGTGACCCGCCCAGTACCGAGTCTCGTGCGGGTTTCTGCTGCTTCGACGCCTTGATAAGGCGCGTGACCCTATGGAGATTTGTATGAGTTACTGATATTAGAATTGGAGGGGACGCGTCGTCAGGGCCATGCAGTCGAAATTGCCTCATGTGCCTGCACATCACCGCTCCTCCTTCTGCTAGCAATAGGAATCGGAGGGGAATAGAAACCTTCAAGGTAGTGAACGCGCAGGCCACCCCTTTAGAGATGCGCTAGGAACTGATGGTATCCTCTCGTTGAAGCGTGAAGCCCTCGAGAGTCCACGGAAACATCCGTTCCTCCGCATCCCCTAGCAGTCAAGCAGCCCTATTAACCGTCATGAGCGGCTTCAGAGACCCCGGCGGACATCCCGAAGGTTTGTTCCGTCGGTCCGAAGGGCGTTTTGGGGGTGTCGAACACGTATCGTAAATCCAACCGGACGTTAAGACTCACAGAATCTCCCTATCCCGCATGATGTTTCCAACGTCGTCTTCCATCTGCTTCAACGCCCTCAGCTGCTCCTGCCAACGTTCCACCGCGGCCGCATAATTCCTCAACGCGTCATCCGCGCCCGCTAGGTTCCCCGCGACGGCGATGATGACCCGGGACGTCGGAGGTGTACACGTCGACGCGTAGGCCGAGAATGAGGCGAGCGAGGACTGGGAGTAGTCGAGGAGCACGGAGAGGTGTTTGGAGTAGTCCTTCTCATGGCTGAGAAGGTTGGCGAGGAGCCGCGAGTCTGATGGCCGGTGCACCATGCAAACGTGGAGGTGGAGGGGGCCGCCGGGGAGGCAAGCTACGCACGCAGGGGTCGAGCTCGATGCGAACTTGGACGGAAGCTTAAGTGTGTCGTATGGAGCGTTGGCAGTGCTTTGCGGTGCTCGCCGTGACGTGGGGATGTGGGGAAGATCGGGACGACAGCGCGGATGGTGGTGGAGTTGGGAAGAGATATCGACACGGTGACGGTGGTGGCGGACGCGTAAATTGATTCTACTCAACGCTAGTGGCGCCGCAGCGATCCGTAAAAGGCAAGCGTAGTGTTCGTGCACGAATGTTCTCCGACTTGGCCGATGGTGCCTTGTTGCGAAAAAATTGAGATAGACTCCTTCTGGGAGAAAGACAGCGCATTTTTGTACATCATGCAGTTGCAGACTCATTTTTCCGGCGCAAATTAGCACCACCGCGAGTACAGCTGAGCATGCATCGTCGGTACAAGTACTGGCGTCGTCTGATGGAACGGATGCCTGGCAATACATGCTCAGCGCTCATCCAGAACAACGTCGAGTAAAATGGCAAAGTGGACTTTTATTATTATCTGTATGGAAGGGGGAGCATCCAGCGATGACTATGCACAACGAACGTGTCAATAGTCGACGAACCGCCGGAACGCAAAGAGGTATGGAGGGGTGTCGCGTAACGTATCGTAGCTGTGTAATGGTGCGGGGGGTCGTGCGTGGCCGAGGCAAGGGCGTACAGCAAATAATGCGGGACGGGCAGGGACGCCGCGCCCGAGGGAGGGGAGGGGGCAAGGAGGAGAGGCAGATGGGCGTATAACAGGTATGCAACACAAACAATGCGCTTCTAGATGATATATGCAAGGGAGGTGTGCGAATAGATGTAAAGTATAAACATGCGAATAGAGATCCAGAAAATGCGGCGGCAGCAGCAGCAGCAGCGGAAGCGCCCGAGGTATGCACCGCGCCGTCATCCAAGATTGTTCCTCTCCGTCCGCGAAGAAAGTCCGTTCCAGTTTCCAAGATGCCAAGGGAGCCGCGGTGCGAGATCACACAGGGTGCCAGTCCGACCCGTGCGCGTAGTGTTCCATCGCGCCCCACGTCGTCTGCGTCCTCCCCGAGCTGCTCGTCCCGCTCCCCATAGTGGTGGGGTTGGTGATGAAGGACTGCGGCGCCGTACTGATGTCGGGCATGCTCTCCTCATGGCTGAGCTCCTGCGTGCGACCCGCGATAGGTACCCCACCGCGTTCCGTAGCCACGCTGACCAACGAAGGCTGCTCTGAAGGTGCTTGTGAGATCGTCGAGCGCGCGGTGTGGAGCTCCGGCTGAGACCCGTCCGAGCCAGAACCGGGCTGCGAGGTCGGGAGCGGCACGTCCGCCTCAGCAATGTCCGAGATATCGTGCACCGCTTCCTCCGCGCGCCACTGTTCGCGCAACGGGTGCCCGAATGTGTGGTTTTCCGGGCTGCTGAGCACCGCCTCCGACGACGTCGACGCGTATGGCGAGTCCGAGAGCCGCACGAGCGAGTTCGCGCGCGTGCGCACAAGGTCGATCGACGACCGCGACGCCGCGCCGAGCGATTGGATGAACGACTGCGCGCGCGAACGCGCCGACTCCGAGCCCGTGCCCGACGTCGTGCGGGAACGCGAATTCGAGTTCGACGCGGATGCGGACGCGGCTGAGCCAGAGCGCGACCCGTTCGAGCGCCGGTGTAACGAGAGCGCGCTGCTGCGATGGCGCAGGTTCACGAGCGACGCGCGTGGGCTCGGCGCGGCGGACAGCAGGCCCACGCTGTCTTGCTGCTCGGCCTCCTCGATCGAGCCCTCGGCTTCGGGGACGTCCATGAGGCTGTCGTCCGGTTCGTACTCCCCATCGGAGCTCTCGAACGAGCCAATGGGGATGGGGCCGAAGGTCGCGGAGGGGTCCGTCGCCATGCTTTCTGTGCGTGTGCGGGCGCGTGGCCTGCCTGCAGGGAAGACGACAGGCGAGGGCGACCCGGGGGACGAGGGCAGGGTTGGCACTGTTCCCGCTCTTGCTCTCCGGTGCACCTGGGGATGCCGCGGGGGCATGGGAATCCCGCTCCCACTGAAGCTCGAGTTCAGCGGGCTCGGCCCGTTCGAGCTGTTGGACCTCGGTGAGTGCGAATCTGTCGATTCCATATTCCCGGTCGACTGCGTCGAGCGCGAGTTGCGGGTCGAGCGCGACGGCGTTGACCGTGACTGCCCCGAGTGCGGCGTAGAATGCGTATGTGGGGTCATCTGCGACGACGATACACTCCCCCTCGGCCGGCGGAATTGGAAGGGGTACCGCGAGACGACAGGGCGACCAAGGCTGGACATCGATCCCGAGGTACGCCTCTCCGACGATGGGACCTCACTCTCGCCTTCCTCTTCCTCCTCTTCCTCCTCGCCTTCCTCCTCCTCTTCTTCCTCATCGCCCTCATGCTGTTCGCTGTCCTCCGCATGCACTTCCTTCTCCTCGATCTCCGGCGAAGGAGGGAACGGTATGACGTCCTCAGAGGAGACCTGCGCGCCATATCCCGTGAAAGGATACGGCAGCTTCATGAGGGGACCGCTCGGCTCCGCAACCTGCTTCTCCTTCTGCTGCACCACCGGTGACGGAGGGACGATGCTGGTACGTTCGATCTCCGGTTTCGTCTGCGCGCCCGCCTTCTCGTTCACGTCCAGCTCCGGGGTGTGCCGGGGGCTCTCAAAAAGTTCGCCCGAGAGCACGCCCCGGCGCGCACCCTGCGACGTGGACGGGATGCCCACCGCGGCGAAGATGCGTTCCATGCCCTCCATCGGTGTCGATGGAGCCCGCTCGTGCCCTTCCTTGCTCAGTGCCGACGGGCCACGGGTAGGCTTCGTCATGAGGCAGAGGTCGTATGCGTCTTTGATGCGTAAAATCGTGCACTCCTTCCACGACCACGGGAGGGGGTCGAGGTCGGAAAGATTGTCGTGATATACCGAAGCCGTCTTTTCCGCGTCCTCCTCTTCCCAGCGGTATCGTGGCCCGCAGAAACCGGCACAGCCCTGTCCACTGACAGCCCAGAGACCGATCCTGCCAGACGATACTGTTCATGAATGGACCAGAAGACGGATAAGACGAAAACGCACCAGCTGATCAAGAGAACGAGGATGCGCCAAGCCGTCCATGCGGCGTTGGCGATGAGCACACCCCGGGCATAGCTCGTCAGCGTCTCATCGGAGGCGCGGAAGAACGTCCCGTCTCTACGGCCGATGCCTGCATCCGCAAGCGCGACAGCGCCTGGTTGGGGGGAAGAGAACGCGAAGAGCAAAGCAAGCGACAACGCCGCACGCGGCATCAAAAGAGCAACAGTGGGCAAGTTCTGAGAGTAGAAGTAGAAGGTTTCGGCGAGGCCATCCCGGAGGCTGCCGTGCTCGCCGAAGAAGGCGGAGAAGCGAATAAAGTACATGAAACAAAAGTTCAAATAAGAAGACATGGCGGCGAAGGTGAACGCAGAAGAGGAGAAGTAGATGGGGAGCACGAGAGGACGCTCTGAAACAGGGCATCGACAGGTTAGTATCAGAACGGATATGAAATCGAAGATCACTCACTGACGCGCCAACGGCGAATGAAGGAGTAGACGATCTCGTACACGACGATGACCGCGACTATCCACGCGAACCAGCATGCGATATACGCAGCGGCGGCCAGTGCCCAGTTACGTCCAGAACCGGGGACACCAGGTGCTTCAGGGTTGGGATGCATGGCGACCCTGCAGGAATGGTTAGCGCGAAGTGGCGAGTAATATGAGCTGACTCACAGGATCAATATGAATACAGCATTGAAGTCGAAGAAGGTCTGCAGGGGGATGTGCGCGAAGGCGAATACAGGGAACAAGTAGTAGAACAAGCGCATCTTCCATGATGGATGTCGCAGAATCTCCAGGTTTAGGCCAGGGGTCCGGAACCTCGGCCTGGGTAGCTGCCCCTCGAGTCCTCCGGCAGAGAACAAGGTTGGGGTGAGAGCAGCCATCGTCGCGCGCGACCACACTCGAGCATGAGCTGCTCCAGAGAACGCGCGCGACTGGTCGGTGGGCTCGCGACGGGGATCTTTCTCGGCCTGGGAGGCACTCTGCAGACTGACGATGCGTACCGATCGTGGCGTCGGCTTCCTACCCACAGGGATGACGGGGGAGCTACTGGTGCTTGGGCCCGCTTCGGTGAACATACCTGCGACCGACGATTGAAGGGTCGACTGGGGAGGAGGTGGTGGCGGCCGTTTGGGGAGCCAGGACGGATAACCCTCCGAACTTGACGAGACGCCCTGAGGGGACTGGGGGGTGGACGAATGGGCTTCTGAGCCGGCAGCTGGTCCGTGCGCGCGCTGGCCCGAGCGATCAGAGTTGACTCCCGAGCTCGGTCTTGACGAGGATTTCGGAGAGGGAGACTCTGGAGTAGATGAATCGTACTGTTGTCGTGACATAGCCGTAGATTATGTTGAGAGGAACCATGCAAGGTCAGTAAATTAGCCAGGAGAGGGAAGTCCGTGGAGAGATTGGCGGTGGTCTCGCGCGGGGGGAGGGCAGCGTGGAGGGAACAGCACGTCGAGCTGAACACGGGCTCCTGGGTGCTACTGCTGCTGAGGACCGTGAACGCGAGGGCCTCGTGTAGTGACGATGGGCAGCCTCGTGTTGAGCGAGCAGAGGGACGCGCGAGAGAAAGTCGCAGGCGCATCGACAACATCAACAACTTACCAAAAGAGGAAGCCTTCTTAACCGGCGGTCCTGGCCGGGAATTGCCTCCGCGTCTCTCTCTTGTTTTCCCAGTTGCTTCCGTTGCGGCGTTTCTGGCGACTGTCTGGCAACCGCGGATACAATGTCTTCTGGTGCGGAATGATAACGAGCGTGGCAACGTTCTAAGAGTCAAGGAGCGACGAGGGTGACAGACTAAAAGATGGTGGTTGACGAGAAAGGTGTGTCTTTACGTGTCTGTACGCGACCCGCCTTTCTATTCCGTTGCCATGTCGATGACCTCCGTGACGGACCCTGCAAGGGCGCGCTGGGCACGGTGCAGCATGCAGTGTCCTGCACGGATGTCAAACAAGCGAGGCGCTTGCGGTGTACCCTCGTGCACCTCACACAATATCGGACAGCAAAAGTGAGCTACTCCATTGCTCACCTGCTAAGATATGGCACGTTCAGAATCACGGCGGTTCTTCAAAAAGCACCCTTCTGCATTGGCTGGCACATTTTGAATGTGACTTTTCTCGCTGCTCAACAGGCAACTGGAACCATCTGCTCGAACTCGGTCGAGCGAATGGCTCTAGACAAACCACGGACATGCGAACGCCGAGCGTCTTTCAGTGGCATGAGGCTATCCGGATGATACTGTCAGTACCGATAACTAGTATGGGGGAGTTACTGCGAACGCAGTACTCACCGTCAAGTTCAGGGGTTATGTTCAGAGAATGGGTGCGAAGCTCCCAAGGCGTCCGTGTATATATACTCGGGCACAGTCACTACGCACGGAAGCATGTCCGAGCTGTCATGCATGCCTTGGGTCGAGGGTATCCAACACGTGTACCTGCGAAGGTCTTAAATGAAACAATGACGCACCGACGAATGCACGATCCGCGCGTTCAAGTAAGAATGTATGTAGCGTGCTGTCTCGTTCGCTCTGCCGCGTTATAGCATATTGTATCTTCTCCGTGATTCCTAGCTGTGAAACTGCCAGTTACATTGGATTAGAGCAGAAAGTGACCGACTAGGACCAGGACCACGGAAACAAGGATGCGGCGAAAATGCGGCAGCCAGGAATCCGTGTATGATGGTGGCGGTCGGGAAGAGGGGGGTGTAGGAATGAGCCAGAGGCGATTGCGAGCATATATATACTGACGCAGCCTCCTATATATGTTGGAGCACCGAGTGTCAGAAACGGCACCGACGCCAGACAGCTATCAAAGCTCCTGAAAAGGCAAGTCACTTCCCTTTCCCGGACTTGTCTCAGTCGCCGACAAGTCACCGAGCATGACGAACCACGCATGTCTCACGATACCCACCGCTGCGTTAAGTAACCCCACAGAATCCCAGGAAAGTTTGTTTCTAAGTAGCTGTATGTTAATCAAGTGAGGACACGCAGCCGCATAACCTCACAGAATGGGGGCGATTCGGTACAACGTTCTGAGCTAGTACATGAAGCACGAGCACTGGCAGCTGAATCGAGCGAGGTAGCAATATGTAGTATCGACCTAGCCTGCTAGTATACACCCAATATATCTCCAGGTACCACGACTTCCGAGTGCAGTTGACGATACCGCGGCCGTCCCGGTGGCAGCCACAAATTGCGATCGCATAGGAGACGGTCGCTCTCCTCCCCGGCCATAAGGCAGTCGTGTGAGATCGATCATGCGCAACCACGCTACTTGTCCAAGTACCTGAATACGTTGGCAGTCAATAATCAAGACGTAGCGATACCCGAGACCCCGGGGTAAAACTGACTCACTCGAAAAGTCATGGATCCTGGGATCCTGTTGGCTGTCGTAGCGTGTGCGTGAACGACACGTCGCGGGCCAACATCGCCAGCTGGTCGAAGTAGGCCCGGTAACACCCCTCGAACTCCTCCGTCTTGAAGAATTCCAGGTGTAGTTTCAGGCTCTCCAGCTGCGCATGCCCCCGCTCCGTCCGGAGGCGCAACGCGCCCATGGCCTCATCACATTCCTTGCCCTCAAAGCCGTCCAGCCCGTCCAGAGAGATCGCGCGCAAAGCTGGACAGCATTCTCCCGCAGGGATCGCCTCGCACGCCAGGCCCAGCCCGAGGAACACGTCGCTCGCCCAACCCCACCCGCTCAGCTCGAGCTCCTCCAGGGCCGGCATCGCCGCGAAGACCTCTTGCCATGTCTCGGAGTACACGTTGGTCCAGTTTGCGCGCAGGCGGAGGGTGGTTATCGGGGCGCCGCCGCACACCGTGAGGAGATCGTCGAGCCCGAAGTTGACCGAGCTGCTATCCTCCCAGGTGGCGATGCCCCGGGACTCGGAGCGGATTTCGAAGTCGATCTGCGCTGTGTTGGTGACGTCTCGTAGGCGAAGGCGGAAGTCTGGTCCGAAGATGGTCAACTCGACCGAGCTGACCGTCTTGAGGACGGGGAAGACGGTCGCGGGGACTACAGGAAGCATGCCCGTGATGGTCTCCGTGATTTCGTCCTCATATGCCGCGTCGAGGATACCGCCCAACGAGAAGGTGGTCACGTTGGGCACGTAGAGGTGTGTAAGAGCGGTCGCTGTCGTAAACAGAGAGTGATCTTTGATCTCGATAGTACGAAGGCTAGGGAGAGCGACGGGCTCAGAGTTTGGGTCTAGGGCGTCGTCAAGTTCTTGTGGCAGACAATGGCGCAGGATCAACGTTGCTAGGTTGGGGCTTTGCGCGAGAACCGAGAGAAGGTCGATCAAACCGATCGGCCAAGCACAAGTGTCGAGCTGGAGATGGTGGAGATCGGTGAACGTCGAGACGCTCGCCTTTACGAGGTTGAAGCCTTTCAGCGTCAGAGAGGTGAGAAGGGGCATTTGATGGCGCGGAATAGATACGGTCTTCTTGGGCCCCTCGTCCTGACATTCCATACGGAGTGTAGCGAGCGCGGGCATGGGGCTCGCGAGAAACGAATCCAGGTGAGCCAGCGAAACTATCCCCACGTCAGTGTGAGAGAGCAGGCGGATGGAAGATAGATGTGGTCGTATGAGCCCATCCAGATAGATCCATGAAGGGTTCGCGTGTTCCTGGAAGTAGATCTCCACAGGGCCGTTTGCAGCACAAGATAGAGAGTGCGACAACCAGTCGAGGGAATCGCCGACCTTGATGTAACGCCAGAAGACCGGGGTGGAGAAGACGACCTCCCTCCAGTGAAGACAAACAGATGGTACGTGGAGCCACCTTGAAATAGTGCCTGCCGCACCGGGCTCGGCGAATGCGGCCTCGTAGACGTAGAGTAAGATGTCGACGATGAGCTCCACGGGGAGCATGTTCACTGGAACGAGCGCATTCAAGCTTCGATGCACGTCGTACATCTCTTGTTCCAAAGCGACCTGCATGGCACCTATTTCGTCTCTGCGGTGAAGTATCGTTGTCCGCGTGTTAGACCTCCCCGAGTAGGACTCCATGTGGCAGAAGAGCTGTAAGAGACTCCGTGTTAGATATCTTGACCATCATTTATCTATCTGCGACTTACATGTCTTGTAGTACTACAAGCGGTCGTATGTGCAGAGGCCTGGGAGATCGGGTGGAGTATTCACTGAGTATTTGCTGGCGTCGGACTCGCTGCAGGCTGGCAGGTGTGATCTCAGCACGAGATCAGTACAGGGGATGACCCTGGACAATCCAAGTACATCAGCAATAAAATAGATTGAATCAAGGCCCATGCACTCACTCCTTGAATCATGTAGCTATGTCGCTCGAAGTCAGGACGATGCGTATCGGACGCACGACTCTGAGGGCCCCAAGCCACTGCCGGCGGTTGCCGACGAGATATCCAACCTCGTGTTTAAATTTGATGCCTTTCTACGTTTCTACCTTCCAACTCTTGGGTCCATACAGCCCTCCGACTGCTGAAGTTTACAAGTGTCCAGAAGCTTTTTATCGGGGTTTTGCGATACATATTCCGAACTCTAACCTGGACATTTCGGCCACAACGCCGGCGATCACGCCGTTGTGGGGATCGCCTCCGTTCAGCTGCTTCCTCGTCCGGTCAATGGTGTCAAGATCCTAGTCTGCATGATGAGGCGAGCGTAGCGATCTGCCTGACTTTCTAGTGTGAAGACGTCAGACGCTGGTAACGTAATTTGGGGTGGGCCGCGTGCAGGGTGTCCTCGGGGTGCAGTTCGATGCCAATGCTGATGCCGCTCAATCCGATTCCCAGACCGCTACCACCACATCTCTCGCTGCACATGACCATCACATAGCCGCAGTGAGTTCTGTATGATTTAGGATGCATCGGCACATTACACTGATACCTTCGTGTTTGCAGACATCGCGATGGCAGACCCAAACATTCACGACACTGTCACTCTCGATGGGCCTCTGTATGGCTTACGGGTACCTGACATCGACCAGAGGATCCTGGACGCGCGTATCCTCGCAGTTGGCCCACAGATAACCTTCTTACAACAAGCCTCGTCTGACCTCCACCATCTCGCGACTAGAGCGTTATGGAACGCACGCCTCCCGGTCCATAAACTCCCCACTGAAGTTCTCGTCGACCTCCTCTCTCGCCTGCCCTCCTACGCCCTGCCCGGATCTGTCTTCTCGAGCAACTCGGCCGATTGGTTTCGGATCATGCTGGTCTGCCGGCACTGGCGTGCAGTCGTCAAGGCGAATCCTTGCTTCTGGCGTTCAATCCACGTTGGGAAAGACGACCTCGAATGGCTCAACCTCGCGTTGTTTCGCTCGGCGGATTCCAATCTGTTTCTTGACTTCGCCTCGTCGTCAGCCTTCTTCTCCGCTCTTCCGCAACTATTAGATCGCCGCGATCGTATCGAGCATCTCAGGTTTTCGTGCTATGGCGCTCCCTCGTTGGGGCCCGTGGTACCGCTTGTCTCTGCACCTCTTCCATCCGTCACCCATCTGGACGTTTCTATCGATACATTAGAAGGAGTGTTCAATTTGGAGCTCCCCGAGGGCCAGGAACCGCGACATCACGACATCCTCGAGTTCGAGCCAGTCAACTTCCCTAGAGTCACAAACCTCTCTCTGAACGGCACTCAGGTTTCCTTCCCGTGGACTTCATCCTTCATATCGCATCTCCGCTTTTTGGATCTTCGCGAATGTATGTTTAATTCCTCGACGATGTCTGTCAGCTCTTTCTTCGATGTCTTGAAAGAAGGCCAGAACCTAGAGGAACTCACATTGAATGACGTGCTTTCTTCAGCGTGCTCAAGCCTTCCTCCCCCCTCGGAGCGGCGGCGCGTGGTCGCCCTTCCCAACCTCCGAAAAGCCTACCTTGCGGACCATGTCGCGTGGATCTCGATGTTCGCGAGCTACCTCCAGCTCCCTTCGCGGGGCGATATCTCTTTCCATGGTCTTATCGACAATGCCGCTCTCGCAAACAATCCCGATCTTTCCTACATTTCCATGCTCCCTCCCGACATTCGTACCTTCCCGTTCCTCAAATCTGCTACTAGCGCCATTATGTCCATGGACAGCCGCTCGTATCAGATCACCTGCCGAGGCACAGGCCCGGACGTCACATTGGTTCTCCGAGTGCGCTCCGATTCGGTGGAGTGGTGGCAGAACGTGGGCAGAGGTGTAGCGCATTTTGTCGACCTTCTTCGCGACGCGCCTTTGACTGAGCTCGAGCTCTCCTTTAATCTGGACTTCCAGTTCGACGTCATCGACCCCGCTGTCTTCGATGTCGTCCTCGAGGCTTTCCCCGCGATCCAGGAGCTTCGGGTGAGGAGCAGAGCAGCTGCGGGCGAGGACATTGTCCCAGAGCTCCTCGCCCACTCTCTCGGCTGGCGCAACCCGACGCCGACGAAGGGGAGGGGGAGGTGCGCTGTCCGAACCTCAAGATCCTCCGTGTGCAACGGCATCACGAGAGCGAGGAAACCTTCCTCCCTGCGCTCGTCGAATGCCTGTTCAACCGGGCGGACGGAGGGGCACCGAGGCTGGAGCTCTTGGAGGTGACTGTGCGCCGCTCGGGAGCTAATGACTGGCGGGAATATGACGCGCACTACGAGGCGGTATTCATGCCCATGCTCGAGACCTACAAGTTCGTCAACGAGGGGTGGTGATTCAACCCCCTGCCATACTACGCATACGATGATCCCAGTCTTTCCAAGCGCTTCCGTCTACACTCATCGGCGTTGGGATGTGTGATGGTTGGTGAACAGTTCACCGTCGTCAATACCAGGCCGACACGCTGACACTAATCCAGGCTCTACTAGCGGAAATAAACACGTTCCAGTACCCGGTAACATCACATCTATTCTCAACTTCGCGCCACTCCCCTTGCCTATATGTACTCGACTGGACATTGTACAACTCCCGTTCCCCCTTTCTTTCTCCTCACAACCTACAGGTTCACACTTCGCCGGGCAGTCGGGTTGTCGGCGCGTGCCGCACTAACGTCAAACTCTAAGTACGCAGTACTCCCAGGCTACTTAAGGCTACAAGGCTGACAATCGCACACAGAGCAACCCAGAATCGCACCACCACCACCACTACCACCGTAGCCTTCGCCCCCGCCTTAGCCGCCTTCAGCCGTCTCAGCTTCGCGTGGCCCAACTGGTAAGCAAACTCGAATCTTGAAAACGAGGGTCAAAGTCCCATGTTGATAGCGCAAACTCAGGTTATTGGACTGCCGATTTGCTGCCATGGAAAATCGCCCTTCCGACGATACCGTGACTCCCGAAGGACCCTTGTACGGTCTTTCCCCGCCGGACATCGATCCCGAAGCCCTTGACGCGCGTGTCCTTGCCATTGGCGCACAGGTTCCATCCTTACAAGAAGTATCGTCCGACATCGGCGTCCTGGCTGTCAGAGCGCTCTGGAACTCCCGTCGTCCGATACACAAACTCCCTACCGAAATCCTCGTTGACATGCTCTTGCGTCAGTACTCCCGCTCGTATCCTGGACCAGCCGAGACGAGCGATTCAGTCGACTGGTCTCAGATCATGCTGGTCTGTCGGCGCTGGCGTGCGGTCATCAAAGCCAACACCTGCTTTTGGCGATCGATCCACGTTGGAAGCGACACCCGATGGTTGGACCTCGCACTGTCACGTTCTGGGGACGTCAACCTGTCCCTTACCTTCTCCGTGCCTTCGGCTCTTATCTCGGCCCTGCCGCAACTACTAGGCGTACTCGAGCGTATCGAACGTCTGCAGTTTTCGTGCTTGGGTGATGCTCCCTCACTGAAGATATTGGAGCCGCTCGTGCGCGCAACCCTTCCTTCCCTCACCAACCTCGATGTATCCATCATTAGAACGGGAAGTATTCCAGCGTATGCTCAAGCCGTCCCCGGGTTCCGTGACTGGCCCGATCGTCGCAAAACGTTCGAGTTCGCGCCGAACAACTTCCCCAGGGTGACGCAACTCTCCCTCATGCGTGTCTCCATCCCGTGGACTGCATCCTACATTTCACATCTTCGTCACTTGAGTCTTCGCGGATGCATCGTCCATCCCTCCGCCATATCCGTCAGCACTTTTCTGGACGTCTTACGCGAGGGCCAAAACCTGGAGGAGCTCACATTACACGACATCTTGTCGTCGGCGTGCTCGACTCGCCCCCGGCCGTCGGAGCGTCTACACGCGGTTGTCCTCCCCCGCCTCCGAAAGGCCGACTTTTCCGATGATTTCGAATGGATCTCGCTCTATGTGAGCTACATCCAGCTTCCTTCGCAGGGCGAAGTCTCTTTTGCTGGCCTCCTTGACCAGTTCCCCGGAGATGATCCCACTCTTTCTTTTGCCGCCATGCTCCCACGAGACGCTCCTCCCCGTGCTTTCCTCCGCTCTGCCATCAGCGCCAGCTTGTCCATAGAGAACGGCTCGTACCAGATCACTTGTCAAGGCGCGGGCCCTCTCGTCACCCTGCGTCTCCAGGGGCGTTCCTACCACGTGGACTGGGAGGAGATAACGGAGGATGGTGTAGCGCACTTCATCAACATCCTCAACAAGTCACCTCTGACGAAGCTGGAGCTCGCCCTCGAGGTCGACTCCGAGTGCGACTTCATGGACCAAGAGCTCTTCGACAACATTCTAGACGCTTTCCCCCAGCTCCAGGAGGTTCGCCTGCGGAGCAATGTAACCGGCGCCGACGAAGGCGTCGACGACGTACCCGTGCAACTCCTCTGCCAATCTCTCGGCTCTCGTAGCTCGGCAGCCGTCGGTGGAGGCGCCAGGGTCCGCTGCCCGAACCTCAAGGTCCTTCACGTGCACCAGCAACAGAACGGCGGAGAGTCGGTCCTCCCCGCGCTCGTCGAATGCTTGTTCAGCCGGGAGGCAGGAGACGCGCGCGATCTGGAGCTGTTGGCAGTCACATTGCGTCGCTCGGGAGCAAAGGACTGGCGGAAATCCGATATGACCCATAAAGCGATCTTCGTCCCTATGGTCAGGCGGTATGAGTTGACTGACGCGGGTCAGTGATGGTGACCGCGGCGTCTCTTCGCACATCACGGTTCAGTAAATTATGGTACGCCTTACTGTCTTTTTCACGTATACACGTTCGCTGATCCGTTCGCGACTCTCCGCCCGAAGTGAACGCCGTTGCCAAGCGTATGCCTTGTCCTTTTGTAAAATAGATTGCTCTTTATGGCCGCATTCCCCGTCCCGGTGGTGCGCATGATCGCCAAGTTCTGGCTGCGGTCGAAGTGCTGGAGTCACTGGGCAAAGAAACCCACGTTCGTCTACACAGCACACCGCAGGCAGCCCCTTGAAACGAGCGCCTCCTGCCAGAGTGTGGACATCCGCAACGTAAAGTTCCTTTCCGGGCGATGGCGCGGGGTGGTGCTAATGCTACGTGTACTTGCACAGTGCTTTTTATAAGCCCCACGGAAGTGGGAGAGGTGCGGCACAAAGCACGGTGTTTCGAAGTCCAGTGCTACTGCGACACTACTCAGCAGCGGCCGTGAATTCTGTGATACCAGTAAGTCTGAAAGCCTCTCAGCGATTTGTAGACACGCCTTGAGAACAGCTCATTCCCGTCCAAACAGACACATGCCCACCCAAGGCGACAGGACACGCTCCTACCCAAATGGCATCTCCCCTCCTGGGCCATTATATGGTCTTCCGTGCCTAACGATCGACGACACCCTTCTCGGGTTGCGCACCATCTCCATCGCGTCTCAGACCTCGTTCTCACAAAGGCCGACGCCCGACCTGGAGCTTGCGGCTTGCAGAGCTTTACTGAATGCCCGTCGACCAATCAACACACTCCCCATCGAGCTTCTAGTTGAGATCCTCTTGCGCCTACCGTCCGATGGACTTGATGTCGCGACGACAGCGCCCAGCATACCGCAGTGCTTTCAATGCATGCTCGTCTGCCGTCACTGGCGCGGCGTCATCATCTCCAACAGGTGTTTCTGGCGCACAATCCATACTGGCGAACGCACGCGCTGGCTGCAGCTTTCCCTTGCTCGGGCAGGAGAGGCGAACCTCCGTCTGAAGTTCACCAAGGCCGCCGGGTTCATCTCCGCGCTGCCCAAACTCCTTCCCCGGCGTGATCACATCGAGCGTCTGGACTTCACATGCCAAACGTTGTCCGACATCCGAGCTCTAGCCCCACTCATCTCCGCGCCCCTTCCATGCGTGGCGGAGTTCGCTATACTGTCCGGGAGTACAGGGAACTCGTCCCCTGACATAGCAAGGGAGGACCTTTTCGTGTTCCATCCGGAGAACTTCCCGGCACTGGTCAAGCTCAAGCTCGTCTGTGCTAGTGTCCCATGGACTACCTCGTTCCTATCCGGACTACGCTCGCTGTACCTGCGCAGCTGCCGGATCTACCCCTCAGCCTTGCCTATCCGTGAAATATTGAACATTCTGCGATGCGGGGACAATCTTGAGGAGCTGACCTTACACGACTTCCTGAGTACAGCGTGCTCTGTGGACGAACCTGGCCACTCTTATTCCACGGACGTGGTAAAACTCCCCCGCCTCCGCAAGCTCGACGTATCTGACGCACCCGCGTGGATCGCCGAGCTCGTGGCTCACATCCAACTGTCCCCGGAGGGCGATGTCGCGCTGACCGGTCAGGTCGAAGACCCCCAGAGCGTCTCCGGACTTGGGCTTGCGTCCATGCTCCCTCGGAGCCTCGCTGGCGCGAGCTTCCTGCGATCCGCGACCAGCGCCAGCCTCGTCATGCTCGAAGGCAAACACTGGGTCGTGTGCGAGACGCCGGACCCACTGAAGGTCACGCTCCAGCTCCGCGCGCGCACCCCGCGCGTGTTGTGGACGCAGACCTTGGACGACGGCCTGAAGCACTTCATGACGCTCTTCCGCGCCGCACCTTTGACCAGGCTCACGCTCCAGTGCGAGCTCGTCAAGGTGGCTCCAGACGTGCTCGCAGACGCGCTGGACGCGTTCCCACACCTTCAGGACTTCACCGTCGCGAGTAGCGCGTTCGGACCCGACCCCTTCCCTATGCACCTCTGCGACACTCTCCGCGCGCGTCCGGAATCGGAATGGGAGAATGAGAAGGACGGGGGAGGGGACCACGTACGATGCGCGTCTCTCAAGGTGCTGCGCCTGGAGAAGGTGCGCTGGGAGGACGGCGCGTTCATGAACGCGATTGCGGACTGTCTTCGCGAGCGGGAGAGGCTGGGAGCGCCTAGGCTGGAGCTGCTGGCGATCACTGCGAGTCGTTCGCCGGAGGTGGATTGGAGCGAGCCCGATGCGCGCTTTGCGGTCATTTTGAGTCCCATGGTTGATCGGTACGAGTTCTGTGGGAAGGCTTGGTAGGGAGAGTGCGATGATTTATCTGCCGCTGTGTATTGATATCCGTCGTCATCGTTGTCTGTTGCGTTTTTTGAGCTGTTGCTGTATTATATCGCGGATTACTATAATAGAGATAGTCGTAATATGTGACCTCGTAGCGATGCGCCAAAAGGATCGGGGGAGGGGATAACGAATGCATAGGGCAAGGAGTCCCCGTGCTTACTGCTGGACAGCGGCCTCCCCCATTCCTTCGCCGCTTGTCAAAATTGCGTGCTTCCGCCGCGCATGCCTGAGCAGGTATATCATTGACGAAGGCGTCATGCCCTCCATGCGCTTCGCTGCACCCTACCGAGACAGCCATGGATCAGTATCGACTATCATCGTACATGTTACGAAAAATATGCGACATACGATGCTGCTCGGCCGCACCTTCACCAGGCGCTCCCTGACCTCGGAGCTGAGGCCCTCGACGGTGCTGTAGTCGAGAAGTGGGTCGAGCGCGAGCGACTCATCTTCCATGAACACGCGTAGGTCCGCTTCCTGGCGTCTGAGGTGCGAGCTGTACACAGCTAGAATACAGTTGTGTCAATGTCAAAAGATAATGAACGGGTCGGGGTGTGCGTCCTGACCATCGGTCTCAACTCGCGTGAGGATGTGCGGGTGGACGGAGGTGAGCTCGGGAAGAACTTGATTTAGCGCGCTGATCGGGACGTTCCGATGGCGTAGTAGCTCGAATGCGCTGTTAATAGGACTTAGTTAGATGTTGTGATACACGAATGAAGGGCGAGGTATATACCTCTTCATGGCACCATCTGGTTTCCGATCGAACCCGTGACTCTGCCAGCCCTGAAAATGGGGTCAGCACCGCGCATGCCTCTTGATAATTCGTAAGACCAACCTGGGGGCTCCGTACGAAAGACTGAAGCAACCCCGTCACTCGCGCGATCTCGGCCTGTGTCGCTTGGAAGCGGGCCCAACGGGCGTCGCCTACACAGCCTGCGACTTTCCCTACGAGAGTCATGAGCTATCTGCGGAGCGCATACCATATCTCACAACACACTACCTTTCTCCGTCAGGCGCAAGTCTGCATTGTCACTCCGCAGCGTCATCCGGTACTCCGAGCGCGAGGTGAACATCCGGTCTGCAAAGCGTAAGCACTCACGTCTGTAGTATACGAAGAATGCAGACTTACAGGGCTCTTCAGCGCCTTTGATTATGAGGTCGTCGATCATTACGCCGATGAAGCCTTCGGCGCGCGAGATGACGAGCGGTGGCCTATGTAACGCGGAGAGACCAGCGTTAATGCCAGCCACGACTCCCTGGCCGGCAGCCTCCTCATATCCGGTCGTGCCTGCAATATTATGAGTACGATGCCGTCGTTGTCGACGGTGAAAACATACCGTTGATTTGGCCGGCGAGGAAGAGGCCCTGTTTGACTATGTCAGGATATGCGCCCCACTTACGACGTACGGTCGACTTACCTTAATTCGTTTAGTTTCCAAAGTGGCTAGAAATATACGTCTCAGATAAACTGAGGTATCGACTGAAGCACGACACTTACGGCCTAGCTCGCGAGCGTCGATATGGTCGTACTCGACGCCGTATGCTGGTCGGACGAGTTTCACGTTCTCCAATCCAGGAACGGAACGGTACATCTCTTCTTGCACTTCCTCTGGCAGGCTGCATGACAACCCATTCGGGTAAATGAGAGCTGTTGGCAACGTCAATGAATTTTCTCCTCTCTCGAATCTCCGGAATGCGCGTACCGGAATCGTAACCTTCTGGCTCAAGCCAGATGACGTGGGAGGACTTTTGAGGAAACCGCATCACCTTCGCCTCCAGAGATGGGCAGTACCGCGGTCCTGTAAGCACATAAAGTCATCAAACGGGATCGTTGATGATGTGTACGCTGTGTAACCAACCTTTCTTGGTCTCCTGTATGTGAATGCAATTGTGGATATTTGCCCTCACGATATCGTGCGTCGCCGAAGTGGTCTGCGTTTGATAACAGTTGACTTGGTTGTCCTATGTTCATAATACCTCAGTGGCTGAACTGCATGTAGTAGCAAGGCTGCCTACCGCGTTTGCGACCTCTTCGTTCATGAAGCTGAACGGAACAGGCTTGGCGTCACCTTCTTGGACCTCAAGCCTCGAAAAGTCTATGCTGTCTTTGGCCAGCCGAGCAGGCGTGCCGGTTTGCAACCGGCCAAGGCGGAAACCCGCAGCGTTGAGCGACGCAGAGAGTCCTACTGATGGCGCTTCGTTCATTCGGCCTGCCGGGAAGCGTTTCAAACCTAGTGTAGCATGTTAATCGCTGGACAAGCATATGCATAGCTTGACAAACCTATGTGTATCTCGCCAGAAAGAAACGTCCCGGTACAAATGACGACTTGCGAACACGTTATGACTTCGCCAGTGTCTACACAGTAATGTGTCAACGTCGACTTTCAGGAACACGAGTTCCCCGTGGAACGTACCGAGTTTAACGCCCTTTACTTCCGAACGAGGAATGTCATGCGACATCGGAGGGGGTCCGAGGACCAAGTCGAAGACGCTACCGGCTCTGATGTCCAAGTTTGGGTAATGTTTCAATGCGTTCTGCATATTCTTCTTGTAGAGTTTCCGATCGACCTGGGCTCTGGGACTCTGAAAGCCTATTCAGTGCCATTACTTATCACAGGTTTCGCTCTCTTGAGCCACTGACCCATACAGCTGCACCTTTCGACCGGTTCAGCACTTGAAACTGGATACCTGCAGCGTCTGCATAGCGATGTTAGCTCAAACGTGCTCTTCGGCGACGAATGTATATAACACGACGCAAGCCGCATGTGGAAAGGTTGTTATTACCTGTGACTTTGGAACAAAGTCCGTCCAGAGCGTCGACCTCGCGCATGAGGGTGCCTTTCCCGACACCACCCATGGACGGGTTGCACGACAGCTCGCCGATGGTGTTTACGTTCTGCGTCAGGAGCAGCGTGCGCGCGCCGGTCCGCGCAGCACCCGCGGCCGCTTCACAGCCAGCATGGCCTCCTCCAATTACGCAGACTAGGACCAGAATGTAAGTGCCACATCCACACCGTCCTTCTATAAACGTGGTGTTCATACCGTCATACGCAAGCGGATTTGTCGCCGGACTTAGCGAAGCATAGCATCTTCTGGTGGTGTATGTCCGCGAAAAGGCTCTTCCAATACACCTATGCATGCAGCGGATTTTTTGTCAACGTTGCAACCTTCTCCCTCCGGATGAGGAGGACTTGGAGGATCGTGGGGGCGGAACGAGCTCCGAGGTTGCGCGCTTAACCACCACGAAGGCCAAAAATGGCTTATGTAAGCGCATTTTCAGCGGACGGATCAAGTTTCTCGGACTTGCACAACTTGACTCCGTTCCACCTCTACTCTCTGGGCTCTGGGGCTTTTCTGCTTGTGCTCTATTTATCGGATACCCTGAGAGTCAACGCTATGGGCGCATACTACGACGAGGTGGACATCGAGGATATGGCCTGGGACGAGGAGAAGCGGGTGTACCACTACCCATGCCCGTGCGGCGACCGCTTCGAGATCTCGAAGAAGCAGCTGAAGAACTACGAGGACGTTGCGACGTGTCCGAGCTGCAGTCTCATCATTCGCGTGATATTCGATCCGGTGAGTATCTTGCTATACATCGCGTGGAGAAGGATTTGCGTTGCGCGCCGGGTGGGGTCAGTCAGAAAGCTCTGGCTGCATGAACCGGTTCGTGGAGAACGTCCTTGGGGCTACGGGATATGTTCCGCGGGACATATTTCGGAGCATGTTCTGCGTTCGCTGTGACCTAATGCGACAAGATGGCAACAGTGGCAGCGATCACATACTGTGGTGAGCGTACAAGGTCATGGCGCAAGGCACGAGCTCGCCACCCGAGTACTCACGTTGGAGTGGGCAACACGTCACGCACCACACGATATTGATACACCACTGGTCCACCACTGGTCATCTCTGTCACTCGGCCAAGCCACCAGAACGCGGAACGCGAGCCGGGACGTGTTCTGCGGACCACATCTCTCCGCCGACGGGACTTTCTGGATACCTGAGACCCGCCACACTCCTGGCGTGCTCGCTAAGTAAAGACTTTGGCACGGTTCGCTGTTTCTTTGGCTCCTCGGCTCGCACGAAGAGCTAGTACGGGTGTGGTTTATCGGTATCGCGTATACTAACGTCACGTTATAGCTTGATTTCGAAGATGAGCCTTCAGACGACGAAGATGAAGGACAATCTGCGAGCGAAGATGAAGAAGCAGAGAGCGACGAAGCTAGCGGCGATGAAGAATTTGCGGATGCCTTGGAGCACCTCACCATCTCCGACGAGCAGCCCAAGGCTATTGCAGTTGCGGCATGAACTGTAAGTGCTCGACGTCAATCCGAAATCGCAAACTTACTCACAACTTACCCATTTAGCAAAATAGTTGACGATCTATTCGGCATCTACCCAGACTGTTATCACACTTGTATCAACTAGTTCCGAGGTACGTGTTAGTTGGTTACTCGCCGCCTCCACGGAGTAAATACTGATCTATTACTAGAACCTACATTGTATCCTACTCACATCATCGGATCATCATTTTTATTGCGAACTCTCAATCGGACCCAAGTGTGTTGAGTGCTCCCCGTACGTGGGTCAACGGCTAGCGTCATCTCGGGGATCAGACATAACGTCTCTTCCTATTGTCGTGGCTCAGGACAACGAACTGCTTGCTATTCCACTCGTTCAGCGGTTGGCAGTATTTTTCGAGAAGAGAGTCAGTCATCAACCTCAACATCATCATATATTAAGAATCGCGCTAGACTCATACCACCTGTCAGCAGCTCGTATGACGACCCGAGGATCTAGCTCATCCATTCTGCGTAGCGGCCCTGGGTGTAAGAAAGCCGGGGTTGAGCGTCTAAAGTGCGACATCGACTTTGCTCCATGTTCGCTGTTGCTAACACGAACATATCTAAGCATCTAAAATCGTCGACAGACGTTGTATCAGAAAGCCGCTGGCCGTGCTGTTGTGCCGATTGGAACCATCTCTCCTGGCCAGGCACCGCATAGCTCGTCACCCTGTCGTTCACCACTGGCTTCGCACTCAAATGGCGATCCTCGACCTTCTCCTGCATCCTCACGACGCTCATATCCGGCAGGAAGTGGGTGCTGTAGAACCTCCATCGTTCCAAGTTTGCCCTCTCCCACAGATCCCTGCGTAAACTCGGCTTCCTGCACTCTTCCCTGTCGTATCGTGGCCTCTCACACACGGCTTCGCGTTCCCTTCTCGAACCTCCCCGCTCATCATGCGCTGTGAACTCTCTCAGCAATGCCGCTCTTCTCATTGACCACCTCTCTGCGGCGTACATGTGCGCCCATCATGTCCACCGCCTCGGTACGGAATACGAGCGCTCTGATTGAGCCAAAGCGGACGGTCACGTGCGCCTCGCACGTCAGCACGCAACATCCTCGCGCAATCGCTGCTCGTCGATTCACAACCGTCACCATGTACAAAACGAATTCTTTCGCCATGGCTGACCAGCCCACTCGCCCCCCTCTCTTCCGCCCTCGTCGTTCTCAGCCAGCTCGCCGCGATGGACACCCTTCCGCTTGAGCTCCACGCGCAAATTTTCGCTTTCGCCTGCTCGGACGACGGCTCCACCGCACACGCCCTCGCGCTGGTCTCAAAGTACGTTCGCGAGGTCGCCGCGCCATACCGGTACCAATCTCTCGCGATCTCGGGCATGGAGCAGATGAGCGCGCTCGTCTCACGCCTCGATGCGACCCCACCCCACCTCCGGCGCGTCCGCAACCTCTTCCTCTCCGATTGGACGCGCGCACAGACCAAGGAGCGCGTCATGCGCACCTCGGAGGACGCGCAGGACCGCTACCTGCTGGAGAAGACGCTCGCGCTGCGTATCCTCACGCTGGCCGCGCCTACGCTCGAGACGCTCACCGTCATGGTCGCGTGCCCGTATACGGGCCCTCCCCTCCTTGGAGCACTCTTCTCGACGTCGATGCCCTGGCTCACCGAGCTCGCGGTGCACGGCTTCTACCCCTTCCCGCACGCGCCGCGCGTCATGCCGCGCCTCGAACGTCTACATCTCTCGGGAAACCGAAACCCACACGGACTACTCGAACTCGGCTCGCTCGACTCAGCATGTCCCTCGCTCACACATCTACACGTCTCGGGGCTCGTCGCTGCCACCTCCTTTGCGGACGAGCTTCGATCGGCCCTCCTCAGACAGTCGGCCCCCATCGAAACGTCGCTCGAAAACGCTACGCCTCGCACGCTCTCCCCCTTCCTCGCATCCCTTCCTCCTCTGTTACGAAACATAATGGCAGAAGCACGACCGCTCGCCGTCTCCACGCCGCGGCAGAGGGGGATGCAACTCATGCATAGCAAGATGCTTGCGTCGCTGCGGGAGCTGGAGGGCCGCGGGGACGTTCCCGCGCGAGTCACCGTCGTGGAGGGTAGCGAGGACGAGGACGTATTCTCCGGACTTCACCGTGATTGGCGGAGTAGACTGACTCGTTGAAGTCGATATTTTTGCGTTACTGTCTTGATGCTTTCAACGCTGTCGTATAGCTCGTTATTTTTGGATCTTGATGTTGTAGAATACGGTCTCCTAATCCTATCTCGTACACCCAACAATGACGCTGGAGTACAACGTGTCTTCCATCCCGAGCAATAGGGCGGGATGTATACAGGCATACCGATACGTTGACCCACAATACTCAGTTTTGTACTGGCTTTCCCTGCATATGTCTTACTTAGTGGTAAGTGACTCGAAGGGCTTGAGTTGTTTGGAGATGGCCGTTCCGTTCACCCATACGGAATAACGTTTACGGCCCATGTAAAATTCCGCGAGAACGCTTAGGAACCATCGGGTCGGTGGCGTAGTTGGTTATCGCATCTGTCTAACACACAGAAGGTCCTCAGTTCGATCCTGGGCCGACTCATGCTTTTGCAGGCCTCCGGCTGCTTCGTGGACGCGTCCTCCATTTTTGAGACGCGATTCGCGATGGGGAGGTCGCTTGCCGAGGAGGTTGGGGCGGTCGGCACGACAGAACCTTCCGTTTCTGGATGCGCTTCGAAGCACAGCCACCCCAGGTACCCTCGGTGCGAGCCTTCGCCCCGAATTTGATTCGAGCTTCCTGGCATATCGTCGTCGCTATCTATCATACACTGTCGCTTTGACTATATGCAATGAGTCCCAGAGCTGTCCCTGGCTGCGGTATGGGCCCTTGGAGAATGACTTTCCTGCTTCTAAGCTCTGCGGAACCGGCCCTCACTCAGAATAAACGCCGTCGACGATATATAAACCTTACAGTTTCGCGCCAGGCGAGGAATCAGGCTCCTTGGAGAACCGTGTATATATATTTGTTCTAGCGAAGGATGGCCTGGGAATTGACATCAGTGTCAATGTACGAGCCAGACTCAGGTAGTGCTTCATTCTGTGATGCCATGATCATTTGAGTGGCACCGTTTCGTGCCACAGTGCGGTTTGGAATCTGCTGTATCGAATCATACAAGTTTCGACTACAAGGACCAGAAACAAGTCGGAAGAGATCCATGGCGCCACTCTGCGACGCGGGACTCACTCGCCGGCTTCAGTAGCCTCGTACGGGCTCCCGGCTGAATGCCGGAAGAATCGGAACGCTCTTCCCCACAAGCGAGACGCCTCCGGGTTGGTGCTCCCGAATGGCCTACGGTGCAACCTCTAACATCAGAACACGAATCAGAGTTCATTAGTACGCTCAGTACATTCCCTAGTGTCCACAGTCCATTACAACAGTCCAAGTCAAACGAAACCCCCCCTCCCCAACCAAAAAAGGAATAACAGAAAACACCAGAGGGCCGCATCCAACTCTCAGTATAAGTAACATGGGGGTATATGTTCCGATCATGCCATGAACATGCCGGCAACGACGAGCGCGCCCGCAACGATGACGTGCGCGGCGCTGCCCTGGAGGCCAACTGCGCCGTTCTGCGAGCCGTTAGTGGCCGTCGCCGACGCCGACGTCGAAAGCCCTCCGGTGTTTGAAGGCAGGGTCGAGTTGCCCAGAGTGCCGGAGCCGGAGTTTGAGGCCCGGGAGGCGGTGACGGTCGCGGAGTTGCTGACCGTCAGCGTCGAGCTGCCATCGCCGTGGTCGTCGGTGGTAGTAGAGCTCTGCAGTTTCAGGACACGAAATAACACCGGGCGCAGCGGAGGAAAAACGGCGGGAAGTCAGCAGGACGCTCAGGGGCCGGACCATGATGCCATGAACTGACCTGCGAGACGCCCACAACGGTGCCAGTCGCGGTCGCGGTTACCGCGGTTCCGCTGCCGGTCGCGGTGGTCGCAGAGCTGGAGTGCTTCCCGCCCCTGTCAGTCGTGGTACCGGTGCCAGAGGAGAATCCGGCGTCGGTGCCGGTGCCGATTGACGAAGAGAATCCGGCGTCGGTGGTGAAGGTGGTGACCTGGGACGAGGAAAAGCCGGCGTCGGTGGTGAAGGGCTGCGATGAGGTGAATCCGGAGTCGGTGATCGTGGGCCCGCCGGAAGGCACGAAGGTGGTGGTGATGGCGCCGGGCGACGAGTCGATGATGGTGGGGCCCCCGGAAGGCACAAAGGTCGTGGTGATGCCGACAGGGAAGATGTCGATCGTAGTGGACCCTCCGGCTGGGGGCGTGCTGGTAGTGGTGTGAGCCCTCACGCGGAGGGCTTCCGCGCGACGCTAGCACATGGATGTCAGCATCGAGGAGCAAGATCAGGTAGACACGGGTGGGCACGCACCGGAAGACCAGCAGTGACATCCCTCTCGATAACACGGGGTGCGAACGCGTTCACTAGCAGAGACGGCTTCAGTGCCACAGCTATTACGGACATTCAGAGTATTAAAACTGACCTTGCACGGCGGCCACGGCGACACCGACAAAGACGTGAAGGAGCTGCATGATGCACAAGGTTCGGGAAGTACGAGAAGGAGGCTGAGAAGGAAAAGAAGGGACGTCCCGATGAGAAGGGGAACAAGGGAGGTCGTAACGGGATAGATGTCGGCCCCGCGCGGGCTACTTATTTAACGAGCAGAGTCCAGACAATCATGGCAGTTGGTGTCAGCTGTGCGGTTGCTTTCGGTGCCTTTGCGTGTACAGCCACAGGGCTCACACGCCCATCCTTGGCTGATCGCAACTCGCAACACCAAAGCACGGCATTTCCAACGTGCCTGTCCTGTCCTACGTTTTCGTCAGCTCCTCTGATGTGTAACATATCCGCCAAAACGTACTGAGCGCACCTTCGCCAAACTACGCGTAGCGGTCTTCGAGAACCAAGGGTACCTGTACGTCATCTTCGGGTTTTGGACTGGACGAATTACAGAAGGCCTCAAGTTCACCGTGGGGAATGAACGGGGGCGGGCAGCTGTCGCCGTGGCAGGAAATAGATGCGCATGAGACCGTACACGCTGAAGGCCCGCGGCTTGCACGATGGAAGGATGGAGTGGCTTCGCGCGCCCGTGATGGGAGTGCCACTGCAGGAACCTCGGATGCACGCTGCTATTAGTGTATGACATACACATGTCGGGTGCAGACGAGGAGACATTTTGGTGTTTGTTTCGCACAACACTTCGAGATCGGGGTCATGCTGGCGGCCTGCGCACTGCGCAGCACCTACACTCACCTACGCCGTCGCCGCCAATGTAGAGTGGGCCAATAGCACTCCAGGCACTCGGGAATGTGTGCGATTTGAAACTCGTAGCCGAAGATGCCGTATCGCCAGCCACGGCGGGTTGAGAGCGGCACCAGACCTCATCGATCTCAAGTTGACGAGCGGATAGATCCCAGGTATCCCAGGACGTGTCTGTGCAACGCTCTGACAGCGCGGATCTTCGATGCATCATCAATTTGATCGCAGGAAGGCCGCTGGCCAGCAGACAAGCGTTGGAGGTGGCACGGCGCGTTGTGGGACCTGGTAACAAGGATCACCGCCCAACAAGGCGAGTTACTCACCTACGTTCTTTCCCTGGTGGATCACCGCAATATATCATGCATTTGGGGGGTGGTATGCGAGGCTGCATTTTGCGATCTGAAGGAATGCCAGGATATGCGGCGACATAGCTGATATTCTGCTGGTGCGTAATTACGTCGACGCTTTCTGAGATGCATTGGTAGCTGAATATCATTAGCAGCAGAAGGCAGACACAACAGACCAATATGACCGACTCTGAGTGAGTGAGAGTGGAAGAGAAGGAAGAGAGAGAGAGAGGACTCTGTGCCTTAGCGGCTCATGCGGCGGAGAGCGCGACGTTCGGGCCGCCGTCCGGGCCGCCTCTTGAATCCGAGTCGCAGCGTTTCATCGCTGTGGCTGCTTTCTTCTCCTACCACGCTGTCACGGTCCATAGTTCGCGTAATAGGTGAGCATGGATACACGTAGGGTCTCTCCCACTTGAACAGTCATCACAAACACGGAACTCACCGATGTGACACATGCAGGATGTACTAAAACTTTCGCTAAAACGTGATTTGTGCCATGAGGCAAATATATTCCGACTTGAATCCTGACCATGTTACCTAAACTCATCGCGTCGTATGCAGGTTCACGGAGCCCCTAGAGAAGGGTCTCGTGTTTTTTTACGCGGCACGAGCCTATCGGACATAAGGAATTCGTTTATCGGCCGCCGAATTCAGCACCACGTGTCGCTACTAGTACCAAGGCGCTCTCCTCCCCAGGCTGCTACGCAGAAGGGAGCGTGCTCCTTCACCAGAAAGGAATAATACAGGGAGCTTCGGCCGGCCATGACTTTCCTTTCTTTGTGGAATCCCAACCAGACCTTCCACAATGGCGGGATCGCCCGGTGATGTCTGAAATAATCTGCAAGCTTCAAGTTGAAGGCCCTTCTCCCTTCTAACTATAATGTCTGGATTTCTGATTTCTGATTTCTGAATGCTCTTTAGGAGTATATGGAAGCTCATATAAGGGTTTTCGGCCAATGCAGACCCCAATAGCCGGCCTTTAAACCGGTGCGCACTCAAATTTCTTCACTCATGTCGACCCGACGGCGTGGACTATCAGAACCGCTTCGCATTGGTCTCCGTCCCATTATGACACTTTCCCGGCCCTAGGAAACTTAAGAAAACACACGCAAGCATGAATCGGCGCTCTTCACAGCGCGCGGCAGCCCGGCAAGAACCTCCTGTCCAGAAGAGCAGCCATATCTCTGGCTCCTTACACCGAGTAGATTTCAACCCCAAAGGTGTCGTACGCCCACGGTTCCATGTTGAGCAGACATTCATTCTGCTTGCAGCCATCCAAAGCAGTACACTGCTAACACCGCCCGTCGCCATCAAGCGAGATCGCTCGCGCCGCTTAGCGCTATGTATACTTCCGGTCCACACGGAGCAACGTGACCGCCCAGCCCGTTTCGCGAGCCCAGATGCCGACGGTCTTCCTCACCTATGTGGTTTTCGGCTCAGTCGCCGCAGCTAGCACCATGCACCAAAATTTCAACAAGACTCCCGCGGAGGACATAGCTGCATGCCTTCGACATCCAAGCTGGCCTTAGCGGCTCAGTTTCCGGAGTATCTGTCACGATTTCACGGTACGGCGCACCATTTCCAAACGCCCATTTGCATATCCTGTCAGATACACGTGCGGTGGAAGCATGGCACCGCAGCCTCTCAGTCAGAGCGTTCACATCGCGGTGGATGGCGTCCGTGCGCGAAGCGAGCGATCCCACCGTCAACAGGCCGTATAAAGATCGCGGGGCCTGAGTTCCTGGAAGATCGTCCGCTCTGTCTATCCCTTCTGTTCCTTGTCTTTCTTCACTCCTTGCTACCTCTTCCTCACTACACTTCCGACACCATGCGCGTCCTCTCTGTGGCTTCTGCGGCTTGCCTGCTCATGATGCAAGGTATGCCGCTGATCCGTGTCAGAATCCCTCACTAGTCGCTCATGTATATGCCTTCACAGTGAATGCGCTCGCTCCCCCGCTCGTCGGCCGTGACCTCGTTGACGGCTTCGTGAGTCATGTCACATATCCTCAGGCTATGCACGCGATCGCGGAATGCTAACAGCGTCATCCTCTCAGGGTTTCGACAAGAGGCAAGACAGCAGCAGCGCGACCACTCAGGCCGCTACCTCGAGCTCGGCCACGTCTGTGGACGTCCCCACTTCCTCCGCGGCGACGACGGAGGTTGCTACGAGCTCCTCCGCGCAGAGCGTCCCGGCCGCCACGAGCTCGAGCGCCACCTCGGAGCCGGCGGGCTCTTTCTCCTCCAGCGCCACTACTCCCGTAGCGACGGTCAGTACCTTGTTGTTTCTGTACCACCACGCACAATGCTGACGCAAATGCCTCGTATCGGTTCTTCGAACGTACAGGGCAGCTCCTCTGTCACCACAGCTGGTGCGACTGGCTCTAGCACCGTTGCCGGGACTGGCAGCGGCGCCCCGGCGTCCTCCGGCTCTGCTGGCGGCAGCGGCACCGCAACCTCAGGCTCCCCGTCTGGGACCGGCACTGGCACTGGGAGCCCCTCCCCGTCCACCACACCCAACGGCGCGCTCGGCTCCCATGCGAGCGTCGCTGGGGTCATTGGCGCTGGTGTGATCGCTGTGGGGGCGGCCCTTCTCTAGGCCTGATCGTCCGGGCGCAATTTGGGGTTGTGATTGTTACGATGCGATGCGAAAGCTGCGTGGGGGTCATTCGCGTTGACTGTGGCTGATGGACATTTTACATCGTTTGCGTACACATAACGGACATTTGGACAATGGATATGACATTTTATACCTGGCTTCGGGAATATCTGTGCGAGACGACGAGAACAGCAGAATCCACAGGACGGCGTAGCGCCAGTACCGTACAACCTCCTGCAAGGCGTTTTCGTCTACACATCCATCCGCCCTCGCACCTTCAGGACCTCGTCGAGCACCCGCTTCCACGCCCAATGCTCCTCCGCCAACCACGTGGGACGCTCCTTGCGGCACCGCTCCACGTCCAGGCGAGGGAACATCTTGTGCACAACCACCGCGAAGCGCGACAACAGCCGCCCGTGGTTCGGACGCACGCACGTCCCTCTGTCGTTCGTCATGTGCGCGACCGTCAAGACCTCTAACTTGCTACCGGTTCGGAGCGCGCTTTCCTGGCTCCCTGCGTGGGTATCGGGGCCATTGAGGACTTGGAGGGCCACATCTAGCTCTTCCTGAGAGATCTTGAGACAATTCAGGTGCAATATCCTGAGCTCTACGTGGTTTCGCGCGGCGTAGACGAGCGTCCATACCCCAGGCATTTCTGGGACGAGCGAAGGGGGCGTGGAGCCCGGGAGCGGGGCAATGATAGAGAGCACCGAAAGCAGCGGCCAAGCCCGAAGAAGCGCATACGGGTCTGCGCTAGGGAACGACACGCGCGCTCCGCCGTCGGCCAAGAACGAGAACACGCGGATGTCGGAGAGCCCAAGCAGAGGCTGTATGACATCAAGGAGCAAGAAAGCAACCGTTGGAAGGGTAGCGGAAGCTGGCGCGAGTGATCGTAACGCGAGTACGATAGAAGAGACGGCAGGAAAGCGCCTGGCGAACGCCGCTGAGAGCGCTCTGTATGTGTCCGGGGAGTGCACGGGAAGACAGATTGTAGCTTCGAGCGATCGCAGAGCCTGGACGTCAAAGAGCTTGTACGCTTCGATATTCCCCGCGTAGTCCACGACTTTCAAAGCGCGCAACGCGGGCAGCGCTATGGTCGCGTCGACGTCCAGGGCATCGTCCAATACGCGAAAACCGATGGAGAGGGACTCCAGATCCTCCAGCGTGTCGAGCCGCGCACTGCGAAGACTTGCCGCATTGAACGCAAAGCCTGTTGCTGGACCCGCATCCAGCTCCAACGTCCGCAGCTTGCTCATCCTGTGGACTTCCGGCAGGACAGAGCGTACAGTGCTTATAGCGCGGGTGGTTATCGCAAAGTGCTTCACAGATGGCGCCAGCGAGATGACGTTTCGCACGATCAACGGCAACGCCGCATCGTATTCGTGGTCCGTGAACGGGTGCAGCGGGTTGAAGCGGAGGTGGAGTCGCTTGAGGCAGGGCCCCACGAGCATGAAGATCTCCGTCTGGTCCGGTTCCGTGGTCCAGTCCAGCTCGCGGAGAGTGGGAAGCAACGGCTGGCCCGCGGCAAGGCATCTGAGGTGGTACCATACAGAGGGGAAGATGTGGGTGGCGCCAGATAGATCGAATAATGAACTATCCTGATCGGGACCATCCCCCATATCCTCGTGGAAAACGGAGCCGGGATCTTCTTCATCTTCATGACCTATGTTCGAGCCGCCGTTCTCAGGGTCGGAGGCACCTCCAACATCAGCATTGCTCTGGCTGTCAGACTCGTGGACGGAGTCGGCGTCAGGATCAGGCTCGGACTCAGAGCTAGAGCTGTGATAGCTGACGGTGCTGTTGCGACGGCCGTAACGAGGTTGGAGGACTGCATTGGCGGTACCATCGTGGTGCAGGACTCGAACGCGCCGCGCGTACTCGCAAAACCGTGCCCACTGCTTGGCGTCAGGGATTTCGCGTAGTACCTGTAGGAAAACCAATACGATCAGTGAGTATATCCTGACCTTGCGAGATTAGCAACAATGGACATACGTAGGCGTTATATTTCCTGACGTCCATGCCGTCTTGAGCTTCGTGACCGCCGTCGATATTTCGGAAGTTCGGAGCAAGCAGACGGAGCAGCGGCAGAATCGAGGATAGACGCTCCCATAGCACTTGCAGGGCTGGGTCGCGGAACGCCTGGCAAACGCGCGCGCACTTGGCGACGCTGTCATGCGGGACCTGCTCGTGTTCAGCGCGTGCCCTCGCTTGCGAGAAGATGGCTAGGAGGATGTCTTGATTCTGCAAAGCTGGGTGAGGCGCCTTCGCATCAGCTGACGCGCCAACGTCAGATGAAGTTGTAGAGGATGGAGAGCCCATTTCCGGGTGGACGGGCAATATACTTGTTGATCCTGGTTTGCCTGGCTGGTGAGCGTGCATGGTTATCGGCTCTTCCCGTGCCTTTTGTGGTTTTGTGCGCATCCTCGATCCAGATAGGAAGTATAAAACTGAACAAAATCGTCGAGTTAGTCTAAATATGAGGCGCGTTGGGACATGGCTACGTACACAATGTTGGCTCGAGTCTCTAAGGGACGCAGCGTGACAAGTTCTCGACTTGAGTCGACTTGACGGTCTGTAGAGAAGCCTTGCGGGTTCGCTGTCGCCTCCAGCTCATCACTCGCTTGAACGACGCCGCATGCCAACGTCGCATGGTGAATAGCCGGGCGGCTTTGCCGCCCCTCGGCCCCATGAGGCAGACACGAAGTACCTCGGCGGCTGGCCCTCAACAGTTAAAGCAGTAAGTGAAGGCTAGAAAAACACCCGGATTGTATTCAGCATAAAGGTCGCTTCTCCGACCGCATTGTAGGCCCGTTGACGTCGGAGCGCTGTCGGTTGGAGTGTACGAGGAGGATCGTATCAGAAGTAAGAGTTGACGGCCGGCGTGTCCTCTACAACTGAAATCGACTGCTCCCGTTACCCGGACTCAAGAGGGGCTCACCGGAAGATGCCGAGACCTGGGGTCGGGGAGGGGGGGGGGGTCCCCGGGGCCTTATGTCGGTTGATGTAGGCCTTTCAGCTCCATCGAGTCTTCGTGGTTCGCGAAGGTATACAGTCGATTTTTCGTGCTCAACAGACCTCAGCTAGCAGAAAGCGGCCTTTCCAGCCATCTGGGCCGTCGAGAAGCCGAACATCGCGACCCTTCAGTGTTAAAACATTGATGTTTCATTCTTTCTAGTCTGTGTGCGCCTCAAGCTAGCGGATGTGTACGGCGAGCTCTCGCAACATAGCTGTTGAATTTCTCTGGACAGACAAACGTGATGACCACCGAGTAAGTTCTGGGTATGTCTGTCATCCTATGGGCGCCTACAGCTTCCGTTTTGAGCGACATGTTGAAAACATATGCGAAAAATTGCCCGATATGGGAGGATGGGGGGAGGGGGGTCCCGGAAATGGGCTTATGTCGATAGACCGACCCCGGTAAGTAAGTCGATTCCTGCACCCCTCTTGCCCGGACTCGTACGCGCCTCCTTCCACCGGTCGGCATTTGCTGCTGCACCTCTCAAGGATTGGATCTTACAAACCTCAGGCTTTTCAGCCAGGAGATGTCGGGTGCATTTGGCCACGGAAGACCTTAGCGTGCCAAGGTTGCATCTTCGCGCGCTTTATCAAGCTATATAACGTCGTCGAGTTGTTCGACACCAGGAGACGCATCCGAACGTGTCTGTGTAAATCCGTCAGTGGTGCACAGGCAAATCCGACGTTTCATTTTGACTAACCTTGCGCCGTTGCACAGTGCAAGCCACCAACAAACATGTCTCGTCCTATCATCGTTGTCGCGGGTGTGGGAAACGGTTCAGGTATGCTGCGGACGTAGCCGCACCGGACAGGTCTCGAGCAGTCACTAATGTATTGCCCCTGCTTCCTGTAGGCACTGGTGGTGCAACTGCGTACGTGCATCTGCCATCAGAGTTTCGTTGTGCTAAATCAATAGCACTCACCGTTTTCTAGGCGAGTGTTCTCCAAAGCTGGGTACCGTGTCGCGCTCATTTCCCGCGCCGGATCTGGGCTCCAAAAGACGACGAATGAGATCAAGCAGGCCGGCGGCGAGGTAAGCTCCCCGTTACCCTGCGAGCTTTGGTGGAGAAACCATCTGACCGCGGGCAACTTCTCCACAGGCTGTCGCGTTCCCTATTGAGTCGTACAGCTACCAGTCCCTGACAAACGTCTTCGACACCATCCGCACGCATAGCTGGAAAGACACATCCGGCACAGCGCCCGAGATCCGCGCCGCGCTCTGGAACGGGGGCGTAGGGGTATGGAAGCGGTTCTTCGAAGTCACCGAGAGGGACCTACAGCTCACCGCGGAGACGAACGTCCATGGCGCGTTCGCTTTCGCGCGCCAGGTCATCCTCGCGTTCAGGCAGAACGAAGTGGATGAACTGGGCAAGCGTGGCACACTGCTCTTCACCGGCGCGACGGCGAGCCTGCGCGGGAATGTGCCGACGAGCGCGTTCTCGGCAGGCAAGTTCGCGCTCCGGGCGCTCAGCCAGAGCCTCAACAAGGAGTTTGGGCCGGAGAACATCCATGTGAGCCGCTTATTGCGCATTGCGCTGTGCTCGATGCTGACGCTGAACCACCTCGCAGGTTGCTCACGTACGTAGTCTCGAGCCGTCTCGTTCAAGATGTATTGCTGATGGACTCGCGCGCCTGCGTGTGCACCCATTAGGCCATAATTGACGGAAGTGAGCTACAATTTGCGTGTTCTGGGAGAGGAGCGGTGCTCACCATTGACCGATCCTAGACATCTTAACGGATGAGTCGCTCACGTTCGTCGACGAGACCAGCAAGGAGATCTTCAAGGGGAACGCAAATCTACGCCTCGATCCCGAGAGCATTGGAAAGGTATGTGTGGTATCCTGTGTGCAATATGGTTACTTTGACAGTGTCTGCAGAGCTACCTTTACCTTGCGAAGCAGGACAGATCAGCGTGGACCTGGGAGCTCGACCGTGAGTAATGTTAATACAATGCTGCCAAGTACTGCAACTGACAGAACACGCCCCCTATAGTCCGCCCCGCGCACGAAAAGTGGTGAAGATGAGCTGTGTTTTCCGTCGTGCTTTGGATGAGTACGCAAATCGCTGGGCGGCGATTGCAATTTGTTCCGTGCGTAATATATACGAAGCGCCTAAGGTTTGGGGCGTGCTGGGTCGGCTCAAGGTCGAATTGTCTTGCCCACCCACCCACTTGCGTGAATCGAAAGTCACTCATCGTCGTCCAGAAGTCTTCTCGGGTTACATACCATGCAATAGGCCTCCTTATGTTTCTTGGATTGTCGAGCTGCCAACGACCTTGCCTCTGTCGTGCCGCAAGCTACTTTTTGGAAGCGCCTGTGTCCAATTCGCAACCATTGAGGTTCATGATGTCGTGGAGGAGGAGGAGAGTATGTATCCGGACTCGGAAAGGCAAGTTGCAACTCGAAAGAAAGATTCACGCGGATCGACGCCAAGCGTTCGGAACTCGGGCCGTTGCCCGCATCAGCGCTAACTTGCGTCGAACCGTCGACTCAACGTCCTGCACTTCGGCCTTCAAAGCTTCATCCTCTACCACCACCAGCTTCTGTTCATGCGTGCGTATAACAGTACAAAGAGACATATCTGCCAAGAGGCCGGCTTCCAGTCATGCGTATACTGTGCGAGTCGAAAATAGCGGGAATATGCTTTTGACGGTACTGCTATGGAGGTCAGTCGGCCCTATCAGTCTCAAGCCTATAAAGCTACATTCAACGTCAATTGACCGCCCCGCGTGCAGCGTTGCAGACAAAAACATTCAGAGTCCTTACCGCCGCAATATCATACCTACGGAGATGTACTGTCTACCCAGCGTTGAATTGGTTGATATCTCTCCCGCTCTACTGCCAGTTGTGGATCGCAGGTCAGACAAGACTAATTCGTCGTGCCTCGTGTAGACACCACCCACAAGGTATTACACCAGCGTGACCTATAGAAAGCTGAATTTATATCTAGCCATGGAAGGCCCTACGTTGCTCCTCGGCAGTCGCAGTTGGATGACGCTCCCGGTCCCGGGACTTCTGGTAAGTAGACGCCTTCTCACAATACCCGACGGCCGGCCTTTGGCCTAAAAGCTTGTCGCTCTCGAGTCTATGAATGTCTGTAGCATTCGTCGATTCCAATGGCGCGAGTCTTGCCAACTCCTGCTTCCTTTAATCCCGTGGGACAGAGCTGACAAAGCCCGGGCTCCTCAGAGTCCAGATGACGAATCTCTTGGTCACGATAGCCCGAGCTCTATATTACGCACCCTAGCGCAAACTTGCGTCTTCGCGCGCTGCACGAATCTATAAAACATCGGCGTGCTAGGTTCACATAGTAGAAGACCGCTTCACGACCTTCAACTGTGAGTAGTGAACAAGGTCGTTCGGCGAACGGCTCCGGCTGACCCGTAGCCCCTATATTGCAGATCAACACCTATTATCCTAAACAACACCATCATGTCCTCTCGTCCTATCATCGTTATCGCTGGTGTCGGGAACGGTTCAGGTACGTCACCGGCAGAGGTTGCAAGGCCCGCCCTCATTGCAGCACTTTGAGCCATATCACTGATTCATTAATCTTGTCTCTCATATAGGCACCGGGGGTGGAACGGCGTACGTGCATCCCTCATGGGACTTTAATTGCATTCCCCGCATTAGCTTGGCGCTTACCTCCCCTCTCTGCCCAGCCGTGTGTTTTCAAAGGCCGGATATCGCGTAGCGCTCATCGCCCGCGGCCCGGACAGGCTCCAGAAGGCCACCGACTCCGTCAACCAGGCCGGCGGCGAGGCCGTCGCGTTCCCCGTCGAGTCGTACAGCTACAAGGCGATCACGGACGTCTTCGCCACCATCCGTGCACACCAGTGGAAGGATGCGTCCGGGGCCCCGCCGGAGATCCGGGCCGCACTCTGGAACGCGGGCGCGGGTGTGTGGAAGCCCTTCCTCCAGGTGACCGAGGAGGATCTCGCGGCGACGGTGGAGACGAACATCACTGGAGCGTTTGCGTTTGCGCACCAGGTTATCGAGGCGTTCAAGAAGAACGAGGTCGATGAGCTCGGGAAGCGCGGCACACTCATCTTCACGGGTGCGACGGCAAGCATCCGTGGAAATGTAACGACCAGCGGGTTCGCCACGGGCAAGTTCGCCCTTCGTGCGCTCAGCCAGAGCCTGAACAAGGAATTTGGGAAAGAGAACATCCATGTGCGTGTTTTGTTCTGCGATTTGCCTTTGCTGGAGGCTGACGCTGGATAATTGTCAGGTCGCGCACGTACGTACTTCGCGCGGTTGATCTATGTTGTTTTACTGATAGGCCGATGCTCATCTAATAGTCCATCATCGACGGAGGCGAGTCAGCTCCTATCTGTCGCGCGACAGTAGGGCCGTACTGACCATCTGCCAACCGCAGGGATCCTGACTGACCTGTCGCTCTCGCGCCGCACCGACCCCGCGGCCCACAAGGCATACAAGGAGGACGCGAACACCCGCCTCGACCCTGAGAGCATCGGCAAGGTATGCGTCGCATCGCGCGAGCAGGACGGAATTGAGCTGACGGTCACTACAGAGCTACCTCTACCTCGCCAACCAGGACAGGTCGGCGTGGACGTGGGAGCTCGATCGTAAGTAGCGTTGATCCGCCCGTTGCTTCGTTCCGCCACTGACAGTTCATTCGATAGTCCGCCCCGCCCACGAGAAGTGGTGAAGACGGAAATGACGATAACGTTGCGTGTACCAGTACTTAGGACGACATGCTGTGTCGGTGTATGAGTGAATGTATCGGATATCTGGGCCCTGCACTGCTATCTGGGCGATATCGAGGACGCAGTGCGACGTCGCGCACCGGATCGGCCTGCCCCTCCTCGGGGCGGCCGCCGGCAACTTGCTTCCCGAGGCTTCGGGACCGACGATTTGATTGCGCTCATGTTCTCCGCCAGGGTACGTAGGCGACAAGCAGAACGAACCTTGGTTGATTCGAGTTGTAGTCGTCCCTGAATATTGGTCTATAGCGCGATGTTTTAATCGACGGGCCCGTATCGAGAACATAGGCTTAGCCATGGGTAACGGACACCTCAAAGAAGGCGCGCTACGTTCGACGCGGTGTGGTGGCAGATCCGCCTACCACGGGCTATGTTGCAATCCGCTGAATGATCGAGGTACCTTCAGACTACATCAGCAGTCGATCTGTGCGTCTTTTGCCCGGCGGCCTTCGAAGTACGCAGCCTCGTGGATGCCCCAGCTGCCACCGCCGCGCGAGGCAAGTACATGAATCGCCTTGGAAAAATTGCATTCGAGCGAACGTGTAAGGGGCTTTGTGCGTCGGTGTAATTACGGGCCAATGCCAAGTACTGTGAATCCAACCCCCGATCTGTCATTTTGTTGTGTTCTCGATTGGGCCTATTCCGAGTCCGAGTCGGTGTATGACCTCGCTGCCGTCCGCGTAGGTGTGTATCGCGGACCGGGGCAATTTAATCAAGCTGATAGTCGTTTTATAGTGATTCCAGAACGACAAGCACAACATTTAACATGAAAAGTATGCCGGAGAGGCCGGTCACTCTGGGCGGATGAGTCAACCCAGCCCGGCGGCGCCCACAAACTGTCAGTGGTTAGCCGACGTCCGATCATACATCCTCGGTGGGGGAGGCGCAAGGCTTGGCGGCCGCCTGCCTCGTTGGTCCTGTCATGAGAGCACCGAGGCAAGTTCTGCCGCACCGGTTATGTCAGGGAACGCCTCCGCCCGCATGCCTCGAGCCCCCACTGGCGAATCATGGCAAAGACGCACCGCCGCGACATGGCACGCCTGGGCGGCAGCGTTCCACAAATCTTTCCTTTTTGGGCGGGGATTGCACGTCGCGATGCGTGTTCCCGTCGAGCGCGGTGTTCGTGCCTGATCGAAGACGGTGACCACTGTCTTTGTCTGTCTGAGGCAGCCTGTGCCTGCCAGTGCCCGCCCTCCTTCATCGACATCACCGTCCCGCCCAGTGTCGTCGGGTATAAAGACAGATGGGGGCGCGGTGGGAAGGGCCAGGATTCGAGCTCTTGTTCAATCTCCTTCTGCCCCTTCACGCCCGCTTCGTTCCAGCTTCACCATGTTCGGCCTCGCTGTTCTCTCTGTCGCCCTCGTCGCGGGTCAAGGTACGCGGATATTGCGGGCGATGATAGGCCTGGGTACTCACACATAGCTCAGTGGCTGCGTCTGCTATCAGCACTCGCTCTCCCCTCGCCGGCCTTCTCAGGATCCGGCAGGCGTCCTTCGACCCGTCTGAGGTCCCCGCGGCGGTACGCTCCTCACCGTCATTAACATTGTTGCGCGGTGATCTGACAATTCGATCCGTCTTTAGTGCCAGTCCTCCTGCTCCACCATCAGCACCGCGTTGACGGTACGTACTCACCTACTTCCTCCAGGTGGTCATATACTGATGATTTCCTTTCATCCACAGAGCACGACGTGCAGTCAAGACATCGACTGCCTCTGCAGTAGCGCCACAAGCACAGGGCTCTTCGACTGCCTCCAATGCGCACTCAACCTCCAACCGGACCAGGACGTGCTCGAGCAGGCGCAGGAGAGCTACGATGGTGCGTTATCAGAACCCTTCACATATCATGACAGGCACTCACACAACTGCTGGGATGTAGAGTACGCCGCGGCGTGCGCGAGCGGCGACGTGCCCGTAGCGTCCCAGACGCTCTCGCTCCCCAGCGGCTCATCCGCGTCCGCAACGCGCGTTTCGGGTTCCGCGACGGCAACCGCCGCGGGCTCGCGCACTTCCACTGCTGCCGGGAGGACCTCGACCGCTGCGGACCCGACGGAGACGTCGACCAGTGGAGACGACGATGGTGATGACGACAGCGGTGACGACTCTGACAGCGACGACGATAGCAACAGCAGCAGCACCGGCGCGCAGCGCAACGGTGCCCGTGTCGGTGTTGCGGTGTCGTCTGTCGGGCTCGCGGGCGTGGCGGCGATGATGGCGTTCTTCGCGTTGTGAGCGGTGGAGGGCGCGAGCTCGAAGTCGTCGCGGACTATCGGGATACCCTACTCCGGTCGCGTTTCTGCACGGGACGAATGATCTGGCCTGAGTAACATATAGTTGCACTGACTCATGACATAATATTACGACATTCGGTGTGAACTGCAGACGTGCGGCTGTGTTTTCCCGACCTGTGGATGCAAATTAGCGGCGTTTCTTTGGTGAAGCATAAGGCAAGCGCACCTTGGACCCGTTTAAGAACACCTGTGATACGGCGGAGAAAACGAGCCACAACGCGGAACACAGGGAGAGCCGCGGTCAAAAAGACAACTACGAGTCTCCGGGGTATGATATGTCTGGGCAAAGCTGCCGAAGCTCGCCATAGAAGGCGTGCAACTCTTCCCTGAAGTCATTCCACCGGTGATCAGAGTCGAAGAACAGTTCCACCCTCTTCATCGGCGCAAGTTTGAAGTATGCACGGCGATACAAGACCGCGACCAGAAGTTCTATGTCTCCGGGCTCAAAGCGAGGATACTCCAACTCCAGCGTAGATAGCTTCGAGCACGGGGGACGCTGGACTGCATCGTCGTCGTCAAGGTCATCGTCTTCGGAAGCTTCGTCACTGCCGTCTGTCTCGCTACCTCCGTTGGGTTTGTCGTTGCCCTCTTCCTCGTCGCTTATGTCCTTGAGCATTCCAGGTATCGAGGCATGCTTGAGGGCGCGGAACAGCGGGATGACAGATGCACTGCCCAACACTTCGAGGTACCGCACCTTCGGGAACGCCTCCAAGAACTCCACCCACTGCGCGCTCACGACGTCGTCGGAGTGCCCGTGAATGGAGATGTTGATGAGGGGTAAGCCACTGAAAAGCCTGCGGAACTCCCGCATCCCCTCCAAGAAGTAGGGCTCCCATGTTTCCTGCGCGGCCGACCGGAGCTCCAGACGCAGCTCTGACCCTGCCTCGGACCAGACCCGGAATTTGGCCAACTCCGCCCAGATGCGAATCTCCCCGGATCGCGGAGCTTTCGCAGGGAAGAAATGATCCACGAGCCCACCGCAAGGGATGAGGGAGTGGAACTGGCCAGGCGTGCGTTCTATGTCTAGGCCAGCGGGCAGGTGGCCGATGACGTTGACGGAAACGTTGCCTTTGAATCGGAAGCAGGTCAGAAGCCACTTCGTGACTGTTGAGTGGTCTTCGAGTACGAGTGTGCGCAGTTGGGGGAGAAGAACGATACGGTGATCGTCCTGCATGGCAGCATTGATAGCATCTGGCGCGAGCACAGCGGAGACGAACATGTCCAGGAGTCGGAGGATTTGGAGGGTATGGCAGGACTGCAAGGTGTTGAGGAACTGGTCGCACGACTGCATTGTTTCTGTCGGGGCGCAGCAGCGCAGGTCCAAGCTCGTGAGCTTTGACAGGAGAGTCGGGTGCCAAGGGACGTAGACTGACGCAACGTGGAGATTCCGTAGGGCTGGGAAAAGGTCGTCCGATAAGTTCAGCTTGGTATATTCGAGCTGATCGTCGTAATTCTGGTCATCAACGGAGAGTAGGAGGTGACTGAGAGTAGGCAGCGCCGTACGAAGTAGCGGCATGAACGGCGTGAGATCCGGAAGGACCCGTCCATAGCTCGCGTGATCTTGATTGAGAGGGGGGAGCATTAACTTGCGCAGACGATGTGCATGAGGCATGATCATTGGCACCGCGTTCCGGGCCGTTGGCAGGTCTTGGAAGAAGAGCTCCATAGGGGCATTGCGCGACCGGGTGAGCGCAAGCTCGAGCCAGCGAAGGTTCTTGTGCACGTCGACTGTCTGCCACAGAGAAGGAGTGGCAAGCGCGAGTTCTCGCCAGAAGCGGCAGACGAGCATGAGAGGGATCCATAGAGTTCCGTGTCCCCATATGTAGTGGCTTCCACTGTCGTCTGGCGGGCGCGCCCACCACCGTGCATGCTTACCCCTCTCCGGGTCTTGAGGGAACATGACTTCTCCGTATAGTCCAAAGATATGCACAAGGATCTCGTTTGGTAGCTTCTGCATTGATCCAGTAACGAGAGGAGGTGTTTTTCATGCACGATTGATAGCTGCGGACTGCACCTATGTTTTTGAGACAGGTGAACACAACCTGTATGTCGTACTGAGTGGCGCACCTGCTGACTGCGATGCTTCGTTTTCCGAGCCGTCGTGTTATCTTGAAGGCGAACAGTCCTGTGGGAAACTTGAAATTGAAACGCTTCTACGCAACCTCTGTAAATAAACAAAGAGACATACTGTTCTCCCTAGGTGGTAGTCGCGAGGAGAGGATGAAAGAATCTCTGTAGTGCATTTTCGTGCATAAGCGCCAACGCCTCTTCTCCGGTAACGGCCGTGCCTGTCTCTTTCATCTCAGCGAGCCTCAAACGGCGATCCTCTCGCTCTCAATCTAGTCAAGGAGGAAGATATGTGGAGTTCTCGAATATCGCAGTGGAACTGGGGTGTTCAGGTGGCTTCGCAATAGCAACGACAGGCAAAATAGCCAGCGGGCGGCTGAACTCCGCACCTAAGCCACACCTCGCCACATTCGCCACGGCAACGGTGCATCCGTCGCGAGATCTTTACTACGCAGTACGTCTCCGGTTACTTCTTGATACATGGGCGCGCGATATAGTCTCGTGTTGCATAAATCGAACCTCTGCAGATATGCGTCGTAGATGGAAGTCAGCTTGAGCGTACGCACTGCCAGTGTTCATTCAGACCAGTCTTGGATTGATGACGGAGGTATCGCCGTAGATAAACACACAGGCTGTCAACACAATGCTAAACAGGCGAAACAAAAACAAAACACAACGAAGAGCGGACGACGAAACGCAACAGATGACAGGATGAGGTACATGCGTTTCAACGGGCCGCTCTCGTCATCGTGACCGAACCTCCGGGAATCAACGCGCACAACTCCGCATAGAACGGCGCCTTGAAAGTCTCGAAGTCGTCCTCCAGGCCAAGCCCTTCGTAGCTCAGCTCGAGATGAAGCTCCTCCAGGACTGAACCGTGTTCCGCGCGAAATTTGAGGGAGCGCCCGATAGAGTCCAGCGAGTCTCCGACCCATCCCACCCCGACGAGGGAGAGCGACCTGAGCCGTGGGCAGAGCAGCTTCCCTTCGGAGATCACCATTACGTCGGCGAGCGCGTCGAAGAGTTCCCGCAATTCGTGGCCGCCTTCGAAGTAGCCAAGTTCGGTACCTTCGATCCGGAGGACTTCGAGATTAGTGAACTGCATCAGGAAGTCGACGTGGTCCGAAAGCTGGAAGTAGCTTGTTCCACCGACGATCTCGAGCTCGCCTATATCGCAGTTTCCGAAGACCTTGACGAGTCCCTCCACAGCATCGGGTAGCAGCATCGGCCAGTCCATCCAGTCCTTGAAGTCTGTGTCGAAGTCCAGCACGAAGTACGTCTCTTCGTCCATCCCAACGATTCGCATCAGACCAGCGACGACTTCCACTTTCGCACGTCGTAGAATGCGCGACATAGGAAGACGCGACCGGTCCTTCGGTAGCAGTCGTGTTAGATCGAATCGTGACCTGTCTTCGCCCGGATCAAGGTCGTCCTGGTCGCGGATATCCAGCTCGGAGCCTATGTGGATACGAGCATCGTACGGGAGATGGAGGTCGCTGAGCAGCTGAGATACGAGAGAGGGTTCATCGCGGAAGCCGAAGTCCTTCAACTTGGGGAGAGCAACAGTACGTCGAGGCGCCCGAGAACGATCACTGCAGGCGGTCGACAAGAAGTTGTGCAGGCGCAGTTCTTCCAGATCTGGACATGCTTCGCATACGTCCAGGAAGGCGTCGAAGGAGATCTGAGGACCTGCGTGAGAGCAATGGGATAGCTCTAGTCGACGCATCCTTGAAACCAGACCAACGTCCCAAGAGATAGCCATCGCAGACAGTCGCAAGGTTGAAAGCATCGGGAAGCGCTCCAGCGGAAACTCCAACATCGGCGGGATGGAAGAACACGTCTGAGGGTTGCAAGGTTCACGAAGTACAGTAAGCCCCTCGAGCCTCGGCCAAGATTCAAGCAGTAGAAGGAAGACAGGGCGAAGGAGTCCACAACAAAGGCGCGGTAGAAGAAGTTTGCTGAGACGGCTCGCTATTGGCGCGAGCGCAGGGACTATGAAGCGGGTAGCTCTCGGATAGTGGATAGCGAGATCAAATGTCGTTTTTCCCGAGTGCTTGAGAGCGAAAATGAAGTGGTTCGGGTTGCGGTAGATGTCGATCGCGCGCCAGAGACGTGCGTTGGACAGGATGATCGCGTACCAGTGGCGACAAACAAGCATAAGCGGAAGCCAACATGGAGCGCCAATGGGATATGGATTCGGTGTCTGGACAGGGGGAAGGCCAGGCTCAGAGGCAGGCTGCCGTCTCGGGTTTGCGAGCGATATGATCTCAAGGAGAATCTCGTTAGGCAGCTTGTTGATGGGCGCAGTCGCATTCCAGAGAGCCTGGAGCGCGAAGTATCTGGGACGCATCGATAGAATACGAGTAGCGATGTCCCCACGACTCGTGACGAGGATGTCTTGATCCAACGAGCTAGTGACACCAGGGTCGGGAAGACCATAGAGAGGGCCATAGAGAAGCTTCTTGTCTATCATATCGGCCGGAAAGCGCTACCCAGTGGCCGGTTCAGAGAGTTGTGGCTGCAACAGCGTCAGGGTAAGCATTCTCAGTCGATATTCGAGTAATCCATGCTTACTCGAAGAAGCGCAGGAAGGACTGGACGGTGGACAACGTGGAATAACCGACGAAGTTTAGACTGCATCCTTGCTGGCATCTCGTACGGCTTAGCTTGGTGAAGACATATTTACACACCTGTTCAACTTTGAGGTTATTTCGGAGATAGGGCCTGACCTAAGGCCTGAAGAGAGGGTAACGCGAAGGAGGGAGGAGCTGGTGGTTGTGGTTCAAGTTGCGCTGAATGTGAAGAAGCGCCGCTCTCACTCATGCGCTGCCGCTTTCGGTACTCGGCAGATTCCGACATCCCTACGCTTCCTCCCACATCATTTCGTCGAGGAATAACAACAGTTCCCAGTGCGGTAGGGACTATCTTACTCATTTCGAGCCTCGCATCCATGGGCTCGTAGATCTACTGTTAACTAATACTTACGGCCGGCAGGATCTCGTTTCAACTTGGGATTAACCAGATCAAAAGAGCGAATGCGGGTGATCGTCCAGGCCACGCCGAACGCTTCATCTTTGTTCGAACACATCATAGAACCCACGCTTGCAAATAGTTTTGGGTTTGATTTCTTTCTTGTAGCGAGGGAGCTACATAACGTTCCAGTGGCAGCGTTGACACTGTCGAACATAGCAGACTCAAAAAGGGCTGGCGACCGGAACGGCCCGCCACGATTCACAACAAAGCAAGGAACACGCCGAAGTCCGTTTTGGGGTCACAAAGGAAAGAGATCTGACTATAAGAGCCGTTGCGCTTTACTCGTAGGTGCTTCACCTTCAGAACGCTCCATCTATTTGGGTACCGCCACTCATGCACCCCCAAGTCTCTCATCGCTGACATGATATCGTTCATCAGATATTACGTCGTCGCTATACCGCAGAAGAATGGATCGGGAGCACACTTTGCAGGCCGCCAACGCCATGTCAGGCGCTCACTCTCCACCGCGTTATCCGCCTACCCGCACTCCGCCCTCTCCCTTTGACCGTCTGCCAAATGAGATTTTAATGGAAATCTTCAAGGCCTTCTGGGATCTGAGGCTGGAATGTTATCTTTGGCACGACAATCCCGGATCTCTAGCAGCCCTTCCCCTTTGTTCCGTGTCTCGACGCTGGCGCGAGGTCGCTCTTGCTGTTCCCTGGCTCTGGTCATACATTCAAGTCCAAACACCGGCCGATGTCGAGTGGATGAAGTTCGCAAGGACGCGCTCGCGACATCACCCAATCACCCTTTCGGTCGAGATTGCCAACGAGTACGATTTCGCCGCGGTGCTCCCAGCGCTCGAGGATTGTCGTGGGCTGATATGCGACCTGAGTATCAGCCTGTCCGATGATGACGGTGCTTGGGAAGATGCTATGGACGATGGTGTAAAGCTTGCGGATTTGACCATGGACTTTCTCAACGCCGGAATGCCTGCCTTGGTAGTTCTCGCCGTCAGCATACCCGACTGGCCAGAGCTGGAGTCCCCGGTAGCCTTGCTCACGCTGGACGCCTCTCAAGTCCCCCGTCTTCGCGAGCTCGAAGTCTGCAACCTCCAGCTGTCATGGATGCCCGATGTACTCGCTAGGCTGCGCAGGCTGTCCATGGGAACCGTTCGGGGCGACCAAGTTCTCCAGCCTTCCGAGTTCCTGGATGTTCTCGCGATTGCCCAGCAGCTCGAGGACGTGTCTATGGAGGACGGAATGCCCTTCGACGATTACGCAGAGGTGATCGCGCAGGATAGACCCGACGAGCCCATCACAATCCCAAACCTGCGCAAGCTCGACATCCATGACGAGGCCTGGTTCGTCTTGGCCCTTCTGCAGGGCGTACGCCTGCCTATCGGGATCGATGCGGATTTAGAGGTATACGTGCCCATGCAGTGGACCCGGGAGTCGCTATCAGAGAACAAAACCTCGGGCCTGCTGCCAATGTCTATTCCGGACGACCCCGCCAACGTGCATTTCCTGGAGACCACAACCTCCGCAGATATTGACGTCCCTCCAGGCGCGAGTGAGGAATATGCATACGTCTATTGCGACAGTGCGGACAAGGGACGCTTCCACATCACGCTCCGCTTCTTCGCCTACGAAGAGCCACCTTTCGTACGCGCCCAGTGCATCCTCGAGGACTTTAGGGTCCTCTTCCGCCGCGCGCCCCTGCGAGAGCTCTTCGTCACATGCAACCTCGGCCGTATCTCGCACGACCTGTGGGTCGAGGTGTTCCGCACCTTCCCCTCGCTCTGCGAGCTGCACTTCTCTGGAGAAGGTTACCCGGGGCAGTTGCTGGCTGCCCTCACCGCCCGCCCGACAGGGGGGACCGCGTCCGCGCAGGCCTCGCATCCTTTGCTTTTGCCGGATCTGATGACGTTCACCCTCAAGGATTTCCCGTGGCATCGTGATCTATTCGGGGCGATCGTGCGCACTTTCGAGGGGCGGGCGACATCAGGCGGCTCGAGGATGCGGGAGGTACGCGTGGAACTTTGCGGGAGAGAGGAGGACTCGCATTTGAACAGTATACTTCGTAGCGATCTTGCCGCGCTGAGAGAACACTGTGATGTAGTTGTGTATAAGGACGCGGAGTAGCTTTGTATGTATGCAACAAATCTGCCACTGGCATGAGTGTATTTCACACAGAATAGCAATATGATAGTAGTTCGGAAATGCCCTAAGCCGACACATATCATGTACGAGCGACCCACCAAGAGTAAGTCGGACGCAACAAGCGATCACCGCTGGCAAAACATCTTACCAACTGAATAAGTGTCGGCGAGTTTATTTTGGTGTACCAGTACTGTGCTAACTGAGAGGGTTGAGGATGAGCGAGCGGCGCAAAGGACTTGGAGCAGTGTTACTAACTTTGTGACTCGGCGCTTAAATACTGCTTTCGGAACTTGAAACTCCTCCCGCACCACGAGTGACGAGTCCTCGCCTGTCCTGGATGTCCTGCAGTACGTGTGCCAGCAACCCCAACCTAGTCCCTCCGTTTTGCCTTTCTCGCGCTCTCCCGCTCGCGTCCTCGCGGACACGACCCCCCGCGCGCCCAGCATCATAATCCAGAAAGGCTATTGACAGATCACTTTCACAAGTTTGCCCTCTTTCAAGACCTGCGCAAAGTACTGCGGGCTTGCGTCGACAAGCACCACTTTCTGGGCCAACTGAGATACAAATCAAACTGGTGGTTTGTCGCATTGTACGCCATTCAGGATTATTTTCGCATCACAAAGAAGTGAACCTTGACTATAAGAATCTGCGCTGTATGGGACTCGTATCCTTTCAGTTGCAGAACGCCCCACCCTGTATAGGTACGCTACTCATGCACCCAGAAACTTCTCGTCGCTGACATGATATCGTTTGTATCAGATCTACATATACCGCAATTCGGGAACAGCGGAGAACACGTGTCATTCAGGGTGCTGTTCAGGCTATGTCGGGCACTTCCCCTCTTCTACCTACCCGCACCGGTACCCCATTCGACCGTCTGCCGAACGAGATTTTGATGGAAATATTCAAGGACTTCTGGGATCTGAGGCTGGGAAGTCCTTGGTACAGTAAACCCGGATCTCTAGCAGCCCTTCCCCTTTGTTCCGTGTCTCGACGCTGGCGCGAGGTCGCCCTTGCTGTTCCCCAGCTCTGGTCATACATTCACGTCAAAACTCCGGCCGATATCGAGTGGATGAAGTTCGCAAGGACGCGCTCGCGACATCACCCCATCACCCTTTCGGTCGAGATTCCCGACGAAGATACGTTGGCCGCGGTGCTCCGAGCGCTCGAGGATTGCCGTGGGCTGATATGCAACCTGAGTATCAGTTTGGCCGATGATGAAGATGGTGCTTGGGAAGATGGTATAGAACTTGCGGAGCTGACTATGGGCTTTCTCAACGCCGGAATGCCTGCCCTGGTCACTCTCGCCGTCAGCATACCCGACTGGCCAGAGCTGGAACCCCCGGAAGCCTTGCTCATGCTGGACGCCTCCCAGGTCCCGCGTCTTCGCGAGCTCAAAGTCTATCGCCTCCAGCTGTCATGGATGCCCGATATATTTGCTAGGCTGCGTAAACTCTGCATGGGAAACTGTCGCGGCGACCGCAGTCTTCCGACATCCGAGTTCCTGGACGTTCTCGCGATTGCTCAGCAGCTCGAGGACGTGTCTATGGAGGACGGAATGCCCTTCCACAATCACGCGGCAGTCCCTGCGCTGGATAAACTCGACAGGCCCATCGCGATCTCAAACCTACGCAGGCTCGACATCCACGACGACGACGAGTTTATCTATGCCCTTCTGCAGTGCGTACGTCTGCCTATCGGGATCGATGTGGACTTCGAGGTGTACGTGACGGGGACGTGGGATGACAAACTCTCTGGGTTGTTGCCAATGTCCATTCCGGACGACCCCGCCAACGTGCATTTCCTCGGAACCACGACCTCCGCATCTATTTCTTTCCCCGTGGACGGCTATGGCAAGGACTATGCATATCTCTCTTGCGACAATGCGGACGCTGGACGCCTTGACATAACATTCGCATTCTTCGCTTACGAAGAGCCGCCTTTCATGCGCTCGCAGTGCATCTTGGAGGACTTCAGGGCCCTCTTCCGCCGGGCGCCCCTGCAACGGCTCTCCATCACATGCGACTTCATCCACATCCCATACGACCTATGGGTCGAGGTCTTCCGTACCTTTCCCTCTATCAGCGAGCTGCAATTCTCCGGAAAGGGCTTCCCAGGTCGGCTGCTGGCCGCTTTCAGCGCCACCCGCTGTGCAGCGGGGAGCGCGTCCGAGGCACTTCCCTCTCCTCCCAATTTGCCAAACCTGGAGACGTTCACCCTCACGCGCTTTCCGTGGCACCGCGATCTCTTTGGCGCAATCGTGCGCACTTTCGAGGGGCGGGCGGAGGCAGGCGTGTCGAGGATGCGGCAGGTGCACGTCGAACTTCGTGGGAGGCAGCAGAACTCGTATCTGAATAAGATACTTCGTGGCAATCTTGCCGCGCTGAGAAAACACTGTGATGTGGTTGTCTACAAGGACGCGAAGTAATTTACTCGGTCGAATCAGTGCCTAACTACGTGTGACGATCCTGTTCTGGGAAAAAGTATTACTATAAACCTCTAAGCCTGAGTCTGGTGTCAACGGCCTGAGACATTCTACTGCAACGAGAAGTCAGATTGTCGGCCTGAAAGTAGCGTGTAACGTGGCATAATATCCACAACATGACAGAACATAAAAGAGCACCAACGATACACAATTAAAGGCCGAAGGTCATGATCATAATGAGCTATATGTATCTGCACGACGTGTCAGTATCTATGCAACGGAGAGTGTGTACGGGACTCTCACCTAAGACTATCTGGCGTGTCCCTCCATTCTGCAGGTAGATTGTAGTCGGACCATGGGCGAATGCAGTCTCACTAAACCACTCTCGTCATCGTAACAATACCGCCAGGGACAAGCTCGCATAGCTCCGCGTAGAGCGGCGCCTTGAAGGCCTGGAAAGCTTCGTCCGAGTCCACGCCGGGAAAGAACAGTTCAAGAGAGAGCTCCTCTAGCACTGAACCGTACCGTTGCCGGAGCCGCAGGGAGTGTCGGATCATCTCCATCGAGTCCCGTGCCCACCCTAGTCGAGACAGCGAGAGTGACTTGAGGTGAGGGCAGAAGACGAAGATGTCCACTTCAGAAGATACGTCGATGACATCCGTGAGTCCATGGAAGACGTGTCGGAGCTCGCCATCGTCGTCCTCTTCGCGACAACCTTCAATCCGGAGGCTGTCGATCATCAGGTTTCCGTCCAAGAGGTCGTGGTGCCACTGCCTCGTGAAATGACGAGTAGCACCGACGATCTCCAATCGTCGCGGCTTGCCTTCCGTGAAGATGTTCAGGAATCCTCTCACCGCGCAAGGCAGTAGAGGCGCCCAGTTCGTCCAGCCTGCCAGTTCGACGTTGAAGTCCAGGATGACATAAGCGTCGTCGAGGGTATAGACAAGCCGCATGACGCCATCGTTAACTTCCACTCTCGCGCTCTGCGGGAAGTGCATGACTGGGAGAAGAGCATGGTGGTCCTTCGGAAGAAGGCGAACGAAATCGAACTTTGCCGTGTCCGGATTGTTGAGTTCGTCTTCGTCGAGAATCTCCAGCTGCGACCCTACGTGTAGCCGAGCCTTAGGTGGGAAACGAAGGACGTTGAGCAGCAGCGGCACGAGCGGCACGTCATCGCGAAACCCAAAGTCCTTTAGCTTAGGGAGGTGCACAGTGCGAAGAGCGGTTGGAGAGCGGTCACTGCAAGCCGTAGACAGAAAGTTATGCAAGCGGAGCTCTTCCAGGTCTTGACAAGCCTCTAGAATGTCCAAGAAGCCATTGAGGGAAACCTTAGGCCCGCCATGAGCGCAGTCGGAGAGTTCCAGTCGGCGCAGCCTCGACACCAGACTCAGGTTCCAAGAGATCCCGACCCCAGAGAGCCGGAGCGTGGACAGGACGGGGAAGCGCTTCTTCGGGAGCTCGATCCAGGGAGTGGAGCGACAAGCCACAGGGGAAAGGAAGTCACGGAGGACCATGAGCTCTTGAAGCGCAGGGAACGGGCCTTCCAGGAGGACGAGAGCGAGACGGAGGTATGCGCACTTCAGACGGGGTAAAAGGAGCCGCCGGAGACGTCGGGTCATGCCAGCTAGAACAGGGACAACATAACGCACGACTTTGTGGTGGTGGATAGCGATGTCGAAGGTGGCTTTCCTGGTCTGCAAGAGCGCAAACCAGAAATGATGGAGGTTACGATGGGCATTGACTGCGCGCCAAAAACACGGGTTGGAGTATATGACCGCATGCCAGTGGTGACAGACGAGCATCAGCGGGAGCCAGCTTGAAGGACCGATAACCGACGGCTCCTTGGTCCGGACTGGGGGAAGAGCCGTGTCTGAGGGAGGGTCCGGGTTCGCGAGGGTGAGGATTTCGACGATGATCTCGTTCGGCAACTTGTTCACAGGGGCGATTGCAATCCAATGCCCTGGGCGATTAAGCTTCGGGAGGCTGTCTACAAAGTCGCTCTGGCCGAAGTCCAAAGGATCGTGATCGAGAGCGTATGCCGTACTAGGATCCGGAAGGCCATCCAGCCAAGCGTCAAGATGCTGTCTGTCCAACATAGGGATGAACGGGGATGGATTCGGGGTGCCGTTTTGGATTATATCACTTCATAGATGTAAGATGTCACCGTACCGATACTACAAGTGGACGACTCACCACGAGAAGGCTAACATATAGAGGTAAGGAACGAGAGGGGTTGCCTTCCAAGTCTGTGTTAAGTTTGAACTGCGCGTTTGCTCGTAAGTTACGCCCCTAATTATCAGAGGCAGTTACGCGTAACCCAATATGTTTGCGGATTCGAAAAGGACTGGAGGTGTTACGCTGGAGGGAAGGAGAAGATGGTGGTTGATGTCCAAGGCCCGGGTGCGATGCGAAGAAGCGCCAATGCATCTGTCCGTTTTTGGAACTCGTCACTTTGGGCCCGGATGAGCCCAGTATCGGACAAAGTGCAGGGAGTGTGGCAGATATCCAGGAAGGAATTGGGCATTCCGTATAACCCGCCGGTCGGTGCAAATTGACAAAGCGAATGCAACATGGCCCAATGCTGTATATTGGATGCGACGTGCGTGGGGAATCCGGCCAGAGTCCGTGCAGTAGTGCTACAACAGCAAGATAAACGTCCGTAAACTTACAAGTATGCGGTGATGGAGCTCGACAGTACTGATGCAAAATGATCCATGTGCTAGGCCAAAGGCGCCCTCAGACTTCTACAGAACGCTGGGGAGATCTCTGTAGTCGCTCGGGACGAAACTGTTATCCAGCGGCCGCGACCACTTGTCTGCAGAAGGAGGGTTTAGGATTGGATTAAGACGAGCCGCATATAACGAGACAGAAACAATACTTACCGGGGCAAGCGAGGAAGTAGTCGTCCATGGCGCTCACGAAGCGGTCCTGGTACTCGTGAGGGGGAACAACGGTCACTTCTTTGCCCGAGTTCAAGCCTTGCTTAGCCTTGTATTCGAGGGTCTTCGCGAAGGTGTAGCTGCCTGTATGACGCATGAGACAGCCATACAATAAATCGTCGAAGACAAATGACTTACCAATGGTGTCAACGAGACCACAGACCATTTGTTTGTTCTCCTCATCGACGCCGAGCAGAAGACTACGAGAGACCGATGAGACAAGTTTGGCCCGCAGCGTGGCGGCACTCACGAGTAGTCCATGATGTTACTCTTCGCAAGGAACTCGCAGTCAGCTAGTACGGCCTCCTGTAAGATCACCTTTGAGTGCGGTCGCACTAACGTCAGCGCCCTCTGTTGTCCTGCGATACATGGTTAAAGAGATGAGCCCCAGAACACGTTTGATGTAAAATATATACTTACCCTCGATCCACTCTCCGTCAAACAAGGTCTTCGAGCCTGCGCCACTGCTCGCCTTGACCTTGCGACCCTGAATGCCCTTCAGGTCGAACATCTTGGCAATCTTCTGGGTGTAGAACAGATTCTCCATGACAAGTAGGTCCGCTTTGGCCTGCGTCGTGCCGCTCTCCAGGTTCTTGATCTCGACCGTGTAAAACCCAAGCAGCTTCGCCAGCACTGTAGGCTTGCTTGCAGTTGCCTCCATGTATTTGAAGTACGAAGGCCCGAGCTCGATCAGTACTTGCCTAGGCGCACGTTAGCAACGTCGCCTCCAAATTTAATGCAAGGTCTTACAAGTCAGCGACGTTCCACGCATTCACGAGTGTCTTGATGATGAATCGATTGTCCGACGTCTTCCAGAAGTTCGACTTGCTCTTCCCGCCCTCAGCCGCCCAGTTCTCGCTTCGCGCGAGGCTCTTCAGGAACACGTCCTCGACCCCACACCGCTTCCGCAGGACATCAAACTGCTTCGCGTAATACGCCGTACAGCTGAAGCGCAGACGCTTGCCGATCGTCCAGTCGTACTTGATGTGCGGCCGGTCGTCGATGGGAGAGTGCTCGGTCGTCAGTAGCCCATGGTGAGGCGTCCCGGTTGGTGGGCGCTGCGGCTCCCCGGGCTTCATGACGTAGCGCATGGCGGAGGTGAGCGAGTTCGTGAATGCGGAAGTGAATGTGCTCGAACCGGGCTTGCTGGGTGTGGCGGGCGGTTCTGAATCGAGCACGGGGTCTGGTGGCAAGACGTTCTTGCCGGCTCCGTCACCGTCCTTCGGCGGCGGTCGGGGTGGAGGAGTGGTGACGCTACCGACGCTGTCTAGGCCAACGGTTGACCCATCGCTGTCGGAAACGATCGACGATGCCTTCCCGCGCCGGATATTCGTCTCGACAAATCTCGAAGACGAATGCCAGCTATTTGTCTCCGACAAGGACGACTGTGAGGTGTTGGCCGGCTTCGAGACGGCCTCAAGCTCATGCAATATCTTGCCAGCCGCCTCGACGGCTTCTGGCATACCACTGACCCGGCCGCCTGCCGCCAGAGGAGAAACCTCTACAGCGGGCTTTGCACGGACCGATCGAGGCGTCTCGATGCCGCTTGACTTCGAGCTACCGGAACCTGCAGGAGATAACATTGACGAGGAGGTGCCCGCATCCACTGACGCCTTCTGCCGGAGTACGTCCCGGATTGAGATGAGGGAGACGGGCTCGCGCGGGTGCTCTTTGCGACTGATCACCGCGGAGTACGTTTCCACCTCATGCCAACCGGCGTCATCGTGGTCCGGGTCTGGTTGAGGCACTGTGCCGGAGGAGACCAGCCGCTTCAGTGACTCGCCCGCGCGGAAGAGCGACGGTCGGGTGATCGAGGGGGTCGTCGGAGGTGCTGGGGTGATGATGCGTCCACTGTTCATGTTCGACAGCTCGCGCTGGTAGTCGACCGTGCTGCATTTGCGCTCAATCAGCTACAGCCACTTGCGCCTAGGACGATGCCTCGACGCACCTCAGAGTAAACGCAATGATACTTCCCCAATCGTCTTCCCTCACGATCACGTTTCCTCCCGGGACAGCATGGCATCCACTCTTCCACCACTCTGGCTCTGGGCTGATCGGGGCATCGCTCAGGTCCGTGCCAGCGGGGAGATGCGAAGAGTGCTTCTTCTCCCATGCCGCGAGCCGACGGGTAGCGCCGCGGGCAGCGGTGAAGAATGAACGTCGTGCGTCATTTAGGTTCTTCTCCGGAGTCTGAGAAAGTTCCGCGTAGAGCTCTTGTTCCGTACGCTGGAACTTGTAGCGGAGCCCCGAGAGCAGCTGCAAGGAGTCGACATCTTCGGTAGCGGTACTGAGGACGCTGGGCGTACGCTCGTCCGGAGGAGTGGTAAGAGGAGACGTGGAGGTGGAACCTTTCTCAGAGCCAGAGAAGGCCCTTGGTATTGGAATAGATATCGGAAGGAATGGATATCCAGTGGGTGCGGCACCTGCTGCCGGCACCTTCGGGGTAGGAGTCAAAGGAGTGCTGGGAGGTGGGAAGGGTTGACCATGTCCAGTAGGTGTCGGAAGCGAGCCTTCGTCATCAAAGCTTTCATCGTCAGAGGGCAATCGAGGCAAGGTCTTGTGAAAGGAACTCGGGTTATCTGTAATGAACTTGTCCTCCTGCGTCGACGCTGAGTATCAGCGCATTGTCAGCCCTCCCTTGTGCTGTGGACGTACAAGCTGGTCCATATGTTCTGACAAGCCCTGCCACCACCGCAGTATCTCGCGTCGCAGCGCACGCCGTTCTTCAGAAGGGAGAGCGGATGGTGGGCCGAGGCCCTCTGGCGACCCTTTAGCTGGCTTCTTGTCGGCGCCCTTGCGTCGCAGAATCTGCAACCTGGGGACTTTGACCTCGAATATATCCTTCACCTCGGTGAGCGTAAGCGTCACTATCCGCCCTTTGTGCGAGAACCGTCGCAGGATATTGAAGCGAGCGCGGGGAACAGGGAGGTCCGCCGGACTCCAAGGCTTGCCAGGAAGGGCCGTATGCTCGCAAAGTGGTGGCTGCAGGGCGTGAATAGCGGGCGAGTAGATCAACAGCTCGAGGTACTTCGCGAACGATGTCAGGCTGCGGATATGCCCATGCCCGTCAGCTGAAGCCTCAGCATGATAAAAGATATACGCACTGTGTACCGTCATGCATCACCTCTTTCGTCGACTCCTTTCCACATATCGCACAGCTGTGCCACATGTGTATGTCGTCGTCGGCGACTGCGGAGGAAGGTTCTCCTGAAGTTGGAAGCGATACTGTTGCAAGGAGCCGGACGCCGTTGTGGATCCATCGCAAGTCGTGCTCTGCGCGCTGGAAGTGGCAATCGGGGTGTATGCAAGGATCTTCAGCGGTCGTACACCACCGCATGATAGCTTCTCCAAGAGTGTCATCCCATTGCCGACCACGCTCATAGTACCGGTAGTGGAGCCATTTCCGACGATGTCCGCCGCACGCGATGCGCAAAGGGAAGTGAGCCTCCGCGGACGACGCGCCGGTAGACTGATCTGGTGTCGGAGGTGGGGATACGAGGGAGCTCGTGCCAGGTACATGCTCCGAGTATAGCACCAAGAGTCCCTGGTGACGAACGAAGCCCGCCATACCCACAATGCCTCGCACGAGCGATTCCTTGCCGTGCCACCCGAGAAGACTAGATAGCGCGGCCTTCTCGTCTCCGGCTAAGCGCCGACTGGGGTCCTTCCGTTCCTGCTCTGCGATATCCAGTAAGAATCGCGGCGGCAGAAAGACGACGCCCGGGGTGGTCGATAGGAGGTCCTTCCACGAGTCGATACGTCGTGCACCGGTTGTGTATGGCATCTGATTGGCCTCGCCGGAGGCCTCCTGAGACAGCCGAGAGGAAACAGTGGAGAGCAAGGACAGTCTTCGCGGTAGAAACCCGCCGTCAGGTCGTTGTGGAAGAGACGTATGTCGAGAGAATTTGGAAGTCAGAGGAAGCTCAAGAGAACCGCGCCGTACAGCAACCGGGGCGACATTGCTAGCTCGCTGAATGAAGTCCTCGGTCTTCTTCGTCAGAAAAGACCAGAGCCCCGGAGTCGACTCGCGCTTCAATTTGTCCTTGACGTTTGGCGTACTGGAAGAGCGCTCGACTGTAGTAGGAAATGACGGAAGGGATGGAATGGCAGGCTTGGGATAGTGAAGCGCGACATGCGAATTGGCAAGCAGGTCTTGTTCGAGAAGCAGCGCGAGGTACGTGAAGACGGACAGACGGAGAACGCGGCACAGAGCAACATACTGAGGCAGAGACGACAGACCCTTGAGTCGGAATGTGCCCCCGACGACCTGCAGAGGATCTTCGCCAGCCACGAGACGAGCTGTGAAGGTGAAGGTCTAGAATTATGCTTACGGGCAGCCAACAGGGTACATACCGTCCCACTCTTGTAAGCCGAACAATATTGCAGCGTCCGCCTCGTTGACTGGCGCAGCAACTCTCGGCCAGGCGAAGTCCCCTGCTCTAAATGAGCAGCCAACCGCGGGACGCACTAACCTGAATCCCATGTCCTCCGCCGGCTCGTCCACTTGAGAGTTGAGCCCCGTAGCCACGAGGAGCAGGTGCTTCATTGTCGGCTTTGGTGTTGGTATGGACGGCTTGAATGCAAGTTCCCGGAGCTGGTCGAGCGCGGCATTGCACTCCTCCTCGGTAGGCGCATCCTCGGCGTGGCTATCGTCCAGGACGACCTCGCGCATCCTGCTGCGGCCCTTCGTGGTCCGGTTCCTCGTCCTCTCGTCTTCCTCTTTCTCCTTCTTCGCGCGTTCTTCCGCCCGCTGCCGCTCCTCTTCGTCGCGGAGTTGCTTGCGCACATACCTGGCTCGTTTAAGTCCTGCGAGCCATCCTCCGCGCGAGATGCTTGCTCCGAGTTCCTCGAGTGACGCCTCTATGCGCTCCGCCCATGTATCCCTGTCGCGAACGTCGAGTTCTTCGTCAAGAGCACGCGCAACGAACCGGTGTAGGTGCGCGCGAGCGTCGATAGTTAAGGTGAGGTTGGGCGTAATGCGCCTTGCACCGCGCGAGCCAGAGGGTATATTAGGGAGTGGTTTCTCCGTAGACGACATGTCGTGTTGTACGCGTGCATGAGATTGTCGTGTTCGATGTCGTTAGAGATGATGAGAACACGAGGTCATCGCACGGCGTGGTTGGCGGAAGAGTTGTGTGCCCAATTGCAAACCGCGCGCGTCATACCTACCGAGGAGTCCGCATCGGACCGGACCGATCAGGCAATTCTCCGAAAACATATGTCTGACACAAGTCTGACATATTTCAAAGCTCAGCACTAGTTTTGCAGTTGCATCTCGGGAGTTTATGTCGGGTCATTCGCGTCAAGAAGAGACTGGCATCTGGCAGCAGTACGTAATACACCGTGATATTGTTACAAAACATATACTTTTTACATCTCGCCGCATTCTGTGAGTCGTGAGCATGAGCGCCGTGGTAGCAGCGAGTTGGTTGGGAAGGTACTGACCTACTATCTTCACTGCAAGCTTGGGCCTATTGTTCGGGCCCGTAGGCACGTTCTCAATCTTCCGCAGCGTGAGCATGCCGTCTATCACCCTCCCGAACACAACGTGTTTCCCGTCCAGGAAGTCGCACTTCGCTGTGGTGATGAAGAACTGGCAGCCGTTCGTATTAGGACCTGAGTTGGCCTAAGAGAGTATGGTAAGGATTTTGTTGTAAGACATGCATGGGGAAAACCGCTCACCATTGATAGAAGGCCTGGGCCGGTGTGCTTCTCTTTGAAGTTCTCGTCCTACAGGCGAAATGAGCGCCATACCTACTCACCGGAGCAACAGGCTTACGGGGAATTTGTCTCCGTATATCGAGAAAGAGCCTGTTCCGTCTCCCTTGATGAAGTCACCGCCTGTACAACTTGAGCACCGCGTCTGACAAGGAAATGCGCCAGAACTCACCTTGAACCATGAAGTTTGGGACGCTGCTCAATTTGTGAGGCAGCGCAAACGGCTAGGGTGACGTATACGACTTACACTCTATATCCAGTTACTGATCAGAAAGCATGGGCTAAACGGCCGGCGGCAGGAGCTCAATGTACTCACCGATGGAAGGTAGCAGCCTTGTACCCTTGAGGACGCGAGTTCACTCTTCACGCAAGTTCAGCCTCCATTAGCAGGCCCTTGCACTCCTAGACATACCTGTACTCTCCTGTGCATAGTTGCCGGAAGTTCTCAGCGGTCTTCGGCACGATGTCGCTGAACAGCTCCATCTTCAGGCGGCCTGCGGGCGTCTCGCCAATGTTGACATCCATGAAGACGATGGGGCGCGTTGTGGTGTTGCTCGACATGACACAAGACAAGTTCTTAGATGGGGTAGCAGGCTGCTGCAGAAAGTCGTCGAGTTCGTGTTCGTCGCGCTCGACGATGCCGAACGCGCCAGAAACGTCGAGCAGAGTTAACCAAACACACACAAATACCCCTTTGATGTATTGATGCCGCTGAATCTGCGCCTCTCCCTTCCGCCACATTGGACTCTGTGCGACCCACCCTACGTACCACTTGCTCCCGCTCACTCCGCGTTTTGCTAGTCTGTCATGTCCTACTTCCTGCCGCATCTTCCCTCTGGCTGGCACGTTGACGAGGCGATCAAGTCTGAGGAGGACCGCGTGGTTGTGCTCCGCTTCGGCCATGACTGGGACTCGCAGTGCATGACAATGGACGAGACGCTCTACGGCGTCGCGGAGAAGGTGCAGAACTTTGCTGTGATCTACCTCGTCGACATCACGGAGGTGCCGGACTTCAACAAGGTGCGCAAAGTACACGGTCCAGGGCATGCATGGCCGGATGTTAATGCAGGAAGCAGATGTACGAGTTGTACGATCCGTGCACGGTCATGTTCTTCTACCGGTAAGTGCGACCGTTGTGTTTGGCACGCGGGTGCTTACTTCCCGCATACTAGGAATAAACATATCATGATTGATTTGGGAACTGGTAACAACAACAAAATGTACGTCGCGGAGGGCTTGTTTGTCCGGCACAGTACTTACCTTTTTCGCGCCCCTCAGTAACTGGGCAATGGATAACAAGCAGGAGGTAATGCAACACCCTACTGCTATCATTAGAAACCCTTAGCTGATTGGATTGAATCTTTGCAGCTTATTGATATCATCGAAACTGTGTACCGCGGTGCAGCCAAGGGCCGCGGTCTCGTCGTTTCTCCCAAGGGTGCGCTTGTGTCAAGTTTTTATTCGCAGACGAATGCTGACTGTCCGCTCTTCAGATTACTCGACCCGTTACCGCTACTAGATGGATGCCCGATCATGTGTATGTGCCTCTGCTATCTGTACTTCTAGACTCGCTATACCTCCTGTATAAACTCACTACGTGCATGATGACAACCTCGCAAACACTCTAACTTGCGGTTTTCAAGATACATGGTCGCGCGCAAGCTTTTGAGCCATCTCTTCATTCGCGTCCCTTGCGATCTCAGCAGTGGTCTCTCCAGCAGCCTCCGTTCAAATGGCCCAGCAGTGTTGACTGTGTAAGACGCGTAGACGTTATCTGTGCACACAAGCAAACGAAGTGCATCTCGCAGGCGTACACCGAATTCCCTTCTCAGCAGTCCGCCCAGTGGAACAACATCCTATAAGTACAAAGTGACCTGACGAACATAATAACAGGGCCTCAATCAAGGTTACTGCCCTTTCATGATGCTCTCGATCCGTGCCTCCTGTATCTGGCGGCGCATTTCCACCCATGCGGGAAAGCCGACAGCCAGCGTGGTGAGAATGTATTGCGCCTGAGAGACGTCAGTCGGACTGCATCCTTGCATTGCAACCCAAGACTCACTCCGAGAACGAATCCAGTACGGTGTTTCCTGCACAACGCCAGAGTGTACAAAGACTCCAGACTATGGGTGACGACAAGGATCGTCCAGCTGAAGGTCAACACCCACGACGGCAGGTTCGCGAGGAGGATGTGCGCGGGGGCGTAAAGCGGCGAGTAGTTCGGCGAGCCCGGGGCGGGCGCGAAGGTCGTATAGATGAGCGCAGCCACCATGGCCGCCATGTACGCCATATTCCGGCTGAAGCGGAAGGACGTAATCTGCGGGGCGGGAACCTGCGCGGCGCACGGAGGCTCTCAGCAGGATTATGCGTGATGAGAGCGAATTTCACTCACCATGCCGAGTTCCTCCTCGGCGTCCGCCTTCATGCCCATGAGGCGAGGCTTGACCTCCTCGTAGCCCGCGAGCGGGGGGTCAAACACGACGCGGACTTCCTTCGTCGCGCCGCCCTTCGTCTGGTACGACAAGTTCATGCCCTACATTCGCGTGATTCAGCGATCCAGCTCTACGCCGCCGCGTCTCCGCGCGACCCTGCCACGTCCATGTAGACTTACCTTAGTATCGATCCCAGTCATCTTTGCGCTGACAACGTGTTCGGTGACCTTGCCCCAGTGTCGCACGTAGGAGACGAGCGTGTCGGGGTGGTTCGACATGTACATGCACAGGAAGCCTGATTTCTCTGCGACGGGGTCGGCCATAGTTCTGCAGCTCAAAAATGGGTCCGGCGAGAGTGGTAGTAGACCGTCGTGGTGGTGGTTGTCGCGCAAGACGCAGTGTGAACGGTGGGAGACGACCTGAGCATGCGTGGAACCGGCAATCGCGCTCCCCCGCGCGCCCGAGCGCGCGACCACGTGAGCTCCCCTCAAGCAGGAAGCGCCGCTCATTTGGGTGCAACCTCAGCTTGCCTTCGTACCACCACCACCACCAGCACAGCGCTGTGCAGCTCTCGCTGAACGAGGAACGAGGAAGACGCGGTTTGCATAAGTCGAAATGTGGACAGACCATGATAAGGCATGCCTATCTGCACATACCCTGCTTAACATTACTAACCTGCCGCTGCTCCCAAAGCTGACCAACACAGTTACACATACCATTCACCACCTTCCAAGCGAACTCATGCTCGAAATATTTGCTCAATATGCCTTTTTGAACAGCAGAAGGGACCTGACGCACCTGCGGTCACCGTGTTACGACCCCGCTACACTTGGATACGGGAACTCCTGGGCGCCGCTCATGCTTGTTTGTCGCTTTTGGCGCGAACTCATGCTCGCTACTCCCAGTCTATGGACAGAGATCGACATAGGCGAGCAGACACGGTGGCTAGAGCTCGCGCTGCTGCGCTCCCAGGAAGCTGCCCTCACACTCATCTTCCACCCTGGCCTGGGCGCCGCGCGGAACGCTGTACCGCTGGTCCTTCCTCACGCCCATCGCATTCGCAGGTTGATCATCCCTGGCCTCTACACTCCGCAGCTCATAGATCTGCCGTGGTTCCTGCGACTCCTTCGTACTCCAATGGCAAACTTGTACGAACTTGCGATGCCTCATCCATATCTCAACTCCCGAACACGGCGCGGTTATGCTGTTTTCCCTCTGTCGAACCAGCACCACCCGGCTCTTCGTGTTCTTTGTCTACCTCGTACTGCCATTGCGTGGACCCCCGCCACAATCTCCAGACTGCAGCGACTAGTCCTCCAATACTGTACCGTCAAGGACTTACCGCTCTCAGGCCGCCGCTTCCTAGACGTATTGGAGAGCTGCAAGGACTTGCAAGAACTGCAGCTTCTCGACGGGTTCATATCATCGGCAGTCAGCGACCCATCCTCCGACGACTTCCGACGTTGTATCATCCTCCCTCGACTGCGCAAACTAGTTCTCGACGACGAACCGCCGGCAACAGCGTGGTTCTTAACTTTCGTCCAACTCCCTGCGTGCACGTCCCTACATGTCACCGGATACCTAAGCGCTACTACACCGACCTGTGACAGGCTCTTCACATCCCTCGTCCCCCAGGACTCGGCGGGCCGCCATGCTATCCAAATACCATTATGGGGCACCCGTGGTCGCATCCAATACGACGAACTCGGCTTCCAGATCCACTTACTATCGGAGACGGCCAAGCTCATAATCAAGCTCTCTACGTACGGCGGCTCAGACGGCGTCGCGTGGGATGCCGATTTTGCTCGAGGGATCACGGAGTTCTCCCACCTCTTCGCGGGACAGCCCCTGACGGAGCTGACCGTCAACGTCGCGCATCTCGGAGCGGACACAAGCCCCGAGGTCTGGAGCAGCCTGCTCTTCGCATTCCCCGAGCTTCGCGTTCTCGACGTGCGCACGGCCATCTTCGGCTCACATTCAGCGCCGCTCTTGCGTGGGCTCAGCGACTATTCTTCGTCTGCCGACCTGGCCCTGGTCGGCGAAGAGCCCGTGCATCCGCTGTGTCCCAAGCTCTCCGTCCTCCACCTAGAAGACTCGTTCCAGGAAGGATTGTTAGAGCTCCTGCTGTCGTATCTGTCCTGGCGCGCATCCGTCTCCCTGCCCAATCTGGAGTCTTTGCGCTGGCACGTTGATGGGGAAGACGGCCGCGAAGAGCGCGCGTACCAGGACGAGATGGCGATATATGGCGAGGGACTGAAAGCTCTCGTGAAGCATGTGGATATATCGTATACAGCGTCCATGTTGTGAGGGGATTCGTCATTTTCTTCGCGTGCGTACCCTTCTACCTTGTCAGCGAAAGTCAACCTGATCCAGGATCCCGTAGTGCTGTCGGGCACACCGTGGATGGCAGCGATCTTTCCCAGCTCTTCCAACACCGTATAGCTCGCTCTCATTTATCAATTGCGTATGTTAAGTTACTCCACATCCGTTAATACGACCACATCACAAGACTTCCTCAGCCTCGCAAGATCGAGACGAAGCATCGTGTTCAGAGACGAGTCCTTCTGTCTTCCACGCAGCTCGAAGCGCACCTCCCGCATTCTTGACGCGCCTGCCACCGCCCGTCCCTCAAGAGTGAGCATGACGTTCGGGACGAAATCAGCGTCCCACGGCAATCTCTCCAGGGTAAAAACAGTGAGTTTTGGAAGCTTCGGAAGTGGAAGCGGCTCCGACGCGCTACCCTCTAGATCTGCCGGTTGCACGGCGAGAGCGGCCAGCAGCGATCCTGGACAACCGTCTCCGGAAAGATGCAGCTCACAGAGCGCCGGGAAGGTGCGGAATACCTCGGTCCACGTATCTTGCGGGATGCGGGTGAGGTTGCACCTGATGGAGAGCCGTTGAAGGCGCGCCCGGCGGAAGAGTGTCGCGAAAGCCTCTAGTAAGCACTGCGAACGCATGAAAGGCGGATCTTCGTCATTACAGAAATTCATCTTGATGGCTAAGCGTCCTGTGTCCGCAGTAGCACATTCCATACGGGCGAAGCGACAACACCAGATCAAGTCGAAATACGCAGATGTCGTAGTCTCGAGGAAGGGTACGTTGGTGGGGTCGTCCGGAATGAACAGTGGCAGCACACCGGTGGGTTGGTAGTCCCATTGCCATTCGGACTCGTCTACTTCGAAGTCCGCACGCACCCCAGCGGGGAGGCGTACGTGCTGCAGAAGGACTAAAATCACCTCGTCGTAGTCCCTAATGGCGAGCTTGCGCAAGTTGAGCATCGCGACGGATCGGCCGAGCTTTCTTTGCTCAGCCAGCTCCGGGTGTTCGCGGAAGGGCATTGCGTGATTCAGCGACAGGTCCTCGAGCTGCTGCGCGGCCTCAAGGACGTCCAGAAACTCGGACAGAGGACGATGCTCGGCACCGCGAATGTCTCCAACGTCGAGCTCGCGCAGTCCTACGAATGTCTCCGGCACCCACGCCAACTGGAAGCGGACACTTCTGAGCACGCGAAGCTGCGGGAACTGATGGGCGTCCAGCTCCAGCAAGGGGTCGGGGAATTCTGAGTCTGGCCAGTCGGGTATGCCGACGGCAAGAGCCACAAGAGCGGGCATTCCGGCGTTGAGGAACTTCATGGTCATTTCCGCGAGCCTTGGTCCGGCCTCCCAAGCCGTGTCGTCATCCGTGGCCAGGTTGATGTTTAGATAGCGTATGAGCGTGCGGGAGTCCTCCAGTTCTAGGAGCATCGCGGCGCACGCGTTCTCGTCGGGAATCTCGACCCAAAGGGTGATGGGGTGGTCTCGCGAGCGTATCTTCGCGAACTTCATCCACTCGATGTCGGCCTGTGTTTAAATGCTAACGTATGACCAGAGTAGAGGTACAGCAAGGGCTACCTTGCGCCAGCGTCGAGAGACGGCACAAATGGGAAGGGCGGCTAAGGATCCGGAGTCGTATTCCGGGTCCAGCGAGCCGCAAAAGACCTTGAAGATTTCCATCATTATTTCGTTGGGTATCCGGTCAAAAGGTGTGGGCAGAGTGCGCATAGGGGGGTCACGGTAAGCGTCCGACATGAGATGCGTTGCCTCGAGATTGCACTTCTGATACGTATACGTAGTTCCTCGATAGAAACGGTGGTGTATCTGATCAAAGGCACAATGTCAGTGTTGGGGAGTTTATACACGCGCATGGGTGGCGGCATACCGACACAGGATGGACGGTAATGGGCTGGAAGGATTGACGAGTGATGCTTCTTATAATCCGAATCTATTTCCTTTGTGTTGCGAAGACAAACATGCATTATGTCACCATTTGTTTTGGTGACTCACCTGTGGTGGGATCCTGCAGGCGCAAGTCCATAGTGTCTATGAAAGCGTCAATGTTGCCGGAATGTCGCATGCCTCGTTAGAAATCATCAGAGACTGAGATCGAATGCGAAGTCGACTGAAGGATTGTCGTGTCAGCGCACGCTTCGAACTTGTTTGTTATATGAAAATGTTACTCTGCTGCTCGCTGGGCTCCTATATATACACAACCACCTCACAGTGTTTTCTCAGTGTTGCAAGATTCAGACGAGGCGTCTTGTTCAAATAAGAATTGTTCTGCCTCCTGCGAAATTCGACGTGCACCTCCCGCAGCCTCGACGTGCCTGCCATCGCCAGCCCCTTGAGTGTGCGCACAATTGCCCCGAACAGATCATGGTGCCACGACAAATGCTTAAAGGTGAACGTAGTCAGAGTTGGCAAAAGCAAAGGACGCGGGGCCGACGCGGATGTGCTGTCTTCTGCCGGGTGCGCGGCGTGGGCAGCCAGCAGCCGTCCCGGATAACCCGCTCCGAAGAAGTGCAGCTCGCAGAGCAAGAATAAGATGCGGAAGACCTCGACCCACAGGTCATGCGGGATGTGGATGTAGGACTGGCGAATTGGTTGAGCTGTGAGCGTGTCGTGTTGCGTTCGCTGAGGAACAAGAGTACCGTTGAGCGTCTGCGACTTAAAAAAAGGGCTCTTGGTGTTCGGCAATGGCCGCACCGCGCTCGGACTTTCGCGGCCTGGACTCTGCACCATTTGGATTCTCTCTCACTCGCCCTCCCTCTCCCTCTCTCTCAGACTATCTCTCTCATTCCTTCGTGCTTGCCTTAGTCAAGAACTATCACATGTGAGGTTCCACCACTGTGATAGAATTGTAAAAAATACTGATGTAGAGGCATTGTGTCACAGGCTCTCGGCGGCATGATGTACATCGACCAATCCTCTACGGGCCATGGCCGCCAAACTAGTCCAGCGGAGCGCTCACGAAACCAGGTGGACGCTCTGCTAAGACTCCCGGGCTCAGCGCGACAGTTTGATACAGTTTTCCCCATACAGCACCTGCCAGTGGAAATACTCATCCAGATATTCCTCGCCTACTTCACTCAACCACATCAATCGTCATCGAGCAATAAGCCATCCATTACGATTCTCCTATCCGTGTGTGCTAGCTGGCGAGACATCATTTGTACCATGCCACGCTTCTGGCGCAACATCGTCGTGTACAGAGGACACGAGTGGCTTGATCTGGCACTCTCGCGCTGTGCTGGTGCCCCGGCGGATGTCACTTTACGCAGCCCGCATCTATCAAGCGACATTTTTACGTCCATACTTCCTCAGTACTCTCGCAGCCTACGTTCGGTCGACGCCCAGGACCTCAGCCCATCTGCGAAATTGCTGCTCCTCGACTTCCTCAAAAGCACGCCCATGCCTATTCTGCGGTCATTGACGATCGTTGTAGGTCCTCGTTATCGCGAGATACACCTCAATGCGACATCTCTTCCCAATCTCCGCAGGTTATCCCTTACCGGCTTCGTGATCTCTCGCGGCAACGACCTTTACTCACAGCTCCGCAACTTAACCCTCACCGGATGCAGCTGGTCTATATCTCTAGGTGCATTTCTCGATGTCCTCGAGGCCTCATCGCATCTGCAAAGTCTCGTAGCTAATCGCTGCTCTTTCCCCCTTTTTTCGGCCACTGCGGCACCACCGAGCCGCCGTCATGCGGTAGCGATGCCCCACCTGCGTGTGCTCACGCTCTCCGGCCTACCCTCGTCGACGGTCGCATGCTTGCTATCCTTTTTGCGCCTTCGGAAGAAGATTGCCGTCAAGCTCGTGGGTGCCGTAGAACCCGAGCAGACAAACGCTGCGGCGCTCGTCGACCTTCTTCCAGACGACCCATGGATCGCGGTCCCCGTTATTCAAACCATCACATCCGTCACAGTCCGCCCTGGAGCCTTCATTCGCACATACGGCCTATACGCTTCAGGCGTGGATGGGCGCGCGCTTGAGCTATACGCCTCCTACACCGAAGACCGGAAGATCGTCCCCCGCGTCTTCCGCGCCCTGCCCCTGCTCTTCGCGGACGCGCCCGTCTCAAAGCTCGCCGTCGACGGCGGGCTCGAGTACCTCGCCGAAGTTGACTGGGTGGGCGTCTTTAAGACCTTCCATCATCTGGAGCACATCGTCATTGGCGGGGCCGGCGGGCTTTCGACGATGTTTCGTGGACTGCGCCGCGCGTCGGAGGAGACGGGTGCCCCTCAGGCTGCCCAGGCTGCCGCGCTCTGCTGCGCGCGACTGTCAGTCATCGAGACGGACGCGAAGAACCCAAAGATGCCGGCGGCCGACTGCGTGTTTGACTCAATGCTCGCCGCGCTGCGCGTGCGCGCGGAGCAAGGCCTGCGCTTGGAGCGGGTATACCTGGGGCTTATCCACGACGCGCACGATCATTACCGGAAGAACGAGACGTTGTACGGGGAGAGGCTGCGCGCGCTGGTGTCGTGCGTGGAGTACGTTAGTACCGGCATTGAGTGTCGCGCGTAGAGTACCGTCGATCGCGATGACCCGATGGTATGGATTTGTTTGCGTTGCAATGATGACTTTCGTTGACTGACTTGTGGACACAGATACATTACGCTTCCGTTATGAATCCTCCTTAGCATGTCAAACAATGTGTGCACGAAGTTGGAATCGGAATATAGTATGTAATCACTACGCCGCCGCCAGTAGAAGTATTGTCGCATTGGGGGAAAACGATACTCTTCCAGCTGTGTGTCCGTCGAGAATCATCTAATGCCCGTGGTACTCCGCGGATGGGACCAAAGACAACAACTCGTCATAGTGTTCGAGCCTCACAAGGTACTCGTAGCTCTTGGCGAAGGTCGCCGGTCCGAGGACAGACACAAGTACGAGCCCCCGCACATACGCAGCCAGCTTCCGAGTGATAGTGAGTCAATTGAATGTACAGTCCCGGTATGTAAGTATGTAATAATCTACGCTGAACGGTACGTATGAGTCCGGTCCTACACTGCAACAATATGAAAACAAATGGGGCGATAGTGTGCGTGCGCAATCTCTAGCGATACATGCCTTCCAATACTCCGATGTCCTGCCACTGCCGGAGGCCTCCTGGGCGTCCGGATCCTTCGACGTACGAGCGGCGCCTTACGCGATGGTGCTGGAAGTCTGCGTGCGCCCCAGGCCACCTCGGCCCCGCCTTAAACGGCGTGGCGAAGCAGAAGGGGCGGACGGCCGCGAGGCACTCGCGGTGCGCGACGACATCCGAACGGGTCCGGGCGCGGGCGCGGGAGAAGCGGGTGGCGTGCTCTGCGGTGTGGCCGGGGCGCTCAGGCGCCGCTTCTTGTCGACATGGGACGTGTCTGCGTTGTCGACATGGGACGCGTCTGCGTTGTCGACATGAGACGCGTCTGCGTTGTTGGCTGCGGCCGCGGAGCTGTCGTAGGCTTCGCCCAGTTTCCACGCGATGGCGTTCATGAGTCGGGGGTCCATACGCGGAGGCCCGTCGTCCATGTCGTCCATGTCGTCCATGTCGTCCATGTCGTCCAAGTCCGACATGTCGATCACCTTCGATGGGTCCTCCTCTGGCTCCGGCTCTGGCTTCGGTGCCGGCTTCCTTGGGGCCCCACCTGCTTTTGGCGTGGCCTCATCTGCTTTTGACGATGACTCGTTCTTTAGCTTCGACACAGTCTCCAGGCGCAGAGTCGCGCGGTATGCGGCCGTAGGTTTCTTCACGCCCTTCGGAATGCAGAATGGATACGGCCCGAGAGGACGTGCCATGTAGTCCGCCATCGCCTTCCGGTCCTCCTACGTGCCAGTACTCGTCCTCCTCCCT